TCATATTTATTTTCTCTATGACATGGGGAGGGGTAGCCACTCTTGCTTCATGCACCAGGCATTGTGGGGACCCTAGCTGGTTGATTATGGGCTAAACTGCTGGCAAATTTAAGGAGACGGGTCATTTTCCGCCTTGGCTAACTAAGTGCTGGGAATAGAAGTAGAGAAGTATTCCAGTCAAAAAGTAAGGCAGTGAAGACCAAACTAATGGAGAGCACGCCCAATGGATGAGCAGGCAGGACTGAAGGGGTGCAGACTTTTCCCAGTGGATGCTTCAGACTTGCATAAGCCCAGCCTTGAGAGTGGGCAGCAGGAGAGAACCTCTTCCACCAACAGGCTGCGTTTATCTTTGCATGGCCATGTGCCTAAGGCTCCTGAGCATTAGAAGGCATTCTGGAAATGTTTCATATCAGTGTTTGCGTTGGATATATCCAATGATGGAAAAGGCAGTTGAGGCATGGCAAGTATTTTAAGATGAGGGAAATAGCTAAAACCAGGATCCTCCCCCATGACCTGTTAGCCTTATTTTTAAAATAGAAAGCAGTGAGTTAATTTCCCTCATGCTATGTTTCTTGACGTTCTCAGGGTTGGCTCTGGACATTATACAGCCTATGCGACTCATGAAGGCCGATGGTTCCATTTCAATGACAGCACCGTGACGCTGACTGATGAGGAGACGGTGGTGAAAGCCAAGGCTTACATCCTCTTCTATGTAGACCGGCAGGCCAAATCAGCATCTGATAAACTTTAATACCTCTTCCTGCCCTGTGCATATCAAGTCCATCAGACAAAACATTTCCAATCCTCCACAGATACTTGATCCAAGACTCTTGATTTCATTGTGCACTTTTCATTTTTTTCCTTGTGGGTTCTGGTTTTATTTTGTCAGTAGTAGAGTATCTGATTTGTTAACATGGACACAAGCTAACTGTTGTTAGTCATACCAGGAAAAAAAAAACCTCATTTGCTACTTCAACCCAATTTTTATATATAGTTTCAAGAGCTACTTTAGTTGTTTGACTTTGTATATCATTGTATATCAATGTTGGAGTTTGCTTTCTGAAGGCACATTTACATCAAAGAAACTTGAATCCTTCTAATAAGCACATTTGTGTACCTAATTATGAAATAGTCTGGAGGCTTTCAGCTGTTTGGGAAGGCTTTTTTTCTTAAGATCAAGGACTTGTACCAAACACTTTATGTGTGGACAGTTGTTTGGCTGCCTGTAAAAAGAAAAGGAGTGTATGAATTGTGGCCTCATTCAGCAGGCCATGTAATCGCTGCTACTCTGTCTATGGAGGCTGCTTTCTTTCAAAATTCTCTGTACTTTAGTAGCTGGCTTCATTGTTTATCATAGGAATTTGCTCCATTTTTTCATTTCTCCTTTAAAGCAAGAGGAAAGATTAGTGTTCTACAGCGATTAAGCTATAAAAAAGCTGAGAAAATTCAGGATTTGCTCGTCTTTCCATTAAGATTAGAACTGTGTGTATAATCCATCTCGTAATACTATCATGCATCCTTTTGTCTTGTGATGCCTTGAAGGTAGAATGGAATAGGTAAAATTGCCATCCCTGTATCATGGAAGCAGCAGTCTTGGGTGACTGCAAATGTAGAGACTATAGTCTTCACTAGTATTAATAATCCCTGTTGCAGCATTGCAATCCTGGGTTCCTTGTTGACATTTCTTTGCTCTGCATCTTGTGGTTTGTTGCTGCAGATTTGGTTTACAGTTGTAAGGAGCCCAGCCCAGCAGGGATTTTGGCTCTCACTGACTAGTTCAAAAGAACAGAAGGGTGCTCTCTTGCAACTCTGGCTATTTTGAGGAGAGGCTGGCCCCCTCAGATTGTGCCCATGTGCTTTACACATACTTGATTGCTTTTTCACACACCCAATAGGAAATTATAGCACCATTTTGTGGTGCTATGCTCACCCCAGGGTTTCAAATTAGAGAAGAGAATCAGGTCGCTGGAGTTTGTAATGAACCTCAGTGATGCCCAAAGGGTCCATGGTAGGGTTATGATCAAGTTCCCTGAAATTACAACCCTGAATTAGCATCTGCTTAAGTGAGGAGGCAGAGCGAAAACATCAGGTCACATTATGTGCTATATTTCCTCAGCACCAGCTCCTGCTGGAATTAAGGAGGAAGCTTCAGAAAGTAATGTAAATGTGCCTTTCTTAAAAATTGGCTATGTTAAATAGCTGGGTCTGGTTCTCATTTCTCCCCTTTCTCTTCCACCTTTTGCCTCCCTCTCCCCCTCCTCCTTTTTTGTCATGGTATCTTTCCCCTGTGTGAAGACCTTCTTTCTTTTTGGAATGTGGCAGTTGAAATGCAATGCACTTACTTGTTCCTGTTTTTGAAGCCGGCTGTGCGGTGGCTCAGGCACGTCAGTTTGGACAAAGAAGCCTTTTCCTAATTTAGCTCCACCCACCCCTGCAAACGCAAACGTCTAATCAGTGAGTTGTGGCAACACAAGTTATTTCTCTTCCTGGTGGAGATTTCCTTATCCGCTGGATTATACTCAGTGAGTCGTGTCAAAGTGACAGATTTGAAGCAGTCAAAGTGTGTACTGCGCCTGGATTAGTATTTTATTTTTACCCTTGTTTGTATAACCTGAGTCTAAAGGGGAGGGTGGGGGGACTTTTCCAGTTCTGCCGCCTCAGCTGCCAGGTGTAGCACTGCCAGCCAGTGACAGTTATGGGCAGGAATGTGCAGCTGTTAATATAGGTAAGCACTAGAGATGCTCTCTGAAAAAGCACTGGCTTAGTTCACGCTAGTTATCAACACTTCCCGATTAAAGGTTGCTCCCCTGTGTAGTTGTTGGGAACCATGCCCTGTCTTACCCCCCCTCCACCCCCACCCCCATTTCCTGCAAGATGAAGCCTGTCTGCTTCACAAATGGTCCACCACCACCACCCCAAAGGTGCTCTGCCTAGGAAGTTCTGTTGATGGACCAGAGTGTTTCCATTCCACAGACAAAAGGATTAGGCAGTTCAAAGAACACCCACCTACAAAGGTAAGAGGCAGCCAGACTTTCAGGCACTTGTGGTCACTGGTTGGAAATGGCAGTGTGGTGCTTTTCTCTCCCCCCCGTTATCTCTCTTTCACTCTCTCGCTCTCACTGGAGTGGTGATCTGCATCTTGAATACCCTTTGGTGCCTGCGTGCATGAGAGGGGCCTTGGGGTTCTAGTGCCATAGCTGTGATTGTTTGCCATTAAAATATTGTGTGTAATCCTCGGTGAGGACTGTTGAGCATTTCGGAAGGGGATTGTTGGCCACAATTCAAATTCCTTCATAGAACATATTCCTCTGAAAGATTTGCCATTAAAGTCTTTTCTCTCTGTGCTCATTGTGTGAGAATCAGTTTTCCTGAGCTTCTGGAAGAAGAGCCCTTTAATGAACTAGATTTACATTTTCGATCAGGGCAAGTAAGAATTGACAGAAGTTCCTGGAAAAGCTCCAGGAAGGGTGGGAGGGAACTTTTTGTAAAAGCTGGTGGAACAGGTTTTTTTCAAGGCCGGAACTGGATCATACTTGTATACCAGGATTGCCATACTTTGAAGAGCAAAAAAAGAGGACACATTGCTTAGGTTATCCTCCTAAGGAAACATGCATACATTTAAATGGTTAACATTTTATTATAGCACAATCACGTATCAAAATAGGTACAATTACTCAAAGAAAAGCAATATCCTAGTAATGCTTTGAAACTGTTGGAATATAACATTTAAACCACATTAAGTAAGCTTTATTTATTTCTAATACTTTTAGGTTATTGGGAAATCTTCCAGTGTTTGTGTTCATTATGCAGAACATGACATACTTCAGTTTTGTTTCCTAAATGTAAGCCAAAAATGTTAGATTCCAATCAGTTTAAAGCACTGATAATTTTCCAGAAAACTCTTCACCACTGCTAAGTTAAGGAGGGAGACCAGAAGGACCGAGAGGCCACATGCCCAGGGCCCGATGCAGCCATGGGGGCAGGGGAGAGGCCAGACGACAGGAGCTGCGCTCCAGCGGAAGATCCTTTGCAGCCTCAGAGCCCGGCTTCTTCTCCCTCTTCTTCCCCAGGGATATGCCTGCCTCCCTCACTCTGGAATCCCATGCTGCACACGCACAAACGTTGTTTCCTTCTTCCCTAAGTCTGACCAGTGGAGGGTGGTGTGGAAGAGGAGGAGGAGGAGGAGGAAGTGTCTTTGGCGTTGCGGCTCCAACCTGCCAGCCAAGTCCCGGCAAAGCACACCAGCTCCAGCAGGAGCCTGGATTTGACAGCTCCTTTTTGCTGCCACTTCTCCCCTGCTGGGTGCACAACTCCTCGCTCCAGCCAGCCACCAAACCCAGACATTTTGCCAAATTTATAAATTCTGCCTGGAGAGAAATTTTGACCATGAAAAAGAGGACGTGTCCAGGAAAAACCAGACATATGGCATCTCTATGTACGCAGAGTATGTTTTGTAGGTTCCTCCCCTTTGCAGACTTGATACAAAGATTGCATTATTTCTTTTAGTCAGCTGTTGTGTGTTTGCATCCTTGATCATTTAGAACAGCTGTGTGGAGCCTTTCTGTAGAACAGCCCCTGTCCAGTCAATGACGGCCTCTCATTCCCCCAGCAGGGGAGCTTGGAAGGGGCTCCAAGAGGAACGGCTTCCTTTCATTTCCTTTCTCTTATACCTCCACTGAAGTTTCTGTTCCTTTTTAAGGGAATAAGTTTCACTTGGAGCTATGGGTTGTGCTTCATGAAGAACCCAGATGGGCATTTGCAGGGCAAGTGTGGTCAGTGTGTCAGACTAGCCCATGAGTGACCAGGGTTCAAATCCCCACTCAGCAAAGAAGCTCCCTGGGTGACTGGGCTAGTCACCGTCCCATGGCTTCACCTACATCACAATACGATAATCTTTATTGTCATTGTTCCATACAGCACAACGAAATTGAAAAAATCTACATCAGACATTCAAAAACCAACAAGCCAGCTATCCCAGCCTGGTTAACCCCCTAAAAACTCTGATACCCCATAATTAAATACAATATACTCTCATAGAGACTACCTTACACTGCGTTTAAAACCAAAATCACATTGGATAGAAACAGGGTGCTTCTGAGGGTAAAAAGAGGGCAAGACAGTTTCTTGAAGGAAATGTGAGATACAGATGCAATAATGAATCAAAGAGGACACAGGGAGCGATACAACTGCCTCCCCTCCTCAAGATGCAAAGGAGCTGAATGGATTAATTTTTGCCCAGATCTTTTCTTCTCACAGGCTGGGTCTGTCTGTCCTTGGAGATGTTTAAATATAACAAAGGCCAAGCTGGAGCCTTTGGTGCCAGAGCAGGTGCCTTAAAGCAGCTTCTGGCTGGCAGAAGCTCGTCACACCCAAGCAATGGGAAGGTGGGCTTCAGTTCTGTAGTTTGCATCCAGTCAGGCAGCAAGGTAGGAGGGCAGAACTACTTCACAAATGTCTGGGTGAACCTTTTAACTCATAACCAAGCTCAGAGCTCTCATCATTTCTTGGAAGTCTCTGGAAATTTCCTCTACTTCTCGTCTCTGTTTAACCAAATACATGAACTATGTAGCTGAAGTGTCCCATTCTGCAACATGATGAGACCTTCACAACAAAAAATAACAGAACCTTCCCCCCCCCAAGCTAGCAATAACCACTCCATCATTTGAGAGCTACTGACTTTTAAGTAATGACTGCATCCAGTTGTTGTCCAGCAAACTAGGTGCTGCTCATCCAGGGCTTTGAAGCAGAGAGTCTTAAACTTGCATTGTAGAATCTCAGTGGATTTATATAGTGTGTAAATCTTGGCTGTCTCCCCCATGTGGGCTGCCTTTGGTGCACAGCCATTCTTTGAAACCAGGAGCTGTCCTGGTATGATGTGAACCCAGCTTCAGACCTTTTACAGGGGAAGCAGTGGCTTTATCCATCATGTGACATAAACAGATGGGTGGGCTGGGAAGCGCTCTAAACAAGCCGAAACCACCTCCTAAACATGAATAGTCTCGGAGGCAAATAAATCCTTTTAAGGCAAGATTTGACTAAACTAAGCCATTTTGCTCCTGCTCTAGCCATTCCACGGGGAGAAGAGACTGAGTCTGCAGCCAGCCTCCCCTTGATCCTTGCCCTTTTTTGAAACGCCTTTGCCAGCTGGCAGCCAAAAATAGCTTCCATTCCACACCATATTTGTGCAAGAGACCAGAAGTGACTTGGAAGCCGTTCAGGCCTCCTGTCTTGCTGCTGAAACATACCATACCTTCTCCCTACAGCCACTCAGTGGCAATGCATATCACACAGATGAATTGGGAATGCCTTCTGCACATCTTCTCCTTTTTGGATAAAAAGAGCAGGAAAAATTTAGCCCAGACTTGTGTTAAGTTGTTCAGGGTCTTTCAGGATCCCTCGTTATGGCCTCTGCTGCATTTTCATTCTCCTGCAGAACTGACCAAGAACAACTTTGTTCTGGGACCAGCCTTGCGCCACCTCTCCATCTGCTGGCATTCCAGCCAAGTCAAAGTGTGCAACGTTGAGAACTGGATGAAGAGCACCTTGCAGCAGAACATCTGCAAGACCCACGAGCACATAGTCAATAACTTTTTACAACAGGTTTGCAACAGGTAAGTTCTTGGGCTGTGAAATGCTTCATAAAACGGGTGGCTTCTGTGATAGACGGGAGTTGCATAGGCTGCAGTTGTACGATCTGATTCCTCTTAGATTTTCTGCGGTTTCGCATCAGAATCACAGTACTTTTGTTTACATGCATTTCTTGAGTACTCTTCAATCAACACAATACTTCTAGTAGGGTTCTTCCTATTCTTATCCCTTATTTCCTCCCCATGGGATCATTCCAACATCTTTCTTAAGGTGAAAAAATCGAATCAAGCATAGCAGCCTTCTATGCTTTGGAATTTCCAGCATGTGCTTTACCTTGGCCAGCTATTCCAAGCAGTTTTCAAATGGATGTTATTGCCCTCCAGCTAAAGCAAACAAATTCTGGGCCCCTCCTTCATTTCACTGTAGGAAGATTAACTATTGAAAGCCTAAGACAAGGTACAACTAATTCCACAGCTACAAAAAGGTCACTCCTTCCAGAGTAGGAAAAATACAAAAACCTGCTGGAAAGGAGAACACCCATAGAAGCAATCTCCTTGAAAAAAGGAAATATGGACTGAGACTGGGCAACACATTACAGACCAAGAGGCAAAGCTTAAGAAATATGAGGACATTACAGAAGCAGGAAGGGAGTAGTTAAAATTGAATGAAATGTTCAAAATTAAAAAAAAATGGTTTTATGAACTCACAATTTGAAAGGGAGCTTATAGAGAACACAGAAAAATTGATTTCTAGAATGTATAAGTTGTTATTAGAGTGGGAAACAAAATATGTGCTGGTAAAACCAGGAATGATACATAATGCAAGGGATATAGGATATAATAGTGAACTGAGTGCATGGGATAAACTATGGAACTAAAATTTACTGCATGTTATACATTAAAAGAGAATTATATGGGGAAACCCAGCCAGATGGTGGGGTAATAATAATAATAATAATAATAATAATAATTTCAAAAGTATGTATCTAGCACCTAGTAAGTTGCCGAAGATGTATAAGTCAGAACTAGATACTGCTGGAAGTGTAAGGAAAATTGAGGTACCTTCTACCATATGTGGTGGACATGTAAAGTAGTGAAAAGCTTCTGAGAGATGATTTATAATGAAATTATTTTTTTTGGGAAAAGGTTTTTTATAAAAATACCAGAAGCTGTTATTTTAGGAATAATTGGTTCAGATATACCCAGTGATCTGAAAAATATTTTAATGTATGCAACAACGAAAGCCTGAATGGTGTACGCTAAAAAATGAAAGGAGGGCACAATACCAACAAAGAAGGAATCACAGATGAAATTAATGCTAGCCTAACTGATAGAATAACAGCAGGAACAAAAAGTCTTTAAAGAAGATTAGGAAAAAATTGTGGAGTATTTGAAAAATTATTGTAAGCAAATTAAATTGTTAGCAGGATTAGAATAAATTTAGCAGTAAAATTATAAATGGAGGAAAAACTGGAAGAGAAAGAATAAGGAGTAATTAAAATATGCAACAGTAAAGGAGAAATTGGAATGGACCATGGAAGGGGAGGAAGGGAAGTTGACGTTTAATGTAGGGTTTGTTGATAGATTTGATAGATACACATTCGTGCAGTAGTTATTGCATACATGAGTACAGTTTGGTATTTCCTAGATATTTGTTCTAAGAAGGCTTCTGGTTTCTTTTAAAATGTGAGCTTAAATTTTTTTTTGAGTTCGTTATATGCCAGCTTCCCTTTTTTTGGACACATTTACAATTCCACCACATAAAAATTAGCATATCCTCTATTTCTGAACACTTCCAACACAAGTTGGATCTTTACTTGTACATTCTAGCGATTTTACTGGACGTCAGAAGCCATCTGTAAGGTCATTTTTTGGATATTCTCTTTAATTGTGTAACATGCCAAAAAAATTATTGTCTTCCAGTTTTTCCCATGCAGATAGCTCGATATTGTGTCCAATATCCGACGCCTAGTGTATCATTGCTGCCTTCACTAACTCATCTTTTGTTTCCCATTCTAATAGGATTTGGTATATTCTTGGTAAGTTTCTTGTTGCTTCTTAATAGTGTTTTTTTCAAACTCTGACCCGCCTTCCACAAACCCTCTTTCTTTATCTCTCCTATATATCTTGCTTGAGTATACTGAAACCAGTGTGTGACTACTCCTGTTAGTAGCTCTCAATTTTTGAGTCTGGTAGTGTCATCCTTAAATTCCAGTAAGTCCTTATATGTCCCCCATTTTTCCTCCAGATTGATCTTTTATTGCTACCACCTCTATTGGGGATACCCAGCATGGGTTCTTTCTTTCTAACAGGTCTCTGTACCTACTCCATACATGTGTAGACTTCCTAATCATATGGTTGAAGCAGCCTTTATGTACTTTATAGTTGTTTAGTCGTTTAGTCGTGTCCGACTCTTCGTGACCCCCTGGACCAGAGCACGCCAGGCACTGCCTCCCGCAGTTTGGTCAAACTCATGCTGGTAGCTTCAGAACACTGTCCAACCATCTCGTCCTCTGTCGTCCCCTTCTCCTTGTGCCCTCCATCTTTCCCAACATCATGGTCTTTTCCAGGGAGTCTTCTCTTCTCATGAGGTGGCCAAAGTCTTGGAGCCTCAGCTTCAGGATCTGTCCTTCCAGTGAGCACTCAGGGCTGATTTCCTTAAGAATGGATAGGTTTGATCTTCTTGCAGTCCATGGGACTCTCAAGAGTCTCCTCCAGCACCATAATTCAAAAGCATCAATTCTTCAGCGATCAGCCTTCTTTATGGTCCAGCTCTCGCTTCCATACATCATTACTGGGAAAACCATAGCTTTCACTATATGGACCTTTGTCGGCAAGGTGATGTCTCTGCTTTTTAAGATGCTGTCTAGGTTTGTCATTGCTTTTCTCCCAAGGAGCAGGCGTCTTTTAATTTTGTGGCTGCTGTCACCATCTGCAGTGATCATGGAGCCCAAGAAAGTAAAATCTCTTACTGCCTCCATTTCCCCCCCTTCTATTTGCCAGGAGGTGATGGGACCAGTGGCCATGATCTTAGTTTTTTTGATGTTGAGCTTCAGACCATATTTTGCGCTCTCCTCTTTCAATTTCATTAAAAGGTTCTTTAATTCCTCCTCACTTTCTGCCCTTAAGGTTGTGTCATCTGCATATCTGAGGTGGTTGATATTTCTTCCGGCAATCTTAATTCCAGCTTGGGATTCATCCAGCCCAGCCTTTCTCATGATGAATTCTGCATATAAATTAAATAAGCAGGGAGACAAAATACAGCCTTGTCGTACTCCTTCCCAATTTTGAACCAATCAGTTGTTCCATATCCCGTTCTAACTGTAGCTTCTTGTCCCACATAGAGATTTCTCAGGAGACAGATGAGGTGATCAGGCACTCCCATTTCTTCAAGAACTTGCCATAGTTTGCTGTGGTCGACACAGTCAAATGCTTCTGTGTAGTCAATGAAGCAGAAGTAGATGTCTTTCTGGAACTCTCTAGCTTTCTCCATAATCCAGCGCATGTTTGCAATTTGGTCTCTGGTTCCTCTGTCCCTTCAAAATCCAGCTTGCACTTCTGGGAGTTCTCAGTCCACATACTGCTTAAGCCTGCCTTGTAGAATTTTAAGCATAACCTTGCTAGCGTGTGAAATGAGTGCAATTGTGTGGTAGTTGGAGCATTCTTTGGCACTGCCCTTCTTTGGGATTGGGGTTCTACACAGGATGGATTGTTCTACACAGCCAGTCTGAGGTCAATCAAGCAATTCTCCCAACTCCTGGAGCAGCTGAAAGACTAACAAATATTAGGGCATAAGATGCCCTTACATTAACAGGGTCCATTCACACAGATTGGTATTGAACAGCAGAAAAGCTTCAGTAGCCAATCTGTGTATGCACCCTCCTCTTGGGTTGCTGAATGGTGAAGTCTTCCTAAGACTGCAAGGCAGAGAAGTAGCCTCCATGCACTTGTGATGGCTATGTTCTGCCTCTAGCTACCAGTTATCAGGAAACATCAGGAGGGCTTCTGCTCTCTTGCTGGGCAGAATGCAAGCAGGGAATGCAGTAAGATGATAGGTCTCTGGTCTGATCCAGCAGGTTCACTTTGCATGACTTTCCCTCATTTAAGTTGGAATAACCTTCCCAGTATGTTTAACTAGCTTATATTTGATATGTTCTAAATAATTTGAGGTTAGCTAGATTATAATATCGGGAGATGCTGCAGAGGGATATTCCCTATTGGTCTGATGCTGCAAACGCAAGTTTTGTGGAAGCTAATGGATTAAAATTTATTCTGGCATGAGCTTTCTGGAGCAGGGAAAGGGAATTCATGGCTCTCTAGCTGTTAGTATAAATAAAAAATTATCATCATCATCATCATAGCCAAACTGAAGCTCCCAAATTAGCCACCCTGGAATTAGAAAGTCCACTTGATTAGATGCTTGAAGCATTATCCTAAGTTATATCCATAGCTATACATACATGGTTTGGAGAGGGTTTTGTAATAATAATAATAATAATAATAATAATAATAATAATTATTATTATACCCCGCCCATCTGGCTGAGTTTCCCCGGCCACTCTGGGCGGCTTCCAATCATGTGTTAAAAACTTCCCTAAACAGGGAAGTTGTACGCTAGAGGGAAATTAATGGTCATTGTTAATGCAATTTATTACTGTATTCTGTGGTTTGCTCCTAGAGAACATGGTCAGTATAAAGTCTCATTTGAAATAGTGCTATGTTTTCTGCTTCTTATAGATATGGGCCAGAGTTTGAATTGGCTTCAGTGGAGTGAAGGGTAGAGGACTTTAGCACTGTGTGGCTTACGTTTTACTTTGCTAACCTATAGCATTCATTCTTTCAGATGCCCAAACTTGCTGTCTTTGATGCTGTCTGGATGTGGCCATGTCACAGACGACTGTATCACGCTGCTTCTGATGAGCTGCTCCTGTCTGAACACTCTCCAACTTGAAAACTGTGTCCAGATAACTGACCGGACTTTGGAAGCTGTAATCCTCTACGCTACAGCTTTAGAAATTTTACATGTGGACTTCTGCAGGAACATAACTGAGGCTGGTTTGCAGCAAGTCCGTAAAAATCGTCCATTGCTCTCTCTAAAAGCAGAGAGAAGTGCAGACATGATCCCAGACAAAAAGCCAGGCAGCAACTTGCCTGCAGAAAGAGCGTTCAAGAAGCTGCTGTGGCACTAAGCCAAGAGAGAAGCTGCCGGGCTCTGTGCTCTTTCTGTTGTGAGATGGTGACCATGCACATACAGGCAGCTAGCTGTTCTCATGCACAAACTCACTAAATTGTGAGAATGGCAAAGCCCTGGAGTTAGGTACTCAGAACTAGCAACCTCACAGCTGACTGAAAGGTTTGCAGAGCCAGAGGAATTTGTGAAGTGGGGTGTGTGGAACAGTTCCTGATGGTTTGGGAACATTAAGTGTTCAATTTCATAAAGTGCTTTGGCTTTTGTGCTTTTTTTTCTTTTTTAAGATTACTTAGTAAGATCCAGAAAGAACCCGCTCTTGATGTTGTGAGAATGCATTTTTTCCTCCATTTGGGCAGGGAACAACTGGGTCCCTCCAGCTGTTTGACACCAAGCTCTTCCCTGACCATTACTATACTGCCTTGGGCTGGTGTGAGTTGGAGGGTCACAGCTGCTTTATTTACTGGAATCTCAAAAATACCTCAAAAACTGACAAAGGAAATTGCTACCTTACAATGGCTTAAAGTCTACCGTGTCTCTTAGTGCAAATGATGTAAATCTATTAACTGCAATTCTTCACTACTCTTTACTTTTATACTACCTTTCTTTGGAAGCGCTCTCAGATTACCACTCCTCTGGGACTGCAACAAAAAGTAGCATTACATCCACAGCTGCACAATTAGGACTAATTGTTGAGCCACAGACAAAAGTGAGCGAACAACGCACATGTCCTGTTTTGATGTTCCAGCTCTCATTGGAAGTCCTGTAGTTTCATGTGCCAGATTACAGAAGCCTCCATCCCGGTTTCAGCTGTCAACCTCATTTAAGGAAATTAATATACTGTGGAAGATTAGTTTTTTAAGACTTCTTACGACAAACTGGAGACCCAAATGGCGAGCCATGGTTCTGGGTCCGCACCATGTCAAATATTGACAAAACCACAATTCAGTTCTTGAATTTGCTTTATTTTCTCTGCATAAGGAACCCTGGACAGGCATTTCAAATTAAAACAAAAATAAATATATGAATATTCATGTAAAACTGTCCTTTCTAATGAACAATTATACACAATGTACAACTCTTCATGTTCACTGGGAGGGTTTACAAAATGTACCATTCCCAACAAAAATGCACCAGAAAGGCTCCATGCAAACTTATCAAAAGTGAACAAAAATATGGGGGGAGGGGGGAGAAAACCCTTACTGATCTCACTTTTTGCATTTTTTTTTGTTTACAGTCACAAAAAATAAACACATCTAAGTTTTGTTACATTTAGAGTAACTAAAAAGGTGGCAGCTGTTTATGTTCCTAAAACATCTATTGTTACCATAAAATGGTGTCCACATTGAAATCTGACATGGGCGAAAAAGGCAGATGATTTTTGTCCACAGAGTTAATAATCTGTGTCTGAGCCCTCCGCGTTGTCCACGTTTCGGGACAGCATGTAATTGTCCATATCTATAGACCTGCAATTGTTGATTGCATAGCGCAAACGCTCGGCCATGATTAGCTGACTGGAATAGGGTGGGAGCCTCAGTTGAAAGAAACAAGTCTGTGAGGTAGGCAAGCTGTCGTAAGGCTGTGGAGAGGAAGAGAAAGGAAGAAGATGGTTAAGCAGAAAAGGAAGCAGCACGCTTTAGGGCTGGGTCTGTTCACACACTTGTAGAGAGAGCAGTCTAGGCTGTTTGTTTTTTTAAGAACCCTCTTAAGAGTCAGAAAGGCCCAGCCAGGCAGGCTCCCTGAGTGGTCCTCTTTCCCAATAATAAGTGGCAAAGTGAGAGGAAATAGCAAGTGACACTGTATTTCCAGTTTTGTGCAATGAAGACTTCCAAACATACTTGGATCCTCCACTGCTGACAGAAACTTTGGGGACCCAATATTTTTTATTCTTCCTGGTGTTAATGGTATTGTTGTTGTTGATATTGATATTAATATTCAAGGGGGGGGAATACCTTCCCTCGAACAACCCCAAAGCTCGGGATTCTTCTGCTCAAGATTCTCCGAATCCAGTGTTCACTTCTAAAAACCACCCTTCTCAGAGTTTGCATTGGCAATGCAGGGACAGCTCAGGCAGGTATCTGCCTCCCATCCTTTCCTCCCAACTCCCTCACTTTGCAATACGTACTGGAGGAAGGCAGAGGAGTGTGTGGGGACCAAGATACTACGAGCCAGCCTGAAACTCATGGGGGGGTGGGAGATGTTGAGTGTGGGATTTCCAAACTGGCAATATGATTTGTACTACCTCTCCCCCATTTCAAAAAAATACACCCTAAGAGAGATGCCTACAGCTCAGCTTCTAAAGATCACTTTCTATTCTATGGAGAGATCAAGATCCATTCTATACAGGCTAGAAAAGAAGATTTAAAAACAACTAGCTGTCATTGTGATAGGATGACAGGAAAGACACCTCCCCCCCACATTCTGTAGATCCCCATCAGAGGCCTTTCACCACACCACACATCTCTCACCTCCCCAGTGTTTCCACAAACAGAACACAGGAGGAAAAGATCCCAATGGAACCAATAGGGGCTCTGCCACTTAAAAAAAAGAGCTCCCAAGTCCAACCTTCCTTGTGGGCTGGTGTTTGCTGCCCCATTCCTCTGCTGGGCAACTTCATTAATCCTTTGAATAGCTAAGTTTGGCACGTTGCCCCATCTAGTTGTGCTTCACCACAACCGGTTTTCCCCAAGGGAGCCTTGTTTCAAGCGAGAATTGAATGCCTTCATCTGCAGCATGGAGGAGGGAACCTGTGAGGGCCTCCCAAATGTTGCTGGGCTCCAATTCCCAGCAGCCGCAGTCAGTATGGCCAGTAGCTAGGGGTGATGGAGACAGACAACATCCGAAGGAGTACAGGTTCCCTGACCCTGATATAGAGGAAGTTCTTCATCCACTCCCCTGCACAGGCTTTGTCAATTCAAGATTAGCATTTACATAAACATTCTAAGTCAGTTGAGCCAGATCTAGTAGGCTACTTTCAGTTACAATATTACTTGTTCAAAAGTTTCAGTGTCCAGTGATTACTAGCTTTCTGTTGCCAGACTGAGGCAGGACAGCAATAAAGAGGAGGAAAAGTGGCACCTTACCCGATCGACCTTCATTATTTGGAAACGCTGAGAGATATCCGCTGTGTTAGCTGGCAGGCGAGATCTTCCTGACACAAACCTCATGAAAAGGACACGCTCCTCATTTGAAAACTCTTCCAGGGTGTGCCAGAACCACTGAACCAGCTGGTGCTGCTCATCAACCTCCCTGTACCGTACAACCTTCTTCAGAACTTCCACAGAAATTTCTGGCATTCCGCAGACCATCTGCTCCAACTGCTTAGCAGTCAGAAGAGAAAGCAAGGGGACCGGGACAATCCACGACATCCCTTCTCGCACTGCGGCCACCTGTAGCCCAGAGAGATGGATTTTAGTAAGTAGAGACACAGATCTCTACTTTGCAACTACACAATCCGAAGTACAGTCAGTGAAAACACATTTTGGGACGGGTAGCTGGTAGCTCATGTAACAAACACATATTCGAAAAGAGAATGCTAGGCCAGAAATGGTGTGACCTTGTGTGCAACTACTGCAGTGTTGTTAAAAGTCGCCCCCCCTTTTTTTTGCTGTTCTAGCTTTTGGAGTTTTTTTTGTATCTATTTTAGATCTTTTTGTGATTTGTTTGCAAATTATTCAGTTTGGTTGTCTATTTCTTGATATTTATTTGTTTATGACTTCTGTTGTAGCTATGTATTTCAAGTTGTAAGCTGCCTTGAGCATGGTTTGAACCGTGTAAACGTGGCATATAAATAAAATTATATATGTATGTATGTACTACTTGAGAAAAACAGCAACACTAGATTGTCAATGATCAAGTGATATTCCAAAAAAGGATATGCGTTGAGTTCCGCATGTGTTTGGTAAGATGCAGGTTTTATGGAGTACTTCCCTAAGAGAGAACTATATTCTTGCAATCGTAGACTAAAAGCACTTTTGGTTGGCTCAAGTAACGTTAATGAAGTAGCATAATGTGTTGTTCTTGTTAATTTCATAGAGTATGCTTTTGAGCTTCACAGAGCTCAGTGACAGGAGAACTAGTCTTGATGTGGAACTTAAGAGCTTGCATACTGCAGCAGCACAGATTGGACTAACCGTGAGGTATCTTGCTAAATCTCTTTCTCCACTCTACTGTACCATTTAAAAATATTTTTCAAAACTATATTCCAGATGCATCCAGATGAGATCCTATTTGACTATAAACTTTCAGAGGGCAAACCACTGGACCCCTGGATGCAGCAAAGTGACAACACAAAAGTCTTCATAATAGAAAGCAGTCACAAAACCAGGGAAAACTTTAAATTATAAACAGCTATTGAAAAAAATGAAAATCTTATAAATACATCTGAGATTCTCACCTGACGGTCAATTTCATGGAGTCTGTACTCGATGGCCCTTTCCACGTACTCCTTTCGGTTTGAAAAAGTAAGTGGGATACTGTTCCCACCAGGGATTATGGGAACCATTTTTCCATCTGCACTCTGGCCAACAAATGAATCTAAAGGAATCATCTAATTGGAAAGAAGAACACTTTTAACACTGAGTTGTGGCCAAGCTTCCAAAATGTCCATATTTATGATTTCACTACTACGCATGGACTGATTTCCACCTTAGCCTAGATACCAACTATACATTCTTTTTACTTCTCATTCTACAAGTGCCCCCAAACTAAGTATATGACTTTCAACTCCAGGGCCATGATCTTGCATGGCAGCATCTAGCATGCTGACTTCAGGAGGTGGAAACAGTTGGAAAGAGCTTACTGCTTATCTTACCTCATGGAAATTCTCTTCCGTAATCCCACTGTCTTCAATGTGAAGAATGCTGTTGAGGGTTTGCACATAGAGAAGATCCACCTCCTCCAAGTCCTCCAGAGTGAGTGGGATACAGCACAATTGCTTCCAGACCATGGGAGCCAAATGAAGATCTAAAGGCTTCTTGGTACGAATGGCCACACCCATCAGAATGCCCAGGAACTTGAACTGCATCAGATGTTCATCTGAGCAGGCAGAAGGGTTGAAGAGGAACCTTGAAAAGATACAAGGCACAGGAGTGATGTCAATACACAGGCTTCACTAGAATGGCTACCCAAAGAGTCAGGATCCGAGTGTGTATCACAGGACTCAAGGGACTCTGCATCACTTAAGTGCAGTTTTGTGCCCAGAGATAAATACAGCACCTGCTTGCCCACCAGCTCAGATCCTTAAGGCTGTCATGGGCCAATCTGGTGGGGAATCTTATATGTTGCAGTAAAAACTCCAAACACAAACTTGTTCAAATTATTTTTGAAGCTATTTGTGGAATATGCCCTGAAATCTGGCACAAAATAATATGAATAACCATTTTTAACATGCTGATGTTGACGTAAGTTTATTTTATTTTCAATATTTTTATGCCATTCCATAAACACAAGATCACAGTGTCCTTTGAGTCTGCCACGTTGAGCTTATCATGTGACTGCCTCAATACGTGGGGGCATTTTACTGCATTATGTTCTGTGAATAAGGGTTAGTTTTGTTTAAGACAATCCAATCTCTTCTGGTTCAGTAGTGGAGTAATTTTCATGCAAACACCTTTTAAAGTGTTTAAATGAACTTTTATCCCAACAGCATACACAGTTGCTTTGTAAGGCACAGGTTTGATCTACAAGCTACTGTATAGTTCAGAGTCTAGGTTCTCTGACAGTGGGTTGCAAATATACCACTAGAGGGCAGCTGCAGATCCAACTCAGGCAATTAAGTTCAGAATCCTGATTGCAATTAGCTGGCCTTCATCCAGTTGTCTACCTTTTACAGTCCAGAGCCAACATCCAACATTTTACTCCCCTTAATACCTATGTGATTTTACTAAGATCACAGGGACTTCCCTCACTCATTTCAACAGGGCCTGCCTTGAATTCAGAGACTAGCAGCCTTTAGAGAAGAGAACACCTTGCCACTTACCGATCTCTGTTGTAGCCGACTTCAGCTGTTGCGTTTGGGGGAAGGAATTAGGAGGTCTACCACACCAGTTTCAAGTTCCTTATAAATTAAGAAAGAAGGATGGAGAGAGAGAGCATTTAAGGCATTATCAGATCTGACCAAGCATATAAAACTACATGTTTTCATACTAGCTACAACAAAAAGGGTCTTTGTAGCCCCTCACACGCACAAAATTAGTGGTGATTTGAGTTAGAGAAACTCAGTCTCAGTGCTTCCAAACTGAATCATGGGACAGACTTCATTTTCATTAAAAAATATTATAAAACTCTTAATTCCATGCTAATGTATGGCATGCTGTAACTATGGGGCAGTAATAGCAAGTAACTAAAGTCCACAATAGACAGGGTCAGCAGAAAGTATTTTGCTGGCTGGGAAAACGCTTGCTGCACCCACAAGAAGGCATAATTTACAAGGAGCAAAATCCAACAAGGAAGTTCTCATGGATGTGAGCCAGAGCTGCAGAAGCACAGTTCTCTGGGGTGGGGCAATGTAGTCTCCCCAAGTAAGAGCTCTCTGTGTTTCTCTTTGCTGCCTTTAACAATATTGATTATTTTGTAGGAGTATTGGATCCCACATGGTGTTGGTGCACCCACCTGACCTTTTTAAAACCTCATTTTAACTACGTTAAAATTGGGTTTAAAATCCTTTTAAAAATCATTGGCCTGTCCCCTTTCAGGGACAATCTGGGGTGGGTGGCTCCCAAGCTGGCCCTGAGCTAATCAGCTTGTTCCAGGGAGCAACAAAACAGATCTGGGAATCTGTGCATAGCCCTGCTGAACAGCCACCTAATTTCTGGTAAACAAACAGGGCAGGGAGCCTCTATACCCAAATGGCCAGTTGCAGAGATTATGGAGTTTCCAGAAACACCTTGTTTGAATAAGTGCAGGTGTCCCTGGTTATGAGGAGGGCAGATCCCACTGAGAAGCAAGCATCGTGGGGATGCCACAGAGTGGCATCCAATAACATGGGAGACACATTTCTGCTACCTGACTGGCCAACATTATCTCAGCCTGGCTGCTTTCAGTCCCAAGGAAGGTCCTCTTATCATCGACTGCCACACTTTTTATTAGATCTATATAGCTATATAAAACTACCATTTTGTTAACCTGCAAAATACCCTACTTCACATGTTTCAGAATCCTGCTGTAAGTAAAAAAATGCCGGACTATAATATCACCTTCCAACTCAACAAACCCATTTCCATTCCAAAACAGGCTGGCATTTAATTCAGAATTTTCATCAGGCCAAGGACACCCTAACCCTAACCATTTAAAACTATATTGAAAATCAAATACCTGGCACATTTCAGTAATTGTGTCATCGAAGACACCGCCTGCATCATCAGCACCTTCCCCCACTAATTTCACTTTCCAGGCACGAGAGGGCAGGCGAAGGTCCGATGCATTCAGCTTCACAACTTGCCTTGCGATTTGAACAAAAATAGGCTTACATTTCCGACCTCTATGGGGGAAAAAAATTTGTTAACTTCAACCAAACTTGCTTGGAGGAAAACAAACTACAAGCACTGATTCAGATATGAGGCTAAGCTAAACCATGACTTTGCTTGGGGTAGTGTAGCAGCAGGACCAGAGGGGAGAGCAGTAGCTGCCGTCTTTGCTCTGGGCACCCACACGTTTGCCCCGTTGCACTAAGCCATGGCTTTGCATAGTGTTCCATGCTGACTGGGCCCCTCCTACAACACCAGAAAGGAAGAAAAATGCAGCCTGACCTTGTCGAGATCCTTTTGACGGTTATCTGTGGCCCATAGTTTTTCCCCTGAACCATGGTTTTTCCAATGGAGCGGACCATAGGGAGGGTGTAAACTCTCGGTGCAAGTAACGGCCTCAGTTGCCCTTGAACAATCCCCCATGTCCCAGCATTGTAATGGGATGTGCTGTTCTGTAAGAAAAGGAGGACCGCCTGCTTGAGGTCAACAGGCTCTCCAGCCCCAGTGCTTGCTTGCCTGCCGGCCAACCTCCCTCCCTCCCTCAGAACAGCGGACTGGGCTGGAGTCCCTGCTGCTCCTGAAAGAGACACCACTGTAGGAGCCACACACAGCAAACATCCCCCCCCACCTTCCATTGTAATTATGGTTACCTCCTTAGAAACGTTGCGTAGGTGTAATTTATTTCCAAGCCTCACTTTCCATTTATATATTTAAGCAAAAGCATTTAAAGATATTGACACTTAAAGACTTGGCTTTGACACCAAAGGGCACAATCCATGGAAGGTTTGCCTATATGAGCTTTCATGATGTGAGCTGAGGTTGTGCAAGAGGCAACACAACTGTGCACCTCCACAGCCCCCAATCACACAAACAGAGCTTGCAAGCTGCCCCATGGATTAGCTCGTTCTTTTAGGGAGGGGTGAGTGGGATGACTAGCTGCTAAAAAGATTACTATACACAAGAGATTATCAAGCAGTGTAACTAAGGTTGTATTGGAGTGAGATTTTACAAGCTTAAGAATACACCTGTGACAAGGTTATAAATTACGGAACTTTACCTGGTTATTGGGACTGAGATTCAGCAACCTCCATGAGGAGTACATGAGGTCTGAGAAATGGTAGAGCAGCCTCAGTCTTGCCCTTACGGTGTGGATGCTCACTTCCTTCAGCGCCCCATACTGAGGCGGGATGGCATCTGGCAAGCCAAGCTGCAAAGGCACTGAGACACCTGCCATCAGAATTAAGAGAAGGGAAGTGTGTGATCCTGCAGCCTCAAAGGCCTTGTGCACATACAACCATTTCTGGCAGGCCTGTAATGCCAACAAAATGGCACTGGTGGTTTCTTCAAAGGGGAAAGGACAACAAAGTGCATGAAAGCACAAAATATGACATAATAGTATTGCTCATAAATCATATTGGTTGTGTAAATTACCACTAATTGGTGCTATCCCATCCTGCTCCTCTGTCAGCATCAAAAGTCTTAAGGACAGAAGAATCAGGACTCATGTAAATATTGCTTTGCCCCCCAACCTGGGATTCGCACTGCAGGGAAACAGCCAATACAGTTCTTGGCTGTCAGGTTCACTCCCAGCCTCAGCACCCTTCTTTACCTGGAGCTCGTGGTGGAACAGGTGGAGCTGTCCATGCGGCACTGTGGCATCGCCCTGCTGAAATCTGCCGGATGCTCTTCCCTTGCAAGAAGGTAATCAGAGTTGGCTCCCGGATGTGGTTGGTATGGCCCAGTCCAAGCTAGACACCAGGAAGAGATTTGGAGAGAAGGAGGACTTATGTAACCCTCTAATGCATGCAGAAGAGCTGTCAAATACACAGTTGGAGTTCTGGACTGGGAGCAGGTGGACAGGGAGATGCTACATTCAAATAAATGTGTCTCCTGGTTCAGGCATTAGATTGTGTGTTTGGTGAAAGGTGGAGGAAGCAAAGGCTCATATACCTGGGACCGTTCCTTAATCTCACCATGCAGAAAGGTTTTGGGAATAAAGTAGGGACAGTAATCTAAAATTAAAGAGTGTTTAACTGAACATAGACTGTTTTGTGCGTGTTCAGTTGGTGTGTGCTGGTACATGAGCAGTTTTGGGCCTCAAAAGGGGGAGGAATGGGGCAACGGTGGAGCAGCACTGGGGCAGGCTTAGGGGCACTACACGAATGCACAAAATGACCCAGAACACAACCCCTGTGAAAATAGGGAGTTGCCTGTATTGTGCTCTTTTCATTCAAATGGCAGAAAAGGCAAACTTTTGGTGGTCAAAATTAGACTCTTCTCCTTCCACAGACCTGCCCTTCCGAGTTGCTTCCCCAGGCATAGACGTCCCCAGAGGCAGAGAGAGCGAGAGTGTGTTCTGCTCCAACAGCGACATCTTCAATGAAGACTCCTGACAAAGCTGGAACTTGCTGTGGACGGTTGTGGTTGCGGGCTCTCCCTTCTGGCAAGCCGATCAGCCGGTCTGGAACAGTACAAAATCTGGTCATGTGTCACAGGAAACAAGAGGGACTTCAAAGGGCGAAAGCAGAAAGAGAGAACTGTGGGCCTCTGGTCAGATCTAGCCTGGCAAGTTTTTCAATCCCAGTCTGCGGCCTCTCCTCAACCCCACTATCCTTGCCCTGCCTTCCCCAAGTTTCTCCTACCTCACTGCAACTTCCACATCTGACCACCACCAGAGAAAGACAGAAGAGAGAGGAACAGCATGCAAGCTTGGAAGCAAATAAAACTGATCACAGAATCCACAGCAGCAGTGTCCCTCAGAAAGATGCTTTAGCCACCGAACTCTGAGGTTTGGACTCCAAACTGGTAAATGCATCCTTGCCTCCCAGTCTTTTCCATGCTGTTTGATCAGGACTGGCCCTACCATTAGGCAGAGTAAGACCACAGCCTCAAGCAATAGATGTCAAGGGAGGCAGCAGCCCCCATAATCACCCCTGGCTCCCCCCAGCTAACCTTCTCTGAGCCCCCTCAGCCAGCCTGCTGCCCTCAGGCACAATGGAGGAGGATATTCCATTCCCCCTGTTGATGTCTGAGTGCCAGTGTGTATGTGGGATTCTGTATGTGGGGTGGGGGGTAGGTCATATTGCCATTTTCCTCAGGCAGCAAAATGGTTTCCTGTGAGCTGAAGGAGCACATGGCCTTTTTATGGTGGGGGTGGGTGGGGTAGGGAGAGGAGGAATGGATCTTTGTGTGTTTGTGCATATACTGATGGAAGGAATAGGTGACAGAAACAGTGTTGGGTGACTCTGACCCTGTCCATCACCTGCACGCTGCTGCCACCCATGAGAGAGCTAGATTGCAGGGTAGGTCCTTTGCTTCTATCTTGAAAAAGCAGTGTGTGACATTGGCAGAGCAAATGCCTTTTGTGATCCAATGTGCACGTGCAGTAAGTGTCTCCAAAGAGACTGCAAATCCCACCCCAATTTGTACTCAGATGGTGTCCAGAATAATTTTCTGAATGCTTTATCATTAAGCGAGCCAGTTTAACACACAACACATTGTTTCATTTTGAGGCTAAAATCCATTTGAGAAGTTTTGACAATCACTTTTTTTACAATGGCATAACATCTCTTTCCAGGCAGACCACCCTGTGACTTGTAAGCCCTGTGATCCTTGGATGAAGGGCAGTACAATCAATCAATCAATCAATCAATCAATCAATCAGTGATGGGCTATGGGAGGATGGGTGCTCTGAAGTGCATGGAAAGTTTGCAGTATTGAGTAAGCGCCAACTAAGCTTACCTTGGCCAAATGTATAGACATGCCCGTCTTTCGTCAATGCAACTGAAAACTGGGTCCCACAGGCAACCTTTTTTATTCCAATTCCACAAAGAATATCTACTTTCTATGAAAAAAGATTAAAAGGTAAATTACTGCCATACTTTAATAACAGATCCACAGTGAAAAAACAAAACAAAAACCAGACAAACAGACAGTACTTCTCAAACAGAAATTTAATTTATTTATTACAATATTTATAAACCACCTTTCAGGGCACACTGCAATTCACTCTCAATTCATTTTAAAATTCCAGCATCATACAAGTATATCCTTCTGCCCAATGGAACAGAACTGCTTTTCATGCAAAAGCGATTAAGTTGCATTATCCTAATCCCAAAGCTACTAAAACAAAAGCTGAATGCTCAAAAGACAGAGGTACTATGTGTGCCAAGGTCTGGAGACCCTGCTCTGGACAAGGTTGCACTCCCCTGAAATGAGCAGGGGGAGAAGACTCTAGCTTGTGAGCACCGCTCCCTCAGAGGTGCATCTAGCACCTTCACTGTATAGCTTCCAATGGATGCTTTAATGCAGACCTTTGATATCTTAGATATGTGTTTTCAGAATCCATTCACCCCGTTCCTGTGACTAGTATATTTTAATTGTTTTAAATACTGAATTCTAAATTGTTGCAACTCACCTGGGAACCTGCTAGAGAAGGGTGCGTAATAAAATTAATAACAATATAGCTTCAGTATTTGTTTTTGTTTGCATGTTTAATCTGGGATGCATACACATGATTTGCATGACTCTGCAATGGCAGGCCGAGGTCTCAGATACTGAACTTGATTTTATGGTTCTGGGGTAAGAATTAATGGATGTTGCAGATACAAACTACTGTTAACCAACACTGTATTTTAGTTTTTGTTGTCTTATGTGCAGATTAATTTATCACTACCCTAAATGCCTTTTAACTGTGTACTTGTGTTTGTTAAATTAACTTTGTCAACTAAATGAGTTTTCTTTGGAAGCAAGCCCTGTTACATTCAGCAGACTGACTTCTGGGTCAACATACAGACGCTCAGATATTAGCCAGGGTTACTCATTTGAACGTCCCACTTTGAGATCCAAGGCAGGTAAAGGCAAATCAATAAGTTCTATTGCTATAACAAAAAGACATGCAGAAAGAAAAGTATTGGTGTGTATTCAGAACATGCTTTTAGAGATATTATGGGAGAAATTACACAGAGGATGCTAACCTGTGGTGAGGATTTTGCAGTTGAGTTTCCCAAGCCCAGCTTCCCGTAGTCACCATCACCAAAAGCCCAAACCATTGAGCCATCTGTGGACACTACTATGGTGTGGTTTAGTCCACAGGCAACCTAGTATTGAAGAGTTAAACTTGTAATTAGGTTTCTACCGGAAAAAAACCAAGAAGTCTCAACTAACAGCTGCTTTGGGGAGAGGTTTTAGGAATATCCCTGTAGCAGGTTCTTCTCCAGCCTACTTTCAGCAGGAGTAGTAATGGCGCCACAAAAAGGGCCACAGGGGAGAATGAACTGCAGCAGGCACCAAAGTGAGGACGTGGGAGGCCCTCCGTTTGACATCAATGGCCTAACTATGCCACAAGACATCAGGCACATAAGGCCTACCCCCAGGATGGTAGAGAGGGCTGCCTCAAAAGCTCCAGGGCAGTTGCTCGGGCAACCTAGTCACTGTGTAAACAGCAGCATTTTAAAAGGGCTAGGCAAATGCTGATGCTGCTGACCCTACAGATATTGGAATCCTCAGAGCAGCTAAGTATCTCAACCAAGACACACCAACATTCCTTCAGGGAGTGCTGGTGGCCATATTCTGATCTCAAAGCACCTTGTACACAAAGGTGGAGGTAGAAATATGAGCTTCTACACATGTAGTTTCTTTTGGAGTAGGCTAGTAGTGAATTGTTGCTGCCTGTACACGTGCTTTGAACTACCTAACATTAAAATATGGGAACATGGTTGGGCAGGAATTTCCTCCTTCAAATTCCAGCCTGTAAAGTAGAAAGCGCCTGTGGACTGTGACGCAATCTGAGAGTGCACTTTAAACATATGAATGCAAATCAAGCCTGACCTCTCCTATCTGATAGCCTTCTAGTGCTGTCACTCTTTCAGGAAGCTTCTTGTTGGATGTGTTTCCTAATCCAAGTCGGCCGTAATCCCCATTTCCAAAGGTAAACAGTTTGCCATCTGCAGTTACCACAGCTGAATGCTTGAAGCCACAGGACATCTAGGGGACAGACAGGAGAGGGGAGAGTGAATCAGAAAATATTATGGTGAATGTCCTTTTTAAAAAAAATATATCCAGAAATATTTAGAAACAGGGTCTGCAACAGTATACGAATATGTTATTTCCAACAGAACACATGGCCTCAGGGCTTCAAGAAAAGGAAGGTGATGGATTTGTAGCCTTCACCCAAGGCACTCATTGTCTTTAGCTGTAAAGCCTTTTCTCAGATTTAGAAAACGTCTTCTCTACTTACTGACTCAAACCTTTGGAGAATGTATCTTATGGATACATTGCTCAATTCCAGGACTGCATTTTAACTTTTGGCCCATCTGCTATAGTTTTTTTGGGGGGTGAGAGGCAGTAGCTCATTGGCATGGGACCTGCATAAGGTGGCTTATGAACATATTGGAACAAAGTGGTTTCCACTCTCAGCAAGTGTGGGCTCAGGTTCTGCATGCAGATATTCTGCCTTACTACAATGTAGCAGGCTTGATGTATGCATGATGTTTAGGCACGATTACCATGTTCTGACATAATCACATGGTGCATTTCTCTGTCCCAGCCCACTTATTGGCTGCCACCAACATGAAAACAGTAAGGGGACACAGAAGGAAAGAATTGCTGAGAGAAGATTGAGAAGTGGAGTGCAGCTTTCAGTTGTCAGCCTGTGGCAGGGATAACACACCTGGTTCTATCCCAACCAGGTAAAAGGAAAACTTGACTCATTACCCAATGGGCCTGAATTCAGATTAAAGACTCCATTAATGCCTAAAAGAGCAATTGAGTCGATGCGACATCTAATCTACTTTAAAACTAGGGAGAAATAACTGTTGCCTCAAACCTGCACCACTTCTTCTCCTTGCAAAGCCTCTATTTGTCTGGGTCGGCGCTGCCGGTCACTGTTTCCGTGGCCCAGTTTGCCATAATCTCCATCCCCCCAGCTGAAGACTTCACCACTCTCTGTCAAAGCCATGGAATGCCCATCAGATCCGCAAGATGTCACCAGCTGGGTCACAACAAAACCTACAGCACAAGAAGGAAAAAAGTGTCAGAATTATCCCAAAGCATAAGCAGCTTGTTGAGCCAAATGACCAAATATGGCACAGCAGCATTCAGCAACCTGGTGCCCTTCTGCTGTTTTGCACCGCAACTCCAATCAGCCAAATGACCGCAACTCCTATCAGCCCCAGCTAGGCCTGTGAGCCTATTTGCGCCCCCCCCAGCCCATTTTCCCTATTGTGTAACATTAGGGGACTACCACCTAATGTTGTTGTAAAAGTGCATGAAAAATGCTTTGAGCACCTAAGAAAGTGATTATTATTATTTCAGCATTATACATACATTGATCTGTTGCTTTGGGAAGAGATTTTAGAAATATCAGCAATTAGGCTTTGTAAGGTATCCCAACAAGAAGCAAAACAAAACTGATTTGTCAAATTTGTGAAACTGACAAAAAGTGCTCAAAGATTTTTGTTAAAATAAACCTATAAATCATGCCAGGACATATTGCTGCCTATTAAGCTCCCAAAATGAAATGCTGGTGTCCCAACGAAAAGTGAAACCATCTCAGTCTCATCCAATCAGTGAATAATGGGTTATGTCCCACATTCAATGGATATATTTTTTCCTACTCACCTTGCAATGCTGAAATAACAGTGAGGACGTGAAGATCATCTGAGTTCCCTTGTCCCAGCCGACCATAACTTCCTTCTCCACAAGCCAAAACTGTTCCATTAGCTTGAATCACAAACGTACAGTTCTGGCCACAAATGACCTAATGCAATTAAGGAAAATGGAAAATACATAATTAAAAAAACAAAACAAAAAAGATCCCATCCACCACTAAACAGGCACAAGCACAAAGACAGTAAGCTGATCTGTTTCTAATTCACACATTGACCATAAGCAGGGTTAAAATCATATTTGGAAAGGACCTCAGAGCACATCTAGTCCAACCCCCCGCTGCTGTTGCAGGATATAATAACCACACTTTGTAAACTTGTGAGGGAACAGGGCAGCACTAAAGCCTACTCTAAGAAACCTGAATTGTGCACCCAAGTAACTTTTTCTTGGCTCTTGCAGACTTAGGCATCAGCACAGCCTAGTCTATGGAGCTTCCTTGTTTATGAAAAAGGTGGCTTGTATGCTTTGAGGTTATTTTGCTTTGCAGAACTTTCCTGCTGTTGTGTCAAATATGCTCCAACAGCCACTCCAGCCATTTATGGAAAGCGAGGCAACTGCTGCACAGGCAGACATAACGCCTCCTCCCACTCTCCCTCAAAAAGTGGTAAGGAAAGGCTTCTGGTTTACCTGTTGAGCTTGTGAGAATGATGGTGCTGACACAGGCACCATGACATTGCGTCCAGCCTCAGCTAGCTGCCCATGCCTCCCAGCTCCCCACAGGTACACGTCACATTTTCCACCAAGGTGCCAGTCCTGAGGATCAACGTAAGAGAGATTTTCAGAATGGATTACTGGTTACTTATTGTGAATGACTGTTAAGGGTATTGGGTGGTTGCTCGAGAGCAATCAGGCAAGATGCCTCACTGGTCTGTTCTAAAGCTTTATTATTGGTGCTAAAAACCTTTACGGTGCAGAGCGCCTCTATTCCATGTCTTGCTCATTCACTGGCAGAATCTGGGAGTGGGCGGTCCTTAAATCTTCCCCAGCAGAGTAGTCTCCTGACCCCCAGTCTACACCTCCCCTCTCTGCGTGAAAGCCTACTGCGCAAGGAAGGCTTGGGTAAAGGAGAACCTCCCTCCTCCCCACTTTGCTCAGGCAAGGTGCCTTGCATCCTCTGGGCCCTGCATCTCCTCCCCAATAGAGCCGTGGCTTCCTTCCTCTGCTGAGGAAGTGCTGCTTCCCACAATCTTTGGGGGCTCTGTGTAATCCATCCGCCCTTCCCCCTTTCGCCCCTGAGCCAATGGCAGTTCCCTGACAATGACCTTTATTGGTTGACATGTGGATGTGATTCACCCAAGGTAGGGACATGTGACGAGGTGATTTGAATGGTTTCCTTGTCTTGGTTCTTCCTTCAGTTAAGTCTGTGGCCAAGCTTAGAGCATAATAAGATTTCCACATTAGCAAAAGAGTCCTTAGTAAAAACAGCAGTATCAATAAAACATGGTGTGTGAGTTTATACTGATCAAGACCCAGGGCAAGCCAACTTAGGACTGCCAAGGGCTGATCTGAGAAAGGGTTTTCAGAAGCTTCCCTATCATTCAATATCAGTATCGTTTGCTGGGCGGTTCGAAGTTTGTTTTTGTTTTCTGTCAAAGACAATGGAGGTGTCATCTTTTCATAGTCTGGCAGGAAAACATGCTCCAGCAAGAGTCTATTTTGCTTGGTGGGATTGTTCCTTGCCATATGTTAAAGGTAAAGGTACCCCTGCCCGTACGGGCCAGTCTTGACAGACTCTAGAGTTGTGCGCCCATCTCACTCAAGAGGCCGGGGGCCAGCGCTGTCCATAGACACTTCCGGGTCACGTGGCCAGCGTGACAAGCTGCATCTGGTGAGCCAGAGCCGCACACGGAAACGCCGTTTACCTTCCCGCTAGTAAGCGGTCCCTATTTATCTACTTGCACCCGGGGGTGCTTTCGAACTGCTAGGTTGGCAGGCGCTGGGACCGAACAACAGGAGCGCACCCCGCCACGGGGATTCGAACCGCCGACCTTTCGATCGGCAAGCCCTAGGCGCTGAGGCTTTTACCCACAGCGCCACCCGTGTCCCTTGCCATATGTTAGGATCGATCAAAATGGCACCCCACTCCCAACAATGCTAGGGTTTGGTAGGGGCAGCCTTATCTGCTTCTGATAAGAAACACTGAACTGGAGCTGCTTGATTTGACATGGAGATAACACTCAGAGAAAGCTGCTCCGGCACCTGAAGGCTGTTGGGAAGCCTTTTGATTAATGACATTGACGTACTGTGCTTTTTTGGCATACAAGCTTACTAGACTGGCTGCCAGTCAGAGCCATTTCACTTATGCTGGGGAGGGGGCGGAGGAACAAACTATTTATTTTTGAGAGAGACAGAAATACAACAGGGGGAGGGAGGTGGACATGGAAGCTAAAGTGGAAAAAGGCGGAAAGCAACCTGAGCACAAATGAAGAGAGGAGAGGAGTAACACTTGCTTTGGGCGAAGGCAGGGACTGAACTAAAGGAGATGCCAAGAGAGGGAGACTGCATTCAGATGACCTGGTCACATGTTCCCATCTTGAAAAGTACAGGACATAAACTCTCAAATGGGTGCCTATCAGAGAAAGGGATCACCACATTGGGCTGCTTAAACACACCCTTCACTATACTAACCTCAGGCCGTGATGTTGCCCAGGACATAATCTGCTCATCCATCCCATTGATCCATTTGCAGTTATCCTACAAAACATGAAATGAATTATATTGAGGCTAAATGCATAAGCTGTTCTCCATCCTTCCAGGGCAGTTCTTCTCTCTCTGTCAGAGGAGTAATTTCTTTATGTTTCAAAAGCCTACCAAATGGTGCTTCTCAAACTGTGGTAGGCCCCAACGTATTCCTGGGTGGGCTGCACAATGATGAGCTTCTTTCTCCGCAAGAACTGGAAGCATCAGGGCATGCACAAATACTTTTGAACTTTCAGTCAAGGAAGCTACTCGCTGAGCCAGCCCCCCCCCTCTCTCTCACACACACACACACCATTTTACATTGAGCATGGGTGGGCTAGCTGAGGTAGCCATTGAGAGAGCTGCTAGACTTGGCTGTGGTGCAAGCCAATCAACCAGTCAATTTTGGGTTTGTAAATGTGGGATTAGCTTACAAGTGGATCCCAAAATGTTTATGCAAGTTTACAGTGGATTCCACTTCAATTGTTTGAGAAGCACTGCTATGTAACTTGTTTTCTGGAATGGAGAGAGAGGAGTGTCTGAAAAGGAAGAATGAGTGTGTGAGTGAGTGAGTGAATAATATTAGCAGCAGGATCCCATCCTTCCTTCAGATCCTGACAGTTCATATACAAATTCCCAATAATCAAATTCCTCAAACATCCTTATCGTCAACAGAGAAATAATAATACTGACCTGTCATAAAGGGCTCTTAAAAGCATCTCAATATGTCAGGCACTTGGATAATTAAAATATTTATTATTATTATTATTATTATTATTATTATTATTATTATTAGGCACAAAGCTGGGGTTGTTTTGGGTGATATTGCCCTGAAAATTTATTCTAAGGATAGGTGGGGAGGCAGGTGTGCTACTGTTTTGGTGCCACTGAAACAGTACTAACTCTCTCTGCCCAACCCTGGCAAGTGCTCCACTGATATTTGTAAGTTTTGTCACACCACCAACCTGCATATCTTACCATAAGAAGGACTAGTTCATCCTCTGGTACAGGCTCCAGATCAGGGACTGTAAAAGACTCTGGAAAAGTGGCTCCTTTGGCCAGAGCCTCAGCAGCTTTAATTGTCGTCGAGAAGCACTCCAACCAGGCCCACTCCGTTGGGTTCCAGGTCAGAGGATCGGGGAGGCAGGTCTGGTGATGAGGTGGAACTGGTGGGCTGCACAGGAGCTGATCCAGGTGAAGCCCCACGGCCAGCGAAGCTAAGCATTGCATGTATGGACTATGAACAAGCTGGTCTCCACAAACTACATGGGGCTATAAAAGAGGAAAGCCAACATTTACAAAGTCCTGGAGTGGGTTAGTCAATCTAATCCAACTGGTACTCACTCATTGGTTTTCTCCTGCTGCCACCACCACCACCACCTCTGACTTTTAGGAGCTACCGTCCACTAGCAAAAACTCACAGCACAACAGATGGTACAATCCATTGTGCAACAAAGTCACCAGCAACCTGCTTATGCCTTCTCTAGCACAACAATGTTTTGCCAGAGAACATTTTGCCAGCTATATTGCTCTATGACTTTAACTTAGGACTACATTGTATGCAACCAACATATTCATTTGAAAGGTGACTGTGTGAAGGTTGCTGGGGTCATTTAACCAGTTTTAAGTACATCTTTGTGTTCTCATTTCTGAGTCCAACAATGAACACAGGCTCAATTCAATGAATTATCAGGCCTTCTTGGGGGGACACACACGCCACAACTAATATCACACCAATAATGAAGTTCCCTCACTCTCCATGTTCCCTCAATTCTTTCCAAACATCTTCTTAGGAAAAGGATTCAAATGGTCATAAGATGACATCTTACGGAGTGATACAATCAACCTACATCAGTACACACAACCTAACTTCCATCAGCTTAATGAAACTCTTATGAAATCAAAACGGTTATACAAAGGAAGTTATTCTGCCAAAAAGCAACATAAAATTGGTCAAATACTTTGCCCATATCCCAACAATGCCAGAGAATATTAATTTCAAGGCTCTCTTGTCATTTCTTAAACAAATACTGGAGAACCAGAAGTGTGTGGGACATATGATTTCATGCAAGGTAAGATAAGCATTTCTACTCACATCTTGTGTTAAAAATGTTTTGTTAAGCACTATGCACAGTTAAACAGCACTTTGCAGCTTTCTTGAATTACTAACATGTCACCTTATTCAAGTCCTCCTCTTACCTTTTCATAAGCATACTGTTCCTGAAGCATTATGGGCAGACGCTCTAGGAAAGCCCTCATGCAGGGAGCCATGTTTAACCCAAGAATCCCCTGTTGTTTCAAAGCAGTCCTACAGGTTGCAAGGATATGGTTGGAAGAGATCCATTCTGATGTGCAATTCACCACCAACACATCCTGAACAAAATTCAAATATGTCCAATTCAGGAAAGAAAGGAGAAAAACAGCTTGCTTAGCTTTTACAAACAGATAGAAGCTTGATATAAATCTGGTTTTGTTTACTATAATTATTTGTATTTCATCACTGATTTTATGTTGCTAATTGCAAGCATTCCCCTCCCTTTTCTCCCTTCTTTAATGTATCTGTTATTTTTAATACACTGAGGGTAAACAACAAAGAGTCTTGCGGTATCTACCTTACAGACAAAAGATTTATTCTGTAGCAGAGGTTTCATTGGCAACAGTCCATTTTGCCAGATGCACTTAGTTTGAAACAGCAGAGTCCTCAGCATGTTGTCTCAGAAGTAAGGCCCACTGTGTTCAATGGAGCTTACACTCCCTAGTATGTATGTTTAGGATTGCAGCCTTGCAGCACAATCCTATACAACTCGATTCAGAAGTGAGTCCCATGGAGTTCAATGGGGCTTATTCCCAAGTAAATGAGTGTAGAAATGCAACTTGATAGGTTTTTAAGGTACCACAAGACTTCTTGTTGCATTTAAGTAACACAAATTCCCCCTCTAGTGCTTGCCATTAAGGAGATTATTATATATTGCAATATAATGATGCTCAAATGTGTTGATAATCTGTTAATATAGACTATGTTAACAATATGGAAAACAGCCTTCTTCTACTAGAAGAAAACATTAATTACTATGTTACTATTTCCAATTGTATTTGCTCCACCAGTGGTCAGAAATTACAAATTTCATTATTTGTCTCTGCAGGTGTTTTGGAGGAGGAGAAGGAGCATCAGCACTACAGCCAGATTCTTCATTACGTGCAAATTTAGACTAACTATTCCATGTAGCAAGCCTGAAATCAGCTGTCCATTACTGTACACTGCCAGTAATTCCTGTACAAACTTTTATGAGATACTGGCTGAGAAACAAGTTTAGTTCATTGCTTGATTCAAGTTCACAGCTGTCACTAGGATGGCACACTTGGTCACCCACTGGACTGAGCACACACAGTCAAGGCAGGGATTAAAAACATGGGCTAGCCCAAGCCCACAGAGGAGAGAAGATGGGCATTCAGAATTCCATTCAAACAAGTGAAAAATACCTTTGATCTACTAGAACAAGCAGCTACTCCAACCTCAGGGATCCATACGGTTGTCTGAATGGCTCCAGAACCTATCACAACACTCTGTAAAACAGATCCATCCTAAAGGAAAGACAGGATAAACCCACAAAAGCTGATTACTTAACACAGCTAATCGTTCTCTCGTGGCTACATTCAGGTCATCAGTAAAATAACTTTTAAATATTTCCTAATCTTTAGGGTAAGTGCAAACTTGTGTGCCTATGCAGGAACCCTAAAAGAGCAAAAACATGACTACAATGAATGAAAACAAGCTTTACATTTCCTTAAATAGTGTTTGCTTACCCGTAAAGACCAAATGTTCACAAGCCCACCAAGTCCACCTGATACCAAGGTTAGTCCATCAGAACTGAAGGCCACTGTCCGAACAGGCGTGATATGCCCTTTCAGCTGATAGATGCACTTCGTTTCAGCTACTTTCCTGTATGCATCCTAGAAATGAAATATCATCATTAGGGCATATTTTGTATTAAAAAATACATCAAACATTTTACTACTCTGCACTTACCTTCTGCAGCTCCATCCCTACCCACCCAAAAATATTTGGAAACACAGCAGTTTCTTCAACAAACATAAATTAGATAGACACAGTGGGTGTATTTATGGACAGTTTGCTAGGAATAAATACTGAGAACATGCTGAGCAATTATTTTTAAATATTACAGACAAATAAGAGTGAATTGTTTGTTCACTCCCAATCATCAGCACAATCTAGGTCTATTTTGCCTCTGTCACCCCAAGACAGATGCCTTCCTAAATCAGATATTGTTGCTTTCAGGACCACACTCCTTCTAACAAGGAAGGGAAGGATCTAGATTCCTCTTGCTCCCTATGGTTCTCTTTACCTTGCCATTGGCTTCCTCATCCCACCATCCTTCTGAACAACGCAGACTGGATTGCAGTAAGACCAGCTCATCTTGAGGAACAGTCCAAACACAAAGCAAACCATTCTGGCATCCTCTAAATAAAAATTAAGAATAGCAATATTGAAGGGCCACAATTTATCAGTCAACAAAGTAGGGCAAGTTGGTTAACAATATAATCATGTTTGCACTAAAGGTTTTGCTTTTCAGTCTCCGGAAATCTTGCAAGCTGCCTTCTCAGAACTTTCCCTATATTACAAAGATGGCAGAAGACAGGAGTCCACAGCAGAGGGGAACATAGAGATGAAGCTTGTCTCTCCTTTCATCTGGTGCCTTCTTTGAGGATGTGGGGGGAAGGTACATCCAGAGGATGGGTTCTACTACAGAAACTGACACAGGTACTGGGAGAAGATGGTAAAACTGTGAACATTGTGTCCAAAATTCTGAAACTATGGTGCCATTTTGTACTTTTATATTTAACAGAAAGAATGCAGAACCATTTAGAATCACAGACTCATAGAACCATAGAGTGAAGGGTGCTGCCAAGGAGTGTGGTGGAGTCTCCTTCTTTGGAGGTCTTTAAGCAGAGGCTTGACAACCATATGTCAGGAGTGCTCTGATGGTGTTTCCTGCTTGGCAGGGGGTTGGACTCGATGGCCCTTGTGGTCTCTTCCAACTCTATGATTCTATGATTCTATGATTCTATGATTCTAAGGGACCCCAAGGGTCATCTAGTCCAACCCCTTGCAATGCAGGAATCTTAATATAGAATCATAGGGTTGGAAGGGACTCTATTTGGAATTTAAAAACAAAGCAAAGCAAAGCGAAGCAAAGCAAAGCAAAGCAAAACAAAACAAAACAAAACAAAACAAAACAAAACAAAACAAAACAAAACAAAGGCAATACAGAGTTCCTCCATTTGGACTTAAATAATAACTATTTTTAAAACAAGTAAATGCAGGGGGAAATGTCCTAGAAATCCATCAAAAAGCAGGCCTGTTTTTGTTTATGGATAATATAAGGCTGAACTACTGAAAAAGATTATCAGCCAGTACAAAGATAAACCAAAGAATTAAAAGCAAAAGGTCAACTTACGTAGCCAGCAGGAGCTGTGGTTTGGGGCCTTTCCCTAGAAGGCTGCACCAGGCTATGGTATTCACAACAGCCTGGTGAGGAAGCAAGTACAGCTGTCGCCAGCAGCTCCCCATGTATCCCCAGAGCTTGACAGACTCTTCCTTGGCACAAGTCATGAGCATCTTGCCAGTTGGATCCCATTTCATGCTGACAATGGTGTCCTGAAGAATTGGAGAAGAAGGAAATACACTGTAGTAGGGCTGCCAAACGTCTGGGATTTCCCAGACATTACAAGGATTTGAAAGGAAATGACGTCTGGGGGGAATTTCCGGAAGGCGGAGCCTTGTCCTAGATCTTTGGCAATCACGAGAAATCACGTTTTTCATATACTTTGGGGTTTGTCTTAAAAAAGTTCAACAACTTTTGCGGTGTCCTGGTTTTTACTTTTTGAAATACGGAATCTTTACATGGCACGAATGCTAACTAAATAAACCCATTTGAAAAAAATAACTCCCCCTGTTTAAATAGATAAATGGGGAAGCTAACTTCTAAGAAGCAAGAGCAATTGGAAATGCTTCTCTAGGTCCAGGGCAAAGGTATATGACAGGCAAACACCGTGACTCCAGATTGGTGAATTTGCTGCCTCCCCTGTGAAAATACTGCAAGGGCCCACAAATACAGAAATGGCATCTTTGCTCCTAAGATGATTCCCTCTTCTTTCCCTGCTCTCTGGCCGCTAGCAGTTGTACTTAGGGGTACTTATACTTTTCTTCACAAAGATCATTTAAAAAGTCATCAAAAATTAAATGACAAATAATGCGAAGGACCACTACTTTAACTGGTGACCTTAATGACAGAGGAAGACACGACTTTATATCTGTGTCACTAAGTAATAAAGTAATTTTAATAACCTAACAGCAATTAGAAAGCAATGCAATTTCAGAATGAGCAATGATTTCCCTTAAGAGTACAGGCTGGCCTTTTGAAAGAGTTGTCTCAGACTTGTGCACATAAACTTAAAGTTTATTTTAATTCTCAAGAATTTTTCTGGGGGAGGCAGGGTGATGATAATGCCTGGCTTTACCTTGTGTGCATCCACTAAAACAATTCCTCCTTTCTCGAGTGGCTCTTTCGTGCCTATCAGCAACTTTCCGTCCATATAGCCTATTGCAAAAGGTTTGTCTTCACTAAACCATGCAAGGCAAGTAACAGATACTAAGGAAACAAATAGGAAAATATGGATAAGCAAGTTATAATTTGCAGAAATTTAATTAAACTTCTTTGTACTGGAGAAAACAAGAGCAAAGCTGAATAAAGTGTAGGGGGAAGTGAGTGAGTGTGCATGTGCAGGAAAGGAAGCTCTTCTAAAAATACCTATCACTTCCAATTGTGCTACACAATTTACTTGAAGACTAAGTGCCTAGAAATTTCCAAAATCAAGGACTAAGACTTACTAAGCAAATCAGGGTTTTTTTCACAGATATGGAAACAAATGTCCACATTTTTCTTTAATACGTAGTCATAAATGTTCATAGCTGAGCATATTGCACACTATAGGGAATTAAAGAACATAAATCCACCAGGCGTGGCCTTCATGAATGACATGAGTGAGAAACAGAGATCAAGTTCAGGCTGGCTCCTTGCAAGTCATGATTTTCAGAACAGCAACTGGCCTTGAGGACATGTGCTCTATCCCTTTCGCCTATCGTAAGCAACACATCCTTCCCAGCGTTAACCTTGAAAAGGGCACCAATGCAAACCAGAGTTAACCACAAACCAGATTATTCCAAAACACTAGCTGGTATAAAACCATGCAGATTATGGTTTTAACTGAAGGTTAACTGAAGCTTGTGGTTAACTCTCAAGACAAGCCTTCCAAAGCATTCTAAGCTTCAAAACGCAACATTTTTTTTAAAAAAAATAACCACCTTACAACATGTCAGCAGCACCTACTTACCATCCTTTCTGTAGCAGTGTTCCAATTCAACTCTGTGCATGGCAGAAACATCTAAAACTTCAATAAGTCCAAGAGATCCATCCATACGACCTACAAGGAGTGATTCTGGAGCTTCTCCTGTCCATGTTGCAGCTGGTCCTTCTTCTGGCCATGCTAGAGCAGACACCCAATGTGGCTGAACATCCAAGAGTCCTTTTCCTCCTAAGAAAGCAACATGTGCCTAATTTTTCTATATATTTTAATACCCACTGATTTCCATAATCCCAAAAGATGAAGACACATCCAAGAGCAGCACTGTCACTTCTGTAGCATTCTTCCCAGTTAGGCACTGCCAAAGCACTCTGGCAATTTTAACCTGTGATTGTACAAGCTATCAGATAGCCCATTCAAAGGTTCTTTTACACAGCAGGAGGACAGACTTTGGTTTGGTGCTGGTTGAGGATGCTTGTGTCTGGGAATCCCAAAAGCTTTCCCCTGCAGGTGTCTTGAAGGTTTGCCCCCACCCCAGATGAGCCCAACAGAAGTTCTAGCATGTTTCAACCCAACTGTGAACCCACCTTCAGTTATTTATCCTCTTTCTCTGAGCTGCTGTTCCAAGCAAAGGTTAATTTTATTTAAAATCCTTTATTAGGCATAGCAAACCACACATTATCAAACAGACACCGTATACAAATTGTGCAAAATACGAGCTCAACATAACAAGGTTTGTCCCAGTCAGATCTTTAACTCCAGAGAAAATCAATTTGCAGAAATAATACAATACAACACTACCACATCACCGATCAATTAAGAACCACTAAATCTCTTTATAATGACCCAGTCTTTCTACAAGGACAGCACTCAAAAATTCAGCCACTATTAAAGTAATTTGATCATTCCTGTCTGAGAGCAGGTCCTGAACCATGGGTAGCATAAAATTGAGCCTGTTGAGTTGCAAGGCCTCTATATTGTCTTCAGGCATAAATGCCAAAATCACAAGAAAAGAAAATATGCTCCAAAATATCAGGTTCCTGTTTACTACATTTGCAGATACGCTCTGATTCTGGGAGAGCTAAATATCTTCCTCTTACTATCACTGAGGGAAACATATTAAATCTGGCTAACAAACAGCCTGAACAATTCATGAGCCTTCAGATTTGTCATGTATCCCTTTTGAAAATCTCTACACAAAGGGAGATTTAAATAGAGAGGAGAGCAAGTGCTGAGCTTTGCAACCTCAAGAGTGAACACTTTTTTCTGTAAAATTCTTCCTGGTAAAAGGTTAATTTTAAAAACCACTGTTGCTGAAGAAGCAGCTGCTGCCAATCCCAGCTTTTTTATATAAGACTTCAAAATCTTAGATGTCTAAACATTCAAAAGTACAAAGTGTAAAGTGGCCCATGGATTCCGGGGGAGTTTAAAATTATATGGATTTTTAAATGAACGATACCAATTAATCATGCGCTAGATACCTAAATTAATCAGAAAGCAAGTGGTGCTACACACCTGGTATTATTGGCCCACAAAGTACACAGAATTATTACTTTGCTTTTAAAGACAAACTACTCTTGCCACTATGTGATCAAGCAGGACCAGCCCTACCATTAGACAGAAGGAGATGGTTGCCTCGGGCAGCTCACTTTGGATGTCACTATTACTTTTATATTTATGATTGTATTTCTATTCCCGAGAAAGAGGTGCTTATGGGATTTCAGCCCTCGGGCACCATCATAACTTGTTCAGCTTTGGGTAATATGCACCTTTGTTTTATTCCATTTGCTGTTCCACTCTGGCAGAGAAATGTATCAGGCCAGTTTTATAATCAAGTTACATTCTACCCCACCACAATGAGGATGGCTCCTTCTGATGACAGGTATGCAACATTCAGTTTTATGTGGCTCATACCATTAACTTGCCATATGTTCACCATCTTCTCCAGGGCTCCAGCCAGGTACTTGCCACTGACACTCCAACAGGCAAGTGATAAGCTAGGATCGCTAGGTGACCCCAAGTTCTCCTCTTCGTCCCCTTCCCTGAAATATAATTTTAGCTTTCAGTTAGAGGAACGTAGAAGGTAAGGCATATTTGAAACAAGTCAGTTTCTCAAACAGTAAGCCATACAATTAAGTGGCTCTCAATCACTGGTCCAGCTTTGATCATACCTTAACAACAAAATCATTTTGGAAAGGGTATAAATGAAGCTCCACTCCAGACACTATTATTCTTGCAAAACTTAAACCCATCTATTGTAAAAGCTATGGCAGGGATAATAAACTTCTGGTTTAGGGACAATAAACTTGTACATATTTTGTCAGGCTGCAGCTCCCATCATACCTGACCACTGGTTATGTTGCTTGGGACTATTTTTCTTGAAAAAGAGGTGCTGGAACTCACCATGAACACCTCCCTTGTTCTCTTAGAATGGCAATGGAGCCCACCTGGAAGTTGCCAGAACCCACCTGAGAGGTGCCAGAACTGAGTTCCAGTGAGCTCCAGCTGAAAAAAGCCCTGGTTGGGACTGGTGGGAATGCCCTATCTATCCCCTGCCTATGGGCTATTTTATGGCATGGTAGGGTATTCAATAAATCCTAAGGCAAGTACAGTCATCACTTCCCAAACTGAGATATAAATACTGTTCTAAGCTTGCATCCTGTTATTAAGGCTCCAGGAGCTTCAGTCTGTGATAAAGCCAAGCCAGTTTCCCTGTTTTACAAGCACTCTTGCATAGGGACCCTCATGCACTGTCACTGTGACTATTACACTGTTTCCTGTAGCTAGCAGCAGCTTTCCCAAGAAACACAGCTTCACTGAGGCTCCTTTGCAACACTTGGACATGATGCAAGATATGAGTACTTTTCTAAGCTGTTACACATTGATCACCATACATCCTGCAGCACCCACATCCAATTCTTAACATAGCTAAAAATAATAAAAATGGGATGTCAATGCTTTAATCAGTACGAACTTTCTGACAGTAAGAACTGTTCAACAGTGGAACAGACTCCCATGAGAAGCAGTGGACTCTCCTCCTTTGGAGGTTTTTAAGCAGAGGTTGGATGGCCACCTCTTATGTATGATTCCTGCATTGCAGGGGGTTGGACTAGATGACCACCAGTGTCCCTTCCAACACTACAATTCTATGGTTCTATGCGCGACTTAACACCTTAGTCTTTAGGCAGTGTACAGTATGGCTTAAAAATACAATAAAAATAAAATCAGTAAAGACTAGCCATAAAATAAAAAAAAATTTTAAATAATAAAATAAAATAAAATAAAAAATATCTTCAGTAGGCACTGTTAAGTTCAACAGAGAGGAGTCCTATCTGAACTCAGCTGGGAGGGAGCTTTACTGAGCTGGGCCCACAATATTGGTTACAATGTCCCTTGTGGATATGAGCTGTGCATCCAAGCTATGAGTGATCAGGCAGAGATATGAGCAGTCCTTAAGGTATCCTGGACCAAGGACTTTGTAAATACATTACTGTAAGTGCAGTGGAGAAGCTGGTTGCAAGGAATATCCTATACCTTTGGGAATCAGCAGGCAGACTTTAATGCATCTGAACAAGGCTGTTTGTCATGGTTACAATGTATATAAGCATTACGGGAAATCAAAGCAAAATGGCTGCCATCAAAATAACACACACAACTCATGTTTAGCAAGCAATGGTATTAATATAGATTAATAAAATGGGATAAAGGAAATGAAGTTGCATTAAGCATGTAGAAAATTGAATTTACAAAACATGCATTTGAATAGGCCCTTGATAACTCTCCTAGCTAATATTTTACCTACAAAGCTGGCACATTAAGCTGAATGAATCTAACATCTCAAAGGATCACTTACAATTTGTTGAACACACATGTTTGTTGCAATGAGTACTGCTTCTTCGTAACATTCCACACCCGAATTGTTCCATCATTGCCACTTGTTGCTAATAGCCCTTTTTTGTTGCACCACACACATGTCATTACCTACAGTAAACAATAATAATTGCGAAGTTACAAGGCAAGCATTTAAACATTTGTTCTTCAAAATACAAGTAACATGCAATTCTCTAATGCAGCCTTTGTCAGCCTCAGATGTTTCAGACTACAACTCCCATCAGCCCCCAGCCAGCAATGGCCATATGATGCTGGGGCCGATGGGAGCTCCGCTGTACCAATCTACAGCTGTGCGATGAGAACAAGTCCCATGCTTAATGCATAAGACAGTAGTTTAACAAGCACCTCTTGGAGAAATGCCATTTAAAAAACAGTGATGTAGATATTCTGAAAGGATTATTACCCTGTTCTGGTGAGCCTCCAACTTGATGAAGGAGCATTTGCGCAGATCCCCACCCATATCTGCAAGGGTCTGTGGGCTGGTTTGATTATCTCGATCTTGAGCTGCAAGAGTTCGGACAAGCTGCTGAGCAGCCCACTGCCTATGTTGCGAGGACAACCTTGAAGAAAGGCAGCAAGCTGCTAGTGCATTAGCCAGCTCCAGAGGGCCTACAGTAGAAGGATCATAGGAAGGATGGGCATACAAATGGGCAATTATACCTGCTTAGACAAAACAATGAGATGATGTTCGGATGAGTGACAAGAACAGATAAGGTTGAACATTATTACCCACAAAACAAGAATGGAAGGAGGACCCAGCCCACACACCTGAAATCTCCAAGGAGCTGAAAAAAACTAAAGTTTTCATGTATTCCCACTCCTTCACTCAGCACAAAATTGGTATGCCTTCGCCACCTGTTTCCCCAAGAACGTTGCTAGAGCGCATTCAACACCATACACACTCCCCTTTAAAAACATTTCTTTTAGTATGTTACTGCGTGCTCAACACCATGTTGCATTGCAATGGCAATTTTGCACTGGAAGAGACCTGCTTAACCAGGCCCTAGGCCTTTCTAGTCCAATATCCCCTTTCCCACAATGACCATTCTTATGGGAAGCCTACAAGCAGGCTATGAGGACAATAAACTTTCTCCTTCCAGCGTTGTCCCCCCACAAGGTATACAGAGGCATGGAAGTAATATACAAGCATCGTGACTAGCAACCATTGATAGCCTTCTCCTCCCTGAATTTGTCTAAACCACTTTTAAAGCTATCCAAGCTGCATCACTACAGCTTGAGGATGCAAATTCCACAGTTTAACTGTGCACTTTTTGAAGAAGGAATTCCTCCTGCCTGTCCTGGATTCTAACAGTAAGAGAATCTAAATTTTCCTAAACTGAAAATCCCCCAACATAACCTTCCCTCATAGGAGAGTTGTTACAATTCCCAACCATTCTGGTTGCCACTCCATGGCTGTGTAATATCCCTTTTGAGATGCAATGGCCAGATTTTGCAGGACCCAAAAACAGCCAGTGCAGGTGCAACACTGCCAATTGCTTAAGGTGCCTCTGCCATTTTTTAGAGACCCCCCACCACTGCAGCACAACAGCTCACTCCACTTAATAGGGTCCTCCGCCCTTTATGGGACGTTTTCAAGAGGCAGGGTTCTATGGTGAGGAGTTTGGGAAGGCAGTTTCAGTTATGCATGCTTAACTCCAGGTCTAACTAACTATCTTTAAATTTTAGAAAATAAATTCATAGCCACATTCTCACTCATTTTCAATAGGTCAAGAATGTTTCATTTCATGTGACTGTAGCTTACTTTTTCTTCCAAAAAGGAAAGGCAAAGCAGCCAACAACAACAGAAGAAAGCAAATGCCATAATACAAAAACCAAAAAAATATTCTCAACCTTTGTCTACCCATGAAATGGTGAGAAACACTAGGGAACTCTCATTTCTGGTGCCTGTACTTAAAATGATGCCCTGTTAAGAATAAATACCTTTCTTTTCAACTTCTGTTTTATCATAATTTGGCCTCAGTTTGGCCCCCTTGTCTGCCAACAAGGCTACTAACGCTTGAGTCACAATAAAGTTGGGGGATGTTACAAGCTTATTCTCTTCTGCTATTCCTCGCAGAAAGCTTGGCAGGAATTTTCGTTGCACTGGATCATCCACTGTAGTCAAATTGACACCAGTTGCTGCAGAAATCAAGTTCTAAAAAACAAGAAATGAAAAAAACCACTGTAATAGCCAATATAAGTATTTTCAATTATACACATCATTTCAACTGTACAGATTTTTTCAAATAAATGCAGACACCTAAAAGGTAGATATAATTCTAGTTATTAAGCTGTGTCTATTAAGGAGATGCTATTGCTACATATTAGGCCAAGGCCATTAACAGTATCTGTTAATTTAGGGACCAAGTGTGTGGGGGGGAGTATTTACATGTCAGCATTCACATGCAACAAGTCAGACCTGGTTTACCTGCAATGAGTAGTATGTTGATACATGTTGCCTGATCCCATTGCTGGTGGTTATTCATCGGTGGTTAGGGAGAAACCAACCATAGCCCTTGCTTTAGATACAGTAGGAAAGCAAGGCTTCCAGGTGTGTTTATCCCACTCACAGCAGAGCAGGAGTAATGTGGAAGCAATCAGGCAGCATGAACCACTACAAGGCCTGTTCCAGATAAACCACGATTAGCCAGTGTCTTATTGTTATGTGTGAATACAGCAATGGATTGCTCTTCCATGTGTATCTTTGGAGGAGAACTAGACTAGATGAACTTTCAAAGTTAAGAGAAGTGACTGCAAATGTTGGGGGAGGGGGGAACTAAGCCCTGTGCCACATGCTCTCCAGCCATATACTTCACTGCCACAGAAAGCAAGATTGTTCATTACCTTGTTGGTTCCAGAGTTTAAAGGTATTATGGACTTTGTGATTCAAATAATGTTCAATTTAAAAGTAGTCACTCTGCAGTGCATAAGCACACCATGCTCCTTTTATACCAGATGCCCATTTTCAAAATTCTCATTTTGTCTGGTGTTATGAAGTTATTGTTAAGTATGTTAGTTATCTAACATACTGCATGTTAGTTATCACTACTAGTGTGACATAATGGTTAGTCCATGTACATTGCCAAGTAGAGCACACCGCATGAAAACTAAGCCAACTTGCTCAAAGTTTTATAACAATAGCACTCAATGCCAAAGTCAGAGGAGTGGGAGAAACAGGGTATGGTGATATACCAAAAGAGGATTGCTCACTTCTACGCCTTGGACCGAATCTCCTAAACCCCATTTCCCTTGGAAATACACAAAATTTCAGAGATTTTCTTTTTAAAAAAGCAATTGTTATATGCCATTTCTTGGGATAACTTCAGCAATAATAGATTTTGTACCAGAAAATAAAAAACCCAGAGCAGAAGGATGGCTGATCCTACCTGGGTACACAGTTGAACCAGCAGTTTTGCAGCACTTGGGGTATTTGAAGCTAAACAACCAACAGCTGTGCTCAGATAGGCCAAGCAGGAAATGGGCTTGCTCATTTTGCTATGCACTCCTCGAGATCTCTCGGAGGAACCGGATACAGTACAGGGACTTGTGGAGAGGCCTGCTCTCCCCGCTGCAGCCAGGCACATCAGTCGGACCAAGGTTCGGATATCGGTTAAACCCAAGGACTCAAGCCCAGCTGCAAGACTGCAACTAGACCCACTGTTGAGGGAAAAAAGGTAAGTTTTTTCTGCCTACTGACACCCCACACAAACATAGTATTCACACTTCAAGGCATCTATTATACACTGCAGCGGTCATAAAAAACAAACAAAGGACTGTAGCTCAGTGGTAGAGAATCAACCTTTAGGTTGGGCTAGAAATGTTCCCTGCCTCAAACCCTGGAGAACTGCTGCTAGTCAGGGTACACAATATTGTACAAGTACAAAGCAGCCCCTATGTCCCTAAACCAAGTATAGGATAAAGAGTACAAGTTACTGTTCTTCTGTCAAGGAGAATATTAAGTCAGTCCTCAGAAAGTCAGTGTCAGAGCAGCATACCATCATTATGTCTGCAATCAGGACCAGGGAAAAGAAAGGAAAGGACACTGGCAATCTACATCTGTTTGCTGTGGATGCAGGAGAACATGAGCCCTAGAAGTGGGAGGTGCCTCCTAGTAGCCCTGCCCCCTGGTCAAATTTTCCTTTGTTTCAATAGACTGTGAATGGAGAGTGTCCCCAAATTTGGACCACTGGATAGAGCAATATGAGGGGTAGCCAATGTGGCACTTTCAAGATGTTTTGGACAACTCTCATCAGCCCCAGTCAGCTTGGCAAATTGTCAGGAATAATAGGAGTTATAGTTCACAACATTTGGGTGGTACCATGCTAGGTATCCCTGAGACATGGAGAGAATGCTAGTGTTCAGAATTTTTTCTTGTTAGTAAAGAAAAGGAATTATCTAGAGGGGGAAAACTTGCTTTGAAATTAACACGTGGCTACTTTGGAAAGCTTGCACCAAGATGGGAATTAGCCCTACTCTCCTTGTGTTATCTAGCAGATTTTTTACCATATTCAAAAGTTGCTTAGTTTCTATTTTGCTTTGGATTTTGTCTCAGATAACACCACAAGCTAACAATCACAGGGTCATTGTTCAAATCAGGTCCTCTGGAGCTTGACAAACCTGACAGAAAGGAGTGAGAGGGCTCTCATGACCATTGTTCTTGCCAAGAGGACTTGAGCTGCCGCCGTCACCCTTCTTAAAGCCATAACACGGTCGTGTGGATTTACCAGAGCAGCAGCTTGTTCTCCCAGGGTAATTCTGCCAGAAGAACTTTTTTCTATGGAGCCATGGCAACCTTGAATTCAAGGAGTGACAAGAAAAGGAAGCATTGCAGCATGTGCAAATTTAATTCAGAAGGTTAACCTGCACTTTCCCCAAGGACTCGAGTGACAGAAACTGCACAAGATAAACACAATGGGTCATCTCTCATGCTGAAGTTAATGCTGGGCAGTTCAAAACCCTCTCTCACTCCCATTTCCATCTAACTCACCTCAACTGATGGGAGCACTGCACTGATATCTGTATATCATTCATCATCCCACTGACTACAGTTGGAAACAAAATGGTGGACTAAGTGGTCCTTTGGTTCAAGCCAGCATTGTTCTTGCACAGAAGGGGTAGCTGAATAACTCCACTTACTGAGTCAACAAAATACCTATGATTTCTTCAGAGGATGTCCCTTACATCATCTTATGTACCAAAAAAAGCCCTTCTGCTTTTACTCAACCCTACTCTCATGCTTTCCTTTCCCAATACCACGTTCCTTGCAGCTCCTTAAAGGGGGGAGGGAGATGGGAATAAGTGGTTTTGAAGTTTTCCCAGCTTTTGATGACACAGGAGGAAGCTATGAAAAAACATCTATTCCAAAGTAATAGTACCACCACCTAAAAACAGCTGAAGCCAATTAATTTGGCTGCAATTTCACAGTGAGTATGTTCAGGATAATGACCAAGAAAAAACAGTGCAAGATTTCAGGCAATTATTTCTCTATGTAAATTTACCTATTTGCATCAGTGTTTCCTCCATACTATTGGTGGCTGTGACCATGGCAACTGAGGCTCCCAGTGGATCGCTATCCGGGAACTGAACAGGCTCAGGTACAATACGGCGATCATTCAACCCAAGGGGTCCAGCCAGCAGTTCAAATTCCTCTTCACCCGTCAGCTTTTCATCCTCGTCAACATCCAACATGTCCCAGTCTTCTAGCATGAGATAAGTAAATTGCCGTTAGGTATACTATTTTAAAGCAAAACTTGAACTATGCACTGGTGTCATCTGAAAAGACCTACATAAAGAAGTACCTTCATAGACACTGTCTTGCTTGCCTATCAGGTCGGGTGCCTGTCCTTTATATCTGCACCAAAAAGAGAACACAACAATCTGCTGTTAAATCGAACACCCCATCTTTTTCTTTTTTTAAGTATTGTAGTCTTTTCTTGATTTTCTTGTTTCATTTTTATTTTTTTGTAAAAGGCTTTGAGTGTTTTCTCTTTCAAAAAAATTAAGTGGGTAATAACTTTTCTGAACTAAATGAATAAATAATATTAAGAAAGGGGTGAGGAACATGTGGCCTTCCAGGTGTTGTTGGCTAGCTGGGGCTGATGGGAGCTGGTCAACATCTGGAAGGTCAGAGGCTCCCAACCCCAGGTTTGTGAAAATTGAATTATAGCTAACTTGTCTGGGAAGAAACAATCATTTTGATGAAATATAGATTCCTCTTCAATTTTTCAACAGTCTTATCAAAGATGCACCACAATATCTTTCGAGATGCACCCCAGAATCTTCTGACACTACCAGTTCCAAGTTCCAAGCAATAGCTGAGCCAAAGAACTGGGAGTCTGTATGTGATTTTGTGTCAGGCATTGAAACCCAAACTCTGTATAAAGCATCAGAATGAAATGCTGATTTTAAAAACATTATCTTAACAGTCTATTTGATTTCATAAATTATTTTAAAATGTGACAATTTTATTCTTCTCCCTCATGCAAAGAAGTTACACAGGACTTCATTAGCAGCTCACATTTGAAAGTCTGGAACAAACAGGACTGCCAATAAGTTCTGATGCTTGTGTATTTCTAACCTTCGTCCATATGGAGGCACCCTTATATCAAGTCAAACCACTGGCCCCACCTAGCTGAATAGTCTCTACTTCTGGACAGAAAATTCATGGCCCTCCAGATGTTTTAGACTCCAGTTCTGATCATTCCAGACCATCAGCCATGCTGACTGGGGCCGAAGGGATTTGAAGTCCAAAAATATTTCTCCATCTCTGCTCTAGCAAGGGTTAGATGCTATCTCCTCCAGATGTTGCTGGATTACAACTTCCATCATTCTCCATTGTGCTGACTGGGGCTGATGGGAGTTTGAGCCCAACAACAATCCTAATCTAATTGCCAGCAGCAATCCAAGGTCTTAGACAATTTGTAAATAATATTGGACTATTAGTCAGTGTAGACCAATACAGTCTACTCTGACTGGCAGCAGCTTTTGAAGGTCTCACACTAGGGTTGCTGGGGATTGGACCCAGCACCTTTGCCATTCAGAGGATATGCTCTGCTTCTGAGCTGTACCCTTCTAATGATGTCAGGGGGACCCTGTGACAGGGGTTAGACTTGACTTGCCCAAGGCTACCCAATGGAGCTTTCTGGCCATGCAAGGATTTTAAACCAAGCTTTCAGTATCCAACCCAACACTCTAGTTACTGTACCATATTGGCTCATGAAGTTCAGCTCTTTTATGATAAGTGCTTCCTTTTTCCTTTCCTTTCTTTCTTTTTTCCAGCAAAGGGCATCACAGGCTACACAGTCTTTGGTACCTTTCCGAGGAAGATGTCTTAGACTTGCTCTTCAAGGTCAAGTATTTTTCTCGGCAGCTGCCACACAAGAGGTAATAGGGATTCCCACTTCCACATTCGCCACCAAACCATCCATCCACATAGGAGCCATTGCTGCGGTAGCCCTGCCGGTTTGCGCTGCGCCCACAGCCAGGGTGGTTTCTTTTCATGTGTTGATTGAAGCTGACAACGCTGGATTCACACAACTCACATACTACCACTTCTTCTCTGTCTTCAGATTCGCAAACATGCTGCACAGTGTAATCATGCAGTTATAATCATGTACACACAGAAAAATCTAGCATTTCCATTGTATTTTAATGGACTGTCATAACCACAGCTGACTCAGCAGTTCTCAGTTGCAGCTTATTAAAAAAAACCTGGAAATACAGTGGATTGTCATAGGTCAACCTTTGCATAGGCACCCTTCAGATGTTTTGGATTACAACTCCAATAAGTCCCAGCCAGGATGGCCAATAGTCAGGGATGATGAAAGTTGTGGACCAAAAAAGCTAGAGGGCACTAGGCTGGCAAAGGCAGCTGTAGGTGAACAACTTCAAATATATTAAAGTTAGCAGTTCATACTTTATTGGCAACCTAATGGCATGAACCTTTCTTTGACAGGGTAAAAGAAAAATTCATGCCAAAATTTCAGTCAAAGTCTAAAAATCAAGAGTCTAATTTTCTGCCTATAAACCCCAAGTTTCTTGAGTTTTAAAAAATGGCCTACAGATGCTTAATTCACATGCTCTGCATACTTTGCAAAGCTGTGCAAATAGGTTTTACAAATTGGTTTGCTTTCAGTTTATTTTATGAGGAACTCTTAAGGAAAAGGTGGAGGAAGAAAATAGAAAGGCTTGCTGGTTTTATTGAACAAACAAATTCAGGAAAAATACTTTTTTAGTATTTTTTAGCAGGAAAAATACTTTTTTTCTAGCTCTTGCAATTGAAAGGAAAATCCTAAAGTAAGAACTGCTCAATACATTTAGGCAAAATGAGGATGTAGATGGTGGTAGAATTCTGGACAGTACCACTACAACTGCAGGATCATATTTCTGGGGGAAGGGTGGTCCATAAAAAGCTTCCTTCACTTAGTAAATTAACTCACAAGGAAGAAAAGTTTAGCATCTTTCTTCCTGATGAATTAATTTACTATAAGCATAGAGCATTCAAATACCTGAGGCCAGCTCCCTGAAATTTGAGGCAGTCTAGTTTGACACCTCATTCTGTGTAATGAGCAGAATGGCTCAAAAGCCTCATTATTCTACAGACACTACTGCACTATTTACTTTTCCTCGAAAGTGATCAGAGAGACCAGAACAGAGAAAGTCAGACCCCCTAGTCCATCTAGCTCACTATTGTCTACACTGACTGACAGTGGCTCTTTAGGGATTCAGGCAGGAGGTCTCTTCCCACCCTACCTGGATATGTCAAGGATTGAACCTGGGACCTTCTGCATGCAAAGCAAGTGCTCTACCACTGAGCTACAGCCCAATAAATTTGGGTGCATTTGTTAGATCCTAATTCAAAATAAGGCCAATTATGTCTTCACTACTCAACCATAGCACTGGACATCTCTAAGAGTCTAAAGCCTATAGTTTTCAGCACCTTCAGCAAGATGCTAAGTCAAAGACACCTGCTTACTTGAAGAGGCAGCAAAACATATATGAACACTGCTGTGAAAACATCAAAGCGCACAATGATCATCTCAATCTGAGAAGCGCTTTAAGCAGCAACTGTTGCATTGAAACTATACAGGATATTGTAACTAGAAGCAATTTAGCATATTCCCAAAGCATTAAACAAGGTACAATCTTCAATGAATTTCTCTCACACTGGAGAGCTCTTGCATAACCGTCATTCTGTTCAAAATAAAAGTTCTACAACAGCCTTCCCCAATGCTGGCCTCCAGTTGTTAAGGGTAACCATGCTGGATGAGTTCAGTGGGCGCTGTAGTCCAAACCATCTGGAGCACACCAGGTTGGGTAATTTTTTTTATAAAAAAAAAGAAATGTACTGTTCCAATGTAGCCAATTCCAGCTGATGTTTGGGGCTGCTCTTTGAGGCTGATTCTTGGCCGTGTTTGGATGACTTCAAGCCCCAATTTGTCCCAGCCATGACTTCACCCGCCCCACAGCTGACATCAAACGTGGCATCAGGTGTGGAGTAGGTGTGCATGGCCAAAATGGCCTGCCTGGGGCAGGGGTGCTACTTGGGCCTACAGGCCAGAGTTTTCCCACACCTGATGTAGGGGAATATTAGCCACTCATCATCTCTGATGAATGAAATCATGAAGCTGTCTAAAAAATTTTTTTACAGCTTGCCTGTTTTTCCTTTAAGATGTCAAGTGTCTTAATTTGCAGAAAAGACAGTTGGCAAATAGGAAAGCAGTCAAAGTAAAGAGAAACTGTTTCACATGAAATGTACCAATGAGAACTACATGACAATATTCACTTGTGCTGTTAAGAGCCTGGAACCATCCAAATAAGGGTTAGCAGCAATAATGTTAATAAAACAATTGCTTAGGTAATGCATAATGTTATTTCATTTCCTAGAAAGCAAGTAATAAGCAAAGCAGCCCCAGCTGCAATCACACACACCCAGGTAGGCCAATCCAATACCTCCGGGATCCACATTCCTAGAATGTCATTATCACTGGCAAGATCCTGCCCAAACATGGCTTCCATGGCTTCATCATCCAAGTCAATTTCTAACTCCTCATCCAAGTTGAAGTCATACAATGCTCCAGGGTCTTGTGGCAAGGAGATCCCTTCTCTCCGGCTCTGATTCCTGTGCGCCTGTACAGAGCGGTACAATCCCGCTTAAATCAGAGAGAGAGAAAACAAGCACACAGTTTGTTTTGCGGGTTAGTAGTAGCAGTACATGCTAGCTCCAGTCAAAGCTTCAACTTAGCAAAATGGGTGCTGTGATGGATAAGGACACTTAAACTGCAGGACCTCTTAGGAGAGATGTCATTCACTCTTCAAAGTGAGACACACTGTGCTACTCTCATTCACTGGCCAACATCAGCACCACCAGGCCCCAAAGAATAGATGTCATTCACTTACATGGGGAAGCAGGGGCAAATATAAGGACTATACTTGGTCCCCTGACTCCAAAAGCAGGGCCTTCCTTCCCTAGCCCAAACAGTTTGGGTTGATGGCAGCTCAATTTACATTGTCCCATGAAACTTATCAGCCACAAAAATACATAAGTCCCACTCTGGGTTCTGTTTCTTAACCACACAGTTCTGACAAGATTAGAAACTGGTATATTATACACACACATATGAAAATGTTAACATACACACTGACACATACAAGGCTAGCAGAACACATTTAAAGTTCTGTGCTACAGAGCACATGCCCTCTTCAGCAGGGATGAAAAGAAAAGGGTGCTGAAAAATATTTTCAAACACCTACCAGCACGGGCTAGCAGCGTCCGAGCAGCTAAGTCAAATTTGTGCCTCCTGGTCACTGCTGACCGACCCCTTGAGGTGGGTCCACTTCCAGATGCTGCATTTTCTACGTGTTCCATACTATCATGGCTGAAATGTACAAATAGTTCAGAAATATTGAAATGTGTCAAGTATTCATTAACATTAATCCAGATTGGACATTGGACCAAGAAGGGGGTAATGTTTATATTGCCTAAGCGCTTGTTGTAGATAGCCTAACTCTCATAAAGCATAGAAGCCTTGATTTCTACTAAATTAGGTCCCAATCACCAGTTATTTGCTCCATTGTAGGATTGCTCTAACTAGAACCGGAGAAAGGTATAGCTCTGCTTTTATCTCTAACTTCTGAATGTATAACTCATAATACGCTCAGCCACTTTTGCTTTACTACAGATTAGGGTCTTTATTTATTTAGATCAGGAATGTGAATGCATTAGTTCTTCTACTGTGAAAATTGATCTCCATATGCTTTCTTTCTTGTAATAAACAACTTGGTGTGATTATGTTTGTGGAGAGTAAGTATAAGTTAGGCACATGTTAGAACAGCACTTGATTGATCTCTCTCTCAAGCGACAGGTTTCTGGGGTTCTTATGTAGGGAAGAGACATATAATGCCTTTTGTATCTTGCCTCTTAAGACAGATTTTTCAGAAAATACTTGAGAACAGAAGAGCCCTGCTGAGCTAGTCAGCACTCTATTTCTCACAGCAGTCAACAAGCCTGAGCTGGCTGTGGCTGACAAGGCTTGTAGTTCCAAACAGCTGGAGAAACCTGATTGGGAAACACTGCTCTGAACTATTGGTTAACAGACTTGGCCTCCATGGGTTTCTCTAATCCCATCTAAGATAGACTGATTTTAAAAAAACTAATGCATATTTTAAAAATAACCATATTGCATATTTTAATAGTAAACATGGATGAGAGCCAACAAACTGAAGCTCAATCTAGATAAGACTGAGGCACTGTTAGTGGGTGGTTCCCTAGACCAGATGGCTGGGAAGTTGCCTGCTCTTGAAGGAGTGGGTCCTTTGCTGTCACTTGAGGCTCAGGCGGCCTCAGTGGTGCAGAGTGTGTTCTATCAGCTTTGGCTGGTGGCCTAGCTGCGCCCCTATCTGGACAGGGATAGCCTAACTTTTGTTGTCTATGGTCTGGTATCCTTTAGGTTAGATTACTGCAATGCGTTATATGTAGGGGTGCCTCTGAAGACAGTTCAGAAATGGCAGCTGGTGCAGAATTTGGCGGCTAGGCTGCTCACTGGGGCAACATGGTTTGAGCATATTACACCAATCCTGGGCTCAGTGCACTGGCTGCCAAATAGTTTCTGGGCCCAATTCAAAGTGCTGGTTTTGACATATAAAGCCTTAAGCAGCTCTGAATTGTGGGAGGGACAATTATTGGTTTGCTTGTGTTCTATTTTTTATCATGTAATTTTATGTTGTCAGTCACCCTGAGATCTATGGATAAAGGGTGGTATACAAAATGAATGACTCAAATAGTTTTGCGCTGGGGAGTACCATCGTGGGGAAAACTAATACTTACAGTCCCATTAAGGTTTGAGACCTGAAGAAACCAACATTTTACCTTTCGCTAAAACCTTCCTCCATTTCAGTGGCATCAGCTGAAGGGATGTCACCGGGAGACTGCAAGTAACATTGATCACTTGACTTCCCGCTGCCCCCAGAAACTACAGTGCCATGGAGGGAATCGGCTGTTTCTTCTGACTGAGGGTCTTCGTCTTCCTCATTCCCAGGATGCTCTATCATCCACATTGCTAAGACTGTAATGTTTTGAGCATCTGCTTCTCCTCTTGCACCTAAGAAAGAAAAATCTTATGAAATGACACCCAATTATGAAAACAGGAATGCCCTGTTAGAAATGGATATGAATTCCCAAAGTTCTCTCCAAAGTTTTGTTACATGCAGCTTGATAGCTGATGCAACAGCCAACATCCAGAGCATCTTGCCTTCACCTCTTTTAAAGGGCAGTCCCTCCTTCTTACAACTGCAGAGAAAAGCTTGAGTGTGCTTGGAAATCCAAAGAAACCAATAATTTTTGGTGGGTGGTTGTTCAGGACCTTCTACTATTTGATCCTGGGCTCTTATTCCTTGAGCAACTTCAAGGGAGTGTTTGTCCCCATTACACTTTATAGACTAATATTTGACAACAAAGAGCAAACCCTTTAATGAAAAAGAAAGCTATGACACTTCAGAGACTAACTGGCTTGTTACTTGTGCTCACACTCACACATGCGCTCTCTCTCTCTCTCTCTCTCTCTGACAAAGCGGTGCAGTGCATATTCCTTGACAGCAGAAGGATTACCTGTGGCTTCCATTGCTTTCGCAATCTGCCGTAGGGAGAAGCCCATTTCTAACAAGGGCACAGCAATAGCTGGTGGAGGAGGGGAAGTTGAAAGGCGGCTGCTTGGGTCCGACAAAGCTGTGGATTGTGGAAAAAGAATGAATGGCAAATCAGCACCATCTCCTTCATAATTCATCCTGCAACTTAGTCAGGCTACAAAAGTTCAAAATCATTTATTTTGGCTGCATTTCCCCAAACACATACATATTTGTATGCATTTTTTCCTAATATGCTTAGTCTTGTACATAATTGTACAAAGTTCAGTTACATCTTTTTGTTACTACCAAAAGGGGGGGAGTAGTAATATCTTCCACATATCTGCCAATGAATGTTTTAGTATTAAGAGGTTAAACCATTAGCATTCCCTGGCATTGATGCCTTGACCAGCTGAGGGCACATACAGTGATAGTAAACATACAAATTTCAGTACGGATATGAAGAGAACAAAATTGAGTTGCAATATATATATATATATTAAATAAACCTTACTAAGGCAATGGATGAAACCTACCTGTCCGATTGGCAGGTCTTGCAGACTGAGAATCAGGAGAGGTCAGTGATTGTCTCCTGCCTACTTCATCAGAAGGAGATGTTGGCAAAGAGGATATGGGAGGCGTTTGTGCACGTCTTGTTGGGAGTACAGTAGTAGTTGGGTAACTGGAGAACATTTGCCTTTTAAAAATATATAAATAAAAAAGGTAAAGCAATGGATAGCAGTGCAAGGCATACCAACAAACAAGATAAATACCTGTATTTCTAATATTACATGGTGATAGCTGTAACCCACCAATGGGATGTGTATGGATGTCAGCAAAAGTAGGACCCATTCCTCACCATCTCTCCTTCCTAAACAAGCCTCCTTCAAATTTAAAAGGAGATTTGAAAACAGCCTGAGGGTTCAATAGGCACAACCTATTTTGTGAGTGCTGACAACCCAACTCAACACTATTACGTCTGGCACCATTAGTCAGCAAGTAAAAAAACACACAGTTTTATTGTTGAAAGTAGGAAGGGAATAGCCTTTTATAAAAAGATATACTGCTTCTTGCTACTTTAGTTAAACAATTTGCAAACATTTTCAAAAAATGAAATCTATCTTTCGGTGAAAATTTATCAAGATACAAAATGAGTACAAACTTGGCTGGATGGTTTATGAGAAGCAGGATCAGAAGTCAATCCATACCTAAGAAGGCTAAGAGGCAAAACACCAGGGGACTCAGAGGCAGGCACAGTTTCGGTATCAGTCACCGGAGTGGTGGCAGTTGTTGTATCTTCTAGAGAGCTGCTCATGAAAGATGTCGTACTAGAGGCTGAAGGACTCGTCGTCACAGGTGTCTGGGCCTGCTGAGCTTGGTCATTTTCTTCTGCTTGCTGGTCCACTTCTGCAGAACAATTTAATGTTTTTCCATATCATTTAGCTTTTAAAAATTTCATTTATGACTTTCTCCTTATAAAGCACCTTGAAGCAATTTCACAATACAACAAACACATACTCAAAACAATGGCATTTATAAAAAGTTTAAAATATTGTGTACATTAAAAAAATCAAATCTAGTACAGACACTGATTGGAATAAAAATATAGCTATACAGATACACTTATTTTTACAGGCAACTGCAGCACACCTGGGACTGAATACTTGTGGGCCTCCTGAAGGCATCTTCTTAGCAAACATGGGAAATAGGCCACTTTGCCTTCCTGCAGAAGTCTCCTTACATTCTTATATGTGGTTCTAAAGTTATGATTGTTGAATGAAGGGTTGGGTGGCTGATATTTTTTCTGTTAGAACATGCCATATCACAAGGAACAATCCCTTCAGACCTAAACCTTATGGAGCACCCTTCTTCCTAATATATGGGCTGGTGCTATCATTATTCATCATTCTGCACTAATTAAAGGCATGCTTATTTGCCCAAGCTTTTAGAGAGGGCCAGCTGAAAATGAATTGACTTTTGGGGGGGAGGGTTGTACATTGATATTGTACATTTTTATTTTAAATTTAAATTGTTTTTATGTGAATTATATTGCTGTAACCTGCCCTAGGATCATGAGCTGATGAAGAGGGGTCTAGGAACCAAAATAATAAATAAACAGTAAATGATAATCAAGTATTCCAGCAGTAGCCAGAAAGGTATCCTTGGGACACTCCAAAGCAACTCCCCACATGCTCTAGCACAATGCAGGCAAATGCTCCTCAACTGGAGACATGAGTGCTGAAAGGACAACTGCAACCTTAGCTCAGAACACAGACCAGGGGGATTCTTTGGCCCAGCCTTTCATTCACTGATGGGTTCTGTGGAGACAGAAACATCTCCAGTCCATCACTGGAGAAGCCTGAAGACAGCAGCCATGTGAGAGGCCTTCAGGGGAAAACAATGATTCAGGGCAGAACAAGATGGAACAATACTGTGAGTACAGGAGATAATTGCTGGGTAGCAGGTGAGTACTTTTCCATATCCTAAACACATTTTCACAAGTCGTCCGTCCCCTCCAACCATGCATCAAAACCAGACCAGCTTGGGGGGCAGGGAATTCGCAGAAGGCATTAAGTACCTTCCCTTCTGCCATTTCTAGAGAAGTACTGCCTGTGACGACCGACAGCAGCTCTCTAGCAGTACTGGTAGCAGTTCTCCCAAATTCTCAGGCAAACAGATGTCTTTCACAGGTTCACTACCCAAGATCCTTACAAGTGGTGATGGCATGGGCTGACCATGGGGTTTTCTGCATGTAAAACATATGCCCTTGCACAACAAGAACCACCCTCTACCATATAGAATTAAATTCAAATAACCAAAGAACTTTGTGATGTACGGGTAAAAGGGGGAAATGTTGTGTGATTATTTGTGCAAGCACACTCAAATCATGCTATGGTAGTTCACACTATTGTTAAAACACTGGTGCTCATCTAGAGAAGATATCAAGGGAAGAAACTAGGGGGGGGGGTCACAGGAGCTGCTTTATCTCCACAAATCTTTGTCATGAGATGTGATCCTACCACTCCTAAGCTGCGCAAAGAGTGAAGTCATTGTTTGCAGACACCTCAGGCAGGTTAGCCAGAGTATAAAGAGTAACTGCTATGTTGCACTAACTAGAAGAATTTTAGAAAGCTGTCATTTAATGCAACAGCCAAGCTTATGGTTTTTATAAAAAAATGACTTAGTTTTCTTTAATTAAGCTAAAGGACATGGAAAGTGAATGAACAAGGTAAGGCTATTGGTCAGCATGATAACAGCTACCTTTAGTTATGGCAGAGACCAACAAGACAGACTGACTAACGCAAAGCAAAGTAAATGGCTAGGGCGCTGCACACCAACTGCTGTTCTTGTACCAGTGTAGCACCACAATACACAACATCACACTGCAGAAACAACATAACAGTATTGCTGGCTTTTCACAGGCACAAATATTAGGAAAAGGGTATCCAGCTACCAGCGTAATTGTATTCAAATTAACATCTATACACTTGCATAATTAAAGTGTACCTTGCTTAATTTTGCTGCCACACTGGTCCTCCAACAGCCCGTGAACCACTAATTTGTAGATCATTGCTTGTGCCCGTTCCAAATCAGCCAGTCCTAGTGCCCTCTTGATAGGTGAGCGCATGACTGCCCGTTTCACCATATGGCGCATCAAGAACTGCAAGGCAGCACGCATTTCCACATCTTCGTGAACAATGGGCGAACTCGCACAATCAGAATTATGGCCACTCTCTGCCAGGACCTTTGGTATCAGTAACAATTCAGCATATTTACTACAACTAAGGAGAGTGCTAAGCGATTTCATAGCACCAAGGTAAAGATAAGACAACTGCACTGCTCTGATTTCTGATTGTACAGCATCATGATTCTTGGAGGCATGTTCATGAGTCTTCCTTTTGCCTTCAGCATTTGGATGCTGGCTCTCCACACCCAAGGAAACAGATTCCAAGGAAAACGAAGCAATTTCATTTTCGGATTTTGAACTTGTAGCTCCATGGCCTTTGATCTCCTCAGTGCTTGGCACCGACCGAGCATCTGATCCAGAGTCACCTTCTGTTCTCTGGTCAACATCTCCTTTGTCTTCTGCATCATGCTTGTGTTTCTTCTCATGTCGCTTGACGCTTTGCTTCCCCATGTCTTCATGGATGCCAGTCAGGAAGGTGAGGTCCAGCAACACAGTGGCTGTCAGTCCACGGAATCTTGCAACATCAAAAGGCAGCGGTTCGCAAGGTTCCAGATTATACAATGGCGTGTCACTAGGCGACCAAAAAGTTGGGAAGCTTTAATAAAGATCAGAATGACACAGGAAGAAGCAAGTGAGGGATAGACAGGAGGAAAGCACGGGAAATAATGTAGGCAAAATAAGACATAAAATATATTTAATCAAAATCTAAATGAATTGACAGTCTAAAAAAGTAAATGTAAACCGGGGGTGGGGGGTGGGAGGGAATGAGGGTTATGATCAGATAATGGGGAGAGATGATACTCAGTGCAGAAGGTAACAAAAAATGAGTGTGCTGTTTCAAACAAAACAGTTCATTCCAAATACCCAACAAAGGTAATCATAAAATACTGAGGGAGTTTTTGCTATATCAGACACGTTTGTTTTGGAAAAAGTTTCCTAATGGACGAAAGCACCCCGGGATCTCAACTGGGTTCTGGCACTAAGTAGGGAGGTGACATGCCCCCTTAGATATTTTCACAAAATAAAAATGCAAAACAAAAACTTAGCAGCACTTTAAAGAGTTAAAAAAACCCTATTCTGGCAGAAGTTTCTGAGGGCTCACAGAATATGCCACAAGAGATGTGTTACTCTCTAAGGTGCCACAAGGCACTTGATACCATCGTTCAGACATTACTTAGCTTATAGTCCAAATGTCATAAATAACACTCCCTAATGTTACAAAGCAATGGCCTCAAAACCCACAGTAGCAAAAGGTTACAAGAAATTTATTTCCAGGTTGAGCTGTTTGATATTTAACTAGCTACTAGTATTAGCAACTACTATCTCACATTTTAAAAGTCAGTGACATTTCCTAAGCACTAACAACTGGCCACTTGTCTAACACCAATACTGAAAACACTATACCTGATTGTAATCTCAGCTTCGTCCCATTGCACCTTGGCAGACGTACTGCCTTCTTTGACCACTCCAAGCAAGGTGGCATGCCGCCCAGTTTGCCTGTGAACACAGCGGCCTCCAACTCTAAGTCCAGCATCCACTCCACCAATCACTGCCAGGACTGGCCACACCTCCACGCACAAAGTCTTCAGCTGGAGCTCTGAGAGATCTGCCAGCCCATGCCGACTGCCATGTCTGCCTTTCTCCTCCTCCTTGCTCTCCTTCTCCTCTCGTGCCTCATTCTCCTCTCGGCTTTGAACAGAGCGGCTTTTCTTCAGTTTCTGACCTGCATCTTTAAGGCATGCTTTGAGCTTGTGCAGCCGCTCCATCATTTTCTTATTGATGCAATGTGTCCACCGGTCTGTTCGATGGAGGATGCGAATAAGCTGAATTGTGGCCTCTGCAAGCACGGCAGCGACAGGGCTGCAAATGGGGTCTCCTGGCAGCAAATCCCTCGGGGTGCCACGCATCTGCATGTCACAGATTTTTACCTATGCACACAGACACACAAGGAAATTCACTGAGCTGGATTCTGATTCTACAAAACAGACTTCCATGAGCTTTGGTGGGAGGTTGTAGCAATGAGGAAGAGTTTACCCAACTATATTGACAAGCACAAGTGAGTCAATTTTTGACATCTCACTGATTCTTCCATGCCGTTACAGATGATTTCAAAATATAGAAATATTTACAAACACGTAACAAATTATTTAATTTTATATCCTGCCTTCTTTCATCATGGAAACCAAGGCAGAATGCATATGGTTTCCAAGCACTGACCAGACCCATATCTGCTTAGCTTCAGCAAAGGCCTTCAGACCATACCCTGGGACATTTAAGTTTTGGAAGCCGGTTATGAAGGTGTGCTTCTCTGTAGACGTCAATTCTCATCTTCCATCATGTCCCAGCACTCTGTCTTGGTAGAAGTGGAGCAGAGGGGAGGAGTATTGAGAAAGCTCTGTGGACAGAACCTTCCCCCTAATTTGCTACTCCTGGCTATGTTCTCAGCTCTCAGCAAGGACAGTAAGACAAGTTGAGAGATGTCAGGACTGCCCAGGCCTTTTATTTTCCCTGACCTGCCAAGCTTGCTGTATCCAAATGCTGACAGGAGTAAGGAAGAGAGAAGGAAGGGGCTACAACAAGCTTGGCTGAGGGTGTTGGGGGGTGTTGTCTTCTTGCATGCAAAGGAATCCCTGATTCAGCCCTGGCATAATTTCAGATAGGAGGGCTGAAAAAGACCTCTGCCTGATACTCTGAAGAACATCTATCAGTAGCAACATACAATACTGTTTAAATAGACCAATTCCATATAAACGTGTATGTATGTATGTATGTATGTACGCACACACACACACACACACACAGCTAAAAATGCTCAATTTATTCCACATATTATACTCATAGGTCCTTACCAAACAGCATATTAACCTTCACCACTATTGCTAAATATCCAGCTTACCTTTTCTCCAGGATTACTGCTATAAAACATCACACATGGGTATAATTCTGCAGCATCCACATCTTCAAAAGCCAGTTTTGGTTCCTGGGGGGAGGGGGGGAGAGAGTAGACAGCAAACTGATTATGTCAGTCACCAATTTTGCAAGGAGCACTTCCTTACTGATTACCATCAGGTCATGCTTCATTTAGCATCAATTTAAAAGTTTAGATAAGCCTTCCCCAACCTGGTGACCTCCAGCCGTTTTGAACACCATCACCTATCAAGCTCAGCTTGATGCTGGGGCTGATGGGAGTTTTGATCTACAACATCTGGAGAGTACTAAGTTGCCAAGGGCTGGTTTACACTATCACTGATGAAGAACGTGGTCTGCTCAGTTGTGGCACCTACACTATAGAATTTGTGTTCCCCCGAGGTCAAGTTGACACACTCCCTATCCTTCCTTTCAAAATTTAGAAAGATTTGTTTCATTGTGCTTTTTCGTTTGATTTCAGTTCACAAATTTAGAACTTTGTGGTAGTTTGTATTATGCCTTTGTTTTGTCTGCTGTACTGCTTTTTTGTAACTGCTGACTGAATGTTGTTTTACTGTTGTGAACTGCTTTGAAAACCATTACAGGTTAAAAAAAATTAACAGTATACAAATGTCATAAATAAGCAACAGAAGATTCATACTTCTCCATTTTTTCCAAAGGAGATAGTTCTCGCTTCCATATCCAGCACGCATGTTATGAAGTCCCCTTGGGTAAAACTGGTCAGTGTCAGCGTCTGCTCCCCATTATGGTAGAGATTGCCACTATATGCTCGGTACAGCCACATGTCTGAGGTAGTGCGGTGGTTAAAATCGTGAACTGGCCAACGAGACACTCCAACGCAAGTCCCTTCATTGCCTCGATTTTCCTTCACAATATAGAACTAGAAGGTGAAGAAAAACCATCAGCGCCCATGGGCTACTTAAAACATCACGAAGCACAAAGACATATAAAAGTAATGGGGATTTGAACAGTCATTTCAACCCACAAATTAATCACTATTGAACTGGAAAGAGGGGAGAGGCTCAGTAGACCCACGGACATCCAATAGGCTATCTTGTCAAGGTGTACTTAGCAATTATTTAAAAACAGCAATAATCTTTTATCTCTACCATTTTGGGGGATAAAATATTATGAAGAAAAATGAAGTATTCCACAGAATGATGGAAACAAAAGGATTGTTGTTTTAAGATCATTGTTAGGTGGAGCTTCTGATTATTTCTCTCCTCCCCCCCCCAAAAAAAATTAGATTTGACATATGATTTAGGTTTATATCTGGCAGAATATCCCATAAAATTTCAGAGTGTCCCGTGAGCCTCTCTCTTCCCCATACAGTTTACCTGGCCTCACAAGTCTTTGCAGAAAGATATAAAATCTAGTGCAGGCCACTGATCTGTACTGCTCAACCCACAGGCTTAGAGAAGCCCAGCAAATCATGAACAAGACCTAAAAACTGTGGACTCTGGAAGTCCAGCTTGCAAGGGTCAGAAATCCTGTGCAAATCTAGGGAACAAATTTAGGCAACCTGAAAAAAATGCCATTAGAACTAGAGTTCAAATACATTCCCTCTATTTAGAGCAGTACAGTTTGTGGGTTAAGGACACAATGGGTTTATCTATACACCTTGCTTCATCTCTATTTTTAAACTGGGCTTTCTACATACCTTCCACTGGTAACACCCAGAAGTGACTCCAGTGGATGCTAATCCATATCCCTTTCCACCGCTCCCATGAGTTAAGATCTGACCATTCTCTACTAAGCAGCACTGAGCCTTCTCAGGGTCAAACGATACTTCCTGTATAGGGAGATTTTCATCTTCTTCTTCAGATTCACCCTGTTTCTTTCAAAAACAGAATATAAACACCTCACATTCTGGTCAATTAAACAGATGGGGGGGGGAGCACAATCTAGCAGTAAAAAAATAAAAATAAAAATACAAAATACCTTTTTCAAAAATAACCATAGATACAAACACTCCAATATTAAAACTTGATAAACCAAATCCCATATGAGACTATAGCGGACTCACCCCACTAACTGCCCCCAATTAAAGACAGCAGGCCCACTGCACAGTACGCCAACGAATTTCTCCCATTTACCACAGGCTATCTTGTGTGAGGGGAACTTTGTTTCAGGGAATCTCAGGCAGGAGTTGATCAAACAAGGAAAGTTTTATTAACAAAAAGAGATTGGTGAAACAAAGTTGGGCTAGGAAGAAGTTAACTTTTACTTAAGCTAAATATAAAGATGTCACAGGCTTAAACACAGTAGTATATGCACCTCTTTTATTAAACTTCAGTTGCTAAATATCGGTTGCTGCACTTCAGGTAAATGTTCCAGTTTCTAGAATAGGTGGTGAAATGCTTAACTCAGTTTCTCTTGTTCCTTTACTTAGTTATGACAGGTGTTTCAGTTAAATACTTTGGACACAGCACAGCTTCCTTCACGGCTTAATGCTCTGTTCCATGATCTGTTTCGTCATTTCCCCCCTCTCTTAGCAATCCCACTTCTGAGGTATAAGAGACCTTGGGATCCCCTCTTAGCTGGCTTGGGAGTCTTCTTTTCCTAGAAGAGCTCTCCCTGCCTGACGGGAAGGAGACGCAGGGGGTCTGTAGTCCCACAGCTTCTCCCTCCCCTGCTCAGACTCAGCCCTCCAGGCAACTCTTGTCTCCTCACATGGTCCTCCTCTCTTCAGTACGAGGCTCCTTCCTCCAGCTACAGATATTCTACGCAGAGCAGATGCTAAACTCACATTTGAACCCACTCTCTTGGACAAACCCATTCCTAATCCCTTTCTCCCATCTCAAACCAAACTCAACCCTGTCTCGCTCCAGCTCTTTCCCTTCCCTATCCCTATCTCAAGGCTTCCTCAGAAGCTGCTCCTTTTATGTGCCCCCCCATTCTGCTCCTCCCCCTTCTACAGCCAGCTGACTTTGTAGCCAATCAGAGAGAGGCTCCAACCCCCTGGTGGAACTCTGAGGGACTGCATCACCAGGGCTCTGCTTTCCATCACAGGCCTTTCAACATGAGCCAAACACATTTCAAGACAAAGGACTTCATCAGTGGCTGAAAAGAACATTATGAAATTGATCAGAATTAAAGCTAGTACCTGCAGCTTCATTTCTTTTTCTTTCTCCTTGATCTGAATTATGTGCTTGGCTTGTGCAACAGGACTTTCCCACATACAATCAGACAGAAGGGAGAACAACCGATCAATAACCTGTTTGGGAAAAATGATTGAAGAACATTTAATTCCAAATAGTCACAGGTAATTTTTAAGGCTGTATTTCCCGTCCTGGTTACACTACAGATAACAAAGCAACCAGGGGTTTGAAGCAGGCAACTGAAGACAATTTTCTCTTATTTTTGAAGACACATCTCTGAAAACCTGTGATTTGGTGCAATCCAGGTCTGATGAAGTGGCTATGGGGCCAAGAAAAATACCTCTGCCTTGTTTCCTTTTTTATAATTATGGGGGGGGGCACTCCATTTCCCCAACCCAAAGGCGTAGTTCATACAAGCAATGAAGTGGAGAGAAAGTTGCTAATATCAATATGAAGGAAAATGTTAACACAATCATATATTAAGGAACGCAGCAGAAACAGTTCGTCCTATAGCGGGGGGGGTTTATGTGTTGAATGAATGGCCACCAGTCCACCATAAAAGTCTCTTGGGCATTTGATCCTCTAGCCACACAAAGGTTTTGCATCACTTTTCCAGAAAGTGCTATGTCCCAATTTACCTTATTCCACTGTACATTTAAACACTTTGGTTCTTTCAAATTTCTACCTATCAATATTTTTTCTGCCATTAACAAGCAACCTATTAAAAGTTTATTTACTAACCCTTGGGTTGTTTTAGGAGGGTTTTTTTTTTACAGGTTTTCTCAGTATTTTTGTTATTTCTACAAATATTTTATCCCAGAACTGGGCAACTTTGGCACAGTCCCACCACGCATGGAGGATGTGAAGGAACTGTGAGCTGTACATCCCACCCCCCTTTTCCAGGTGAGCATCAGTTATCCATTTTAGCTACTTCTGTAGGCATTAAGGATCATTTTGGTATTGTTTTCAAATAATTTTCTTTTAATCTAGCTAAAGTTGTTTTACTAGGACCTCTGGCCTTGTGACCTTAGGCAGCCATGGTCACTTAGAGGAGACTGTTGTATGTTGGGCAGATCAGTGATCAGATTGTCAAAAAAGCAGCTTCATTATTTTCAGGCTGTTGCTGAGGGCTGAGAAGTAACTTTAAATATTTAATTCCAATTATCGATTATTAACAAAAAAGAAAATATTTCACCAATCAATCAACAATAATTCTGACTTTATAAATCTCGACTTCCCTCCCCGTCTTTCTGTAGTCCTTAAAATCATTTTATCTTTCCCTGAATATCCCAAATCATTTCAATCTATTATTTTTATTGTTATTGTTTGTTATTACAATAGTCCTGCTAATGTCTTGATCTGTATGCAATATGTTTGTAAATATTCAATAAACCATTTCCATTTCTTAATAAAAAAATTGTTATCTTGATTTCTTATTCTTTCCATAAGTTTTGCCATTTCTTCATATTCCATTAGTTTCTGCAACCATTCTCTCGTCGGGACTTTTTGTCTTTCGATTTTGGGCAATTATTATTCTTGCAGCTATCGCTGCATAAATAAATAAGTTACTATATTATTTAGGTAGCTCTTATCCCATTATCCCCAAAAGAAAAACTTTTGGTTTTTAAACAAATGTTATCTTAAACATCTTTTTCAGTTCATTATATATCATTTCCCAGTAAGCTTTAACCTTATTGCAAGACCGCCACATATGGAAATGGGTACCTTCTTTCTCTTTACATTTCCAACACTTATTTGACTTTGCTTTATACATTTTTGCCAATCTACTAGGCGTTAGGTAGCATCTATATAACATTTTCATATAGTTTTCTCTTATACCATAGCATGCTGTAAATTTCATATCCATAAGGACTGAGAAGTAACTTAAACCGAACCACAGTTTCTAAGATGCAAATGCCACCAAAATAGTCACCGCTGCAAACACAAAAACTTAACACTTTATAATATTGTAAAGTATGAAGACCTGAGCCATCTGGTCATCCTCCACACCCGATTCACAAGCAGGCAGCACAGCTTCCAGAACATGTAGCGCAAGCAGCCTGGTCCTCAAGTTGCCAACCAAAGGTACACCTAGAAATGGGACCCAGAAAGAAAGTTGGTACTACCAACACATGCTAACAACATACCAAACAAAGTTAGAAACCAGTGGTGTGTCTATAAAATGGTGTAAAATATCCAGAATACACAGGATAAAATGGCCTGCCCACTTAAATACACAAAACATGTATAAAGAGTTTCTGTAATTATTCATTTGATGGACATGATGCGAGTTTCTATCTCCAAATGATAAACACACTCCCCACACATAAAAAACAAAGACCATAGACCATACCTGAACAACATTTCTGAGAAGCTATGTTCAGGAGCACCTCTGTCCACTTTGGGGATGCCATTTTGGACTGAATGGCTTTTGAAGAAACCACCCTTCTAAGAAAGACTAAGAAATCGCCTAGATGCAACTCTGCAGCGTGCTGTTTTCGAAGGGCCACTGTGGATTTAAAACAATAAAAATTATTACTGCAAAAAGGAAAGGGATTCATATTTTCAAAAGGCCTGATTTGCATATGCTCTGCCTGAAGAGTGCCTAGGAAGGTCTACCCTACCTTCTGCCAGCAGGTGTTATTGCTGTTTTGCAGCCAAATGATTAATCCGCTCTGCTTTTATTGTCCACTGTCTTTATCACTGTCTTTAATTTTTTTATTGCTTTTATATAAGGTGCCCTGAAAGCTTTCTCAGCTGAAGAGCAGGGCAAAAGTATTTTTTTTAAAGTAAAAGAACAAATAGTACACAACAAAGCAGCATCTTATCCTTTTGTTGTGCAACAAAATTCTTCTTACACTAACTTTATTTCTGCTCTCTTGGACCAAATTTAGATTTATTCCATTTCATGGGTGCCTTTTTCTGTACCAGAAGAGAAAAGGTAAGCAATGATTTGTAAAATAGTTCAATAAGAAGCTGCGGATAAAGATTACAACGGAGGTGGAGAGACAAAATTCTCAGCAACACTTAAAGTCCCACCATTTTCTATAGTGTCAAAATGTAAACAATGCCCCCCATTAATTCTGACACTGCTTGTGAAGATATTTTCATGTTTACATTGTCCACTCTCATTTGTTCTTTCTCAAATAAGATCATTTGCCCTCAAATGATCTCATCTCATAGCAGTGTTGTTCTGTTCACCATATGATCTCTCATCCACTGAGAACATAGATTGTGTAATTTGGATTTACGGATGAAGGGCAGAAGAAGAATAATAAATAATAATAATAATGAAACAAATAGACCATATAATATTTATATTTACTTGGAGAAACTTAATTGTGGTTACCTTTTCTGTACTTCTAACAACTAGGGCAATATTGTCAACATAGGTCAAGCTGTCATCTTTTTTTGCCTCTGCCATTAGCATGCATGTACAAATCCCATTAATTGTTTACTGCAATAGTTTCCAGTGCATAAAACAAAAATACAGAAATCTCTGAGGAATAATTGGGGATGTGGGCTCTTTTCTATAGCACAAAGCATGGAAACAGAGAGTACATGCAGGTCCCGCTATCCAAATACAATGCTTCCCAAGTAATCATTAGTTAGGTGAGTATTCACATAGCAATCTGATGATTTGCATTGCTTCCATTGTTTCCTATGGGAACATTTCTAATCTGTGATTTGTCCGATCACACATCCTTCCTCCAAGGTTTCTGCCCAAAATGGCTGCTGCCATCCACCAAACAGCAACAAGTAAGGAAGTGGGCGAACTCCAGCTGTTCAGATATCTGAATCAGCCATTCATGTAGTGAGCTTTGGCGCTACATTCCTTCCTCCCCTATCCCCTGCCCCAGGAACTCTCTTTTCTTTAAAAAAACAAACCAACAAAAGCCAGAATGAGATTACCTCTGAAGTCTTTCTTCTCACTGTCTCCATTTGACTCTGCCTTTTTTTCTTCCTCCTCACCATCTTCTTTTTCCTCAAATGATGCCATAAGCATTACACCGGCTTGGGACAACAGGTTTTTCAGCTGACTACACAGCAGATCCAGCAAAGACTGGACCACTTTGGGACTCAGTTTATCTGCGTAAGTTCTGGGGGTGGGAATGTGAAGATCAATTAGCAACTATGTGAAGAGGCTTGGCATTATTAGAACAGCTTTGAATGTGCAGAACCCGGAGGGTTTTGCAGAAAAAGAGACAGATGTGTTGTGGGGGACAGATTTCAGGTTCTTGGGCCTGAATGATCCTTGTTACAGACTGGCAAAATAGTCGCTGGGCCAATGCTTTTCCCGATGGGACAGAGAGGAAGGACTGTATTTTCAATATGTGGTAAAGGGAGAAACAAAACAGCAATGGGGGAGAGGGAAAGGTGTGTGTGTGTGTGTGTGTGTGTGTGTGTTTGTGATAGAGAGAGATTTTAACAGGTAAATTATGTTCAACTAGAGTCCATCTAAGTACAGCAAACAAATATTAACACATCACACCAACAATTCAAGTTTATAGTCCCAGTGCTACTTTCTGAAATATTTAACTGTACGAATTTATTCTAATTGTTGTTAAGGTAATGCTGAACTGAGATGAAAAGTGAGTTATAAATGCTCAAAATAAATAAATAAAAACTGTTTCCCAACTGACTGAAGGTTTTATCATATCCAATTTACTACCGAGTAACACTGCAAGGACATAAAAGTGTTGATGAACTAGGTATGGGGAAAATACTGCTTTTAAAATATTTGGGAGAGCTGAGAAGATGAATGATCATTCAGAAAACAGAAAGTTAATACTCACCCTGTGGTAATAGCTAGGATCTGAAGTAATCTAGTGCTGGCTACTTTTAAAGCTGTGCTGAGCTGGGAAATGCCACTTTTTGGCAAGAGCTGCAGTGGCTGACCAAGCATGGTGTCTGTTCCACATAACTGTGACAGAACATTTAACAAGCCGGTGGAAATGGCCAAGGAGACATCAACTGGCTGGTAGTGAACACTCAGGGCGAACACAGTTACCAACAGGAGACGCTGCTGTGCCTCTAATACACACATGTACACAAACACACACCAAAATATAAAGAAAATACTTAGAGACTGTCCCTATGTCAAGTCTGCTCAGGAATTGAAAAATAATAATAATACAAGGAATATTTGACTTGTTTTCTGTCGGCAGCAAAAACACTTGCAAGATCGAATGTGATGCTCTTACCTATGTGATGTTTATTTGCTTGGAGGGCTCTTTCCAAAGTTGCAGACAATTGCTGATAGATCTTGTGCACAGCCACTTGGATTTCAGTCTGGATATTTCTCTTAGCTGCCCTGATGCCATCCTATGGAAAAATCAAATACTGTGAAACCCATCCATATGGATATGCACTAATGTCATGCTACTTTTTAAGGTATTTACCCTGTATAATTCAGGAACTTTTCAAATTTTATGAAAGGTTGCTAATGTGTAGCATTGGCTAACTACATTTAACTCCTTTCATGACTTGGCTACTATAGGAAACAACTGACTTTGAAATACACAGTTGTCAGCACAATGTGGTTCCTATCATACGGAATCTCACAACACTAAGAAAATGTTATATTTATAGGATATGCACATATTCTGCTTCTAGTTGTCTTCTACAGTGTCTATTTACATTAGTACACCCCATTCCAGACTTTAATCCACTATCATTCCCTCTATGGGACGTGGGTGGAGCTGTGGGTAAAACCTCAGCGCCTAGGACTCGCCGATAGCATCGTCGGCGGTTTAAATCCCCGCGGCGGGGTGCGCTCCCGTTGCTCGGTCCCAGCGCCTGCCAACCTAGCAGTTCGAAAGCACCTCCGGGTGCAAGTAGATAAATAGGGACCGCTTACCAGCGGGAAGGTAAACGGCGTTCCGTGTGCTGCGCTGGCTCGCCAGATGCAGCTTGTCACGCTGGCCACGTGACCCGGAAGTGTCTCCGGACAGCGCTGGCTCCCGGCCTATAGAGTGAGATGAGCGCACAACCCTAGAGTCTGGCAAGACTGGCCCGTACGGGCAGGGGTACCTTTACCTTCCCTCTATATCTGATATTCAGAAACTCTCCTTTATTTGAGGTTTTCAAACAGAGTTTGGATGGCCATCTCTCAGGGATTCTTTAGCTGTGATTCCTGCACTGCAGGGGGTTGGACTAGATGACCCCTGAGGTGCCTCCCAACTCTACAATTCTACAATTCAAAGATTCTAAGTGCCACTGCTTATGTGGCCAAAATAGCACCATCTATTTTGTATATATAAGCTATCATCAGGCTTGGTGGCAACCCCAAAGCTTGCAGAATGACACCCCCCCACACACACACAAATAGGAAAAGAACCCAGGGACCCAAAACAATACAGCACAATGAGAAGTTTTCAGTTTTAGACATGGTCTGCTTTAAACTCAGTTGACAGAATTCCAACGTTTGGCCAAAGCATCCCTTACCTGATAATGATGCAAACGGATACTCTCTCCTTTGGAGCCTGCATGTCCTACAGTACCCAAGCCAAAGCACCCAGCCAGGAACTGCAGCCTCACTGATGTGAGAAGTGAAGAGGACTGAAAGCCTGGGCCTTGCCGGCTTCCTATGGACAGAGTGCTGCCTTTTTCTTCCATCCCAGAAAGCAACACCAGGATCTGATGAAGTGCCTCCAGCCGCAGCTAAAAAAAATGTTTAAAAATAGTTTGCATTTTACCCCTTGGAAGACAAAGTCCTTCAAGTGCACTGATACAAATACAGAGTATAGACCTGTATGACCCCCCACATACAACAGATGAAAGTATTTTAGGAACAGAAGAACAATCAAGGAAAATAAAGGAAGAGATGTGGGGAGACACTTCGCTTGCACAGCCAAAATTGCTTTCCAAAAGCAACCCCTTCCTTCCTTCCTTCCTGGCTACATATGCACAACCCCACATATAATATGTGTGCATTCGGAAAATCCATACAATCCAATTGACTGACTGCTATAGTCTGGCATGTTGCTCCTTTGATGCCCAAGTAGGAAGAAACAAACATGATGTGCTTTGGAGGTCACACCTACTTCCTCCAAGGCATGCAAGTGATGGCAGCGAGGCCATTACAGAGTCATGCATCCTAGAACCTCCCTCTTGTTAAGTAACCTGAAATGATTGCCTCCCCACAAGTTACAGTTGGGCAAAGCATGTAAACTGAAAATTCAAAAGCATCTTTCATTCTACAATTATTAACTGGTATATGGGTAATTACAATACACACCTCTGCCCTCTGTTGCTGCTGCTCCATTGCGATAATATAGGCCTGGGGGCTCGTTGACATGCTTTCTTCAGGCTCCTTGAAGCCTGGAGAGCTTCCCACATCTCCGCTTACAAAGCTAATAACATTTTCAATCAGAGTATGAACTCCAACAGATTTTGTAAAATCAAAATCGGACTCCCCAAACAAACACATAGAGCTATACAGCCAATCTCTGTGCTTCAGTCGAGTCCATGAATCACTTAGTGCTTCAATTGGGCTGTGGACTGCTCCTAGAAACACACAACAGAACTTCATAAATTCCAATGCAGTGATTTTAAATAACACTGACAAGTAGTATTGAATGGGCAGCTTTGCAACAGATGGTAAAAGGTATTCCTATCATCTCATGCACACAGTTAGCAAAGTATGCTATTATGGAAGGAAGATAACTTCAGCTATGTTTTTCTGGCAGTAAATCCTCAAGCAACATAAAGAAGAAAATTAAAGGCAGAAGCCACTCAAACCACTGAAAGCTTAGATACTGAATAAGATGGTAACACAAATAAAAGAAAACAGAGAGTGGTTGAAGGAAAAGAACAGTCTGCCACAAAACAAACTGAGCACTCCATTTCTTCTTTAACATTCAATTGTAAAGCAAGGATTGTGACTGACCAGCATTATTAAACTATTAAGGGCAAAGCAGGGGGATGATACATAGCTTGCTTTGAATGAAAAATTTACGCAGGTACAGGAATGGGTAAAGGGCAAGTAAACTCACACAAATTATTTCTTTTCTGCCTTCCTTCCAAGCTGATTTCTATTCATTTGGTGTAATATAGCAAACCTCCCTTTGAAAGCATGCCACCTGTGGAGAGTCCGATTTCAAGGACTCTCCCATACCCAAATTTCCAATGGGACTGCAAGCAGTTTCTGGTCCCACCCAAATTGCTGCATATGTTGATCAGTTTAACTCATCTGGTAGCAGCATGCAGCAGCAATGCAGGGTGTGCAAAGCTACTGACTGTTCAAAGGAGGAGGCGGCACAGGGATAGCCAAACAGATGACGAGAACTACTCCAATTATCAGATGGCAGCTATGCACACCTTGCATTGCTGCTGCATACTGCTACCAAATGAGTTAACTGTAAGCTTGCATGGAATTATAATTAAAATGGAAACAGTGCCTACGTGGTAGTATTCTATGCATTCAAAATTTGCTGCCTGTTGCACTGTTCAGCTGAACTGCTGATAGGAAAGAGAAAAAAGCTTTGGTGTATTGGTGATTCCAAGGTCTGTAGCTTTTCTGTGGAAGTCCCCTTTTTAATGGATTTAATGTCCTAGATGTACCTCCTCATTTCTGATGCTATCATGAACCAATACAGCCACACACACCAAGGCAGCACCATCATCCAACAGATTCCATTCTTTCTCTAGTTTGGTTTCATTCTCAGAATGCCTCTTGGTACACTAACTCTTGTATTCATGAAAATGTACACAAAAAACACTTTCACAAAGTTTAGTGTCTTTATTTAACTTGCAAGAATTGGCACAAAATGCAGCCAAAAGCAAGCTTCTGTCTTGAAAATATGAAAGCTAAAACATTTTTTTGGTGGGAGGGGGAATACCACCTTGCGTGCGAGTCCTGGAAAACTTGCTTGCTGTCTTGCAGACCTTTCCCACTTGGCCTGGGAGGGTGAGCACCTGACTGACTACAGTTACAAAAGCTGAGACTGCTGAACAGACTCTTGGGCTCGGACACTGTTTGGAATTTTGTTGGGGGAGGTTGTTGATGTTGGGTTTCTTGTATCTACATTTTAGGTTTTATTGTTATTATTTATTATTAGGAAATTGTTCAGTTTGGTTTTGTATTTTTTAATGTTCTATTTATTGTTTATGACTACTTTTGTTATGTTTAATTATATGGTTTTTCATAAAGCTGCCTTGAGCATGGTTTGAATTATGGATTATGTAAATAAAATCACATATGTATGTACCACACACAAGTGTTCAATTCTCTAACAATAATTTGGTTATGTTATTGCTCAAAGTACATAACTGCTTCATATTTTTAAAGCCCATATTCTAATGAGTAACCAAAATCACTTAATATTTTTAAATTGTGGGTTGGAATTACTTTTTCTAAAATCTCAAAACCAACTACAAATCTCCATGCAAATTTAAAATGACTTTCTTCATTAAACTCTCCCCTTTAGATGGGATGTTGTATGATTAACACACTTCAGTTCTCCAAATTTATGATTATCCACGTGCTTTGAGAAACTCCCAACCATTAAAATCAAAGAGGCTACTACACAAAATGCAAGCTTGTAAAAGAATTTGTGGTTTTTAAAAGTTTTCTTTAAAAGTGAACAAAAGAGTGTTATTGTGAAGTGGCTCTGAAAGGACAAATGAAAGAGCTTATGCATTTTTAAAAAAGATGGTCTGAACACATCTAACAGGTATTCAAGGCATCCTGCATATGTGAGCAGAACAGAGCCACGTACTAGCATGACCTACTCTTGGAAGCTTAAGCTCATCTGCATCAGCCAGCGTGCTGCCGTGGTTACAGCAGTGGTAGAAAACATGGTGGTCAGGGATAATGGGAGTTGTACTCCCAACAATATCTGGAGGCCACAATATTGCATAGTCCCAGGTTAGAAAGTTAGGCTAGGACAATTAAAACCCAGTTTCAAATCCCTACGAATCCATGACGTTCACTGAGTGACCCTAGGCTACCTGTTACCTTTTACTTTAATCCACCTTGCAGGGCTGTTCCAGGGATAAAGGGGCACGGAACAGAAATCATGTATATTGTCCTGCACTCCTTGGGGAGAGTGGGATTTTTAAAACAAAATAAATTACAGGATTATCATACGGGGGGGGGGGGGGTTTACTATGACGTTACTGTGTTTGTTTTGCCTGGATTTTAAAAACTTGTTTACTCCCATTTTAAGCCTTCTTCACTAGGCCCTTAACAGCTCGGCGGGAATTATCCTGTGCAAAAATGAGTCGTATAGAGGACTGAAAGTGGAGCAACAAAAGATAAAGTCAGAGAAGGAATGCTTCTTAATACCAATTGCTGGAAACTATAGGAGGGGAGAGTGCTCTTGTGCCTGGGTCCTCCTTCTTGTTTGCCACTGTGAGAACAGGATGCTGGACTAGATTGGCCTGATCCAGCACCACATTTCTTATGTTCAGATGAACACCAGGTGAACTATTTCTGTACAAGGCAAAAAAATCCCAAGGAGCAGTATTTGACAAGCTTGGGATTGCAGAACAAGGTGGTGCAGCAGATAAAAGTATTAATGGTAGTAAGGTCATACTTTTGGATTAACAAGACTCCTCAAGAAAGGTTGGGGGAAGCTGCCTGCTTTGGTTTAAACAAGCTATTGTATTACTTGTAAGTACAGTGTATCAAATCAAACCCTGTAGTTTGCCTTTCTCAGTATTAAACTGACAATGAGGTCCACTCTCTAGGGCAGCCTTCCCCAACCTAGTGCCTTCCAGAGGTTCTGGACTGTAACTCCCATCAGACCCAGCCAGCACAGACTGGAGCTGATGGGAGTTATAGTCCACAAAACATTTGGAAGGCACCCAGCTGATGAAGGCTGCTCTACGGTCACATACAGTAGCCTTTTCGCAGCCCTTTCAGTGCAGATGCCAGCCAATGAACCTGGCTTCTGAAACATGCCAAGTACACAATTCATTGATCCTCTCAATGCTGATCCCCTGAACATAAACAGAAACATGGTAAATATATTCTTACAACTTGAATTTTTAGTGAGCCGTTATGCCTATGTCTACCTGCCAACATTAGATGGAACAAAAACCCCACTGTTTACTTGTCCTTATATGCCAGCTTCTAGTAATGAAATTTTCAAAATGAATGTGGAACAACTGCTACACATATTTTATGTTTTATAAAGTATGTAGGCAAGCTAGAGAGAGAAAATAAAATCACAACATGCCGTCATGTACTTGCTTGGAGCTCTTCTTTTTTCTGGGGCTCAACTGGCCAAAAAGGAGTAAACACACTACCACACAAGAATCAGAAGACAAAGAGAGACATTGGGTACAGAAGACAACATTCAATCTGCATTCTGTCCATACATGGAAAACAGCTTTAAGAGTGGGAAATGTTTGAGCAACGTTCATGAATGTGCAGCTTCTCAAACTTCCTGCAGTGTAAGGAAGTGATGGGGTATTATTGCACCACTTCATATCCCCTTACCATGTGAATGCTAAAGAGGAGTTATGCAATAATTCATGAGGTGACTTCACATTTGAAAAATTGCAGTGTGTTCTAAAGATAGAGGGTCAGGCAGCAGGCTGAGCTTATCAGAAAAGATAAGAGCTGCCCCAAGAAGATGCCTCTCCACAGGAGTAATTAAAACTAGGAGTAACTAAGAGCTGGGAATAAACTCACTCATCCAGCCAAAGCCTGATGAAGGGTTCAAGTCCCAAAGATACTTTCCAAGGAAAGCAGAGCAGGGACAAGGGGAGCAGGCATGAGCAGAGAACTGAAACAATTTTTTGACCAACCTCCCTGCTGATTCTTCCATCCTAGCTCTGTATTGTTTACACCCCATGGCAACAGTTCTCTGGATCTCAGTCAAGGGTATTGTCCAGCCCTACCTAGAATAAATCACCCTTGCAACTTGCCCACTCTTTTGGGTCCAGAAGCAGGCAAATAGTGAAACTGCCTGCACTACATGGCATTTCTTTGCTGGAGAAAGCTCTCATCGTTCTTTACCTTCTATTACAGGTATGTCAAAGTGTGGGTTTTCAAGCTGTGTTCCAGAGTCATGGCAGACAAGAGGCTCATAAGGCATCTTACCTACCATTACCAGTATTCTCCTGCAACACAGAACTGCAGAGGCAACTTGACAACACTCTGGAGCACACACAGATTCCAGGGAGTGTGAACTATGTGTATGTCCATAATTCCCTGCAGTATAGAGGGGCTCTGTAGCAGACCAATCAACACAGAAAGATTTTCTGAGGCTTAAAAGTTTCAAGACCACTACTCTAGAAAAACTGGCTTTTCTACACAGACTATTACCTCTCTTTCTATGGGATGATGCCAAGTCCAAATCCACATTTCGTCTTCCACTCTATAGTGAATAAAAATAACCAAAGAGAGTGTTAGTGTTATACCTTATTTATTACATTTATACAGTGTCTACCAATGTACTCAAGTTTGTTCACGCTGGCTTTCAATTTAACAGACACAACACAGAAGGGACAGGCTTGGAAGAGGAAAGTAAGCAAAGGCAGATATCATTGGCTACTGTATGGGGAAGTTTTGGGAAGGCATGAGCCAAATGATCACAGAGAGGCCTTCACTGTCTTGCCTCTCTCTGATACTGTGAGATGGAATTCCACCTAACCAGCAAACAAAAAGGCAACGCATTCATTTATAAGTTATAAGCAGCAGCTTACCACCAGAGTAAACAATTCCAAATATAATATACTGAATATACTGAATATAGTGGGCACTCCCAAAAGACAACCACCTCTATACTTCTGGAGGCATTCTGTGCTGAACTTGAACACATGTTTTTGCACAGGTCTCTCAAATTTGAAAATCATACCATGGGCCAGTTCTCACATAATCCTAGACCATCGCATGCTGCTAAGTGGATAAGCGAAGTGTTGGTCTCACATATTCCTGCTTCTCTTCTCCTACTCTTGCATAGCTGGAAGGGAGACTTCTGCTGAGTTTAGCATTGCCTTTAAAGAATCTTGGTCCCAGCATTACATACAAACCAGGCATCCAATTTTAAAACAAATAAGTCAATTTACTTGACATTTGCTATTCAAACCTATGGTTTGAAGTTACGTTGTCATGAGACTGACCAGCTTGGGTTCATCATGCTGCCACTTACACAACTTTAACACTGTCAAATATTCTTCTGTAATCTGTGGGATTGTCTACATTCTTGATTTGCCATGTTCTTTTGAATGTCATGTCTTATTTTCTCCCAACACATTTTTAAGGTAAGCAAGGCAGTCCTTTGCACAATGTCATGAGTGGCTTTTCAAACTCCAAGGGAATTTTAAAGTCAACTTGTGATGAAACAGAGCAGGGAAAAGAGGACTGAAATTAAGCAATGGCAATAATTAGATCCCACTGCATGTAAACTCCGCATGCACACTTTGGGGGGCGATGGTTTGCCCCAACCTACCCATAAAGTCCTGAGCTGATGTGAAAGCAGTTCCCACTACAACAAAGACTCACAACATTTCAAGTGCATCTTCAGCAGCTGAACCAGCAAGAGTAACATTATGCAAAGCTTTAAAGTATTTCACCTACCAGTGAATAACCTTCTTCATCCGATTCAGGCTGAGATAAATCAGATTCACTCCGTGATTTCATCAGTTTGTAACTTGAACTAGAGTGGACAGAGCGGCTCTCTGCAGTAAGGCTTTCACTTCTGTTTCATGCAGATGCAAAAAAAAAAAAGATAATAATTGAAGATGATAATTGGTCTGGAAACCAAGCCTTATGAGGAAGGAACAGTTGAGGGAATTGGGTATGTTTGGCCTGGTAAAGAGGAGACTGAGAGGAGATATGATAGCCATCTTCAGATAGCTCAAGGGCTGTCCCATGGAAGGTGGAGCAAGCTTGTCTTCTCCTGCTCCGGAGGACAGGACCAAAACCAATGGATTCAAGTTACAATGGATTCAAGGAGATTCTGACTAAACATCTGACAGTGGAACAAACACCTTGCAGGTTTTTAAGGAGAGGTTGGATGGTCATCTGTCATGGATGCTTTAGTTGAGATTCCTGCATAGCCGGGGGTTGGAACAGATGACCCTTGGGGTCCCTTCCAACCCTACAATTCTATTATTCCATAAGAGCAGGCAAAGTACAGCTCCTAGGGTTTAACAATATGCACAGGGAAGTCTGATGTGCCAACATAATGCTCTCTCAAACAAGGGACAAAGCTTGGCATATTCCAGGCACCAGAGAATAAAAGCCTGAGACAAAGCCTGGCCAGTCTTTGTCACCAGAGACAAAGCCTGGCATATTCCACCACCACCCCAATCCCTTGGAGCTCATTGCACAAATTAGGCACTACCAAAGGAAAGGGCCTGACTCTTAAGACCTGCCCAATGTACCACTAACTGCTCTGGAACAAACAGTAGGACCTCCGACGCCTATTGTTAGGATTTGGCAGGCTCACCCTACCTTAGCAGATTACTAAGGATTTACTCAGCAAGCTTTCAAGAGCTGCTGGCTGCTCTTGTGCACAGATCATTAATCGCACCTGGTCATGAGTCCAATCCCTTCTGCAGTACCAGTTGATGGCTGTTGCAACTGCCCTTCCTCTCTTCGTTTCTGCAGCTCCTCAATAACGGGGCTGACTCCCAGAATCAGCAAAGCACACCTATGGATCACAGAGTTGCAGGCAGCCGTGTACACATCTTGTCCTTCAGGAAGGTCTCTGCTGACTCTGCGTTCTTGCTGGGACTGAGGGGCCTGGTCATCCATTCGAGCCCCTGCCCCACCATTTATTCTCTCTCGGTCTCGACTGCGAGCTACTTCACGGGCTGATAGGAAACATTGAAAGATTTCTGTAACATGCAACACAAAAACAAAGGTCTTAACTTCTAGGCAGAGCTCAAGGGCTGTAAAAATTATTCAGGTGACTTTTGTTCATCACAGATAAAACTCCTGTTGAAGGCCCCATTCATTTCAATGGGACTCTCTCTGAACAAGCTTCTGTGGAATCTTTTCCAAACTTTACTTACTGCCAGCTGTCATAACTTCATGCTCCCTTTCTTCCTCTTCCTCTTCTTGTTCCGGGTGCCCCTCTTCTCTTTCTCTTTCTGCCTGCTCTTCCATCTCTGCTTCTTCATCAATGGTCCGAGTAAAGGGGTGCTCTTGGGCATCAATGTCCAAAGAGTCTGGGTTTTCTGACATCTGGGATAGGGGAGGAGAGAGGGTAAGGTTCAAAGATATGAAGAACTCATTGCTTAATAAGAAGTATGTTGTTAAATCAAACCAGGGGCGAGGTTTCTCAGGCCTGGGGGCCAAATGCAGCCTTCTCTCTACCTGGTCCCTAGGATTCTTCCTTAAGTCACACACCCTTTCCTGCAGCACAGCTGGAATGCTGGAATGTGTCCTTGAACTATGATAGCACTTGGTTTGCCTGGAGGGTAAGCAGAAACCTGACTTTTGTATGAATGGAATACAGTGGTACCTCGGGTTATATACGCTTCAGGTTACAGACTCCGCTAACCCAGAAATAGTACCTCAGGTTAAGAACTTTGCTTCAGGATGAGAACAGAAATCGTGCTCCAGCGGCGCGGTGGCAGCAGGGAGGCCCCATTAGCTAAAGTGGTGCTTCAGGTTAAGAACAGTTTCAGGTTAAGAACGGACCTACGGAACGAATTAAGTACTTAACCCGAGGTACCACTGTATAGTGTTCTGTACGGAGATAAGAATCACATCCACCCACTTCTGCCTCTGACCCCATCCACCACCAGCACAAGGCCCCCGGAAGGTTGGCTTCAAGCTGGGGAAAAATCTGCCCCTAAATTAAAACAGGAAACAGTAGTGATTGTGCGGAACAGCAGCTGACTCACACAGTCCTTTCAGGCTGTGGAGCTGAATTCATAGTAAAATGGCAGTGGTAAAATTGCTTCACCATAAGCACAGGTCACAGGATGACTGCCCCCGCAAAAATTTATGAAGCGATGGAGTAATAATTCCACTATCTGTGCTAGTGTGAGTGGATGCAGACAACCATATTATACGTGTGACAATAATGACAAGGCTTTTTGTGGAACCTTCTAAGGGGAGGGAGGAGTGGCACCAACATGTCAAGTCTGTAACTGCTTTGGCAGAAGCAGAAGAACAGAAGAAGATCCATGATGAATCAAAATCAGGAAACTTCAACTAGTTCAGCAACCTCCTTCTTAAGAACAAGGAAGATAGGAAAGTAGGCAAGAAAAGCCTCCCTAGTTTAGAGCTAGAAGATCCCTTTTCCTCCTTCTCAAAGCAGTTTGACCAGGAAGCAGAGAAGCGTCTCCCGAGTCCAGTTAAAGGAAGAAACAGCTACCAACATAAGCCTTATAAACCACTCCCCCACAATTCAAAGAAGTAGGCAAATTAATTTAAAAGAACAGTTTTATTTATGGTCCATAGAACCCACCCACCCCAAAAAAGTAAAGCATGCTGTAAAACAAAGGAATGTTTTTTAAAAAACAAAACCCTAGCTACAGAGAAAACAGAACCAAGCAAAAATTTGAAACTGAAATAAATATACAGTGGTACCTCAGGTTAAGTACTTAATTCGTTCTGGAGGTCCGTTCTTAACCTGAAACTGTTCTTAACCTGAAGCACCACTTTAGCTAATGGGGCCTCCTGCTGCTGCCGCGTCTCTGGAGCCCAATTTCTGTTCTTATCCTGAAGCAAAGTTCTTAACCTGAAGCACTATTTCTGGGTTAGCGGAGTGTGTAACCTGAAGCGTATGTAACCTGAAGTGGTAACCCGAGGTACCACTGTACTGGGCACATCTAAATAGGATTGAAAGTGAGCAAAACTGTAGACAAAGGCTCACATAATTGTTGGCCTCAAAAAAATAATCAACTATGCAGTCTTTCATGTTAAACCAATTTTCCTGCACTACGTAAGAAAGAGGAGCAGAAGTGCCAGTCTTTAGTCTTACCCATCTATCCCTTGAAGACGACCTAGTCTGAATAAGTTCCATATTCTTGCAAGCAAGCAAACGACTCCGCACTTTGTACACACACCGGTATACTTCTACTAAGGCTTTGCCAGGCTGATACCTAAAAGACACAAAAGTTACGTAAGGCTAAGAGGACAGGAAATCTCTCTAACACAAGGGGGAAAGGTCTCAAAATGCTTTTTGGGTACTTGCCTGCTCTCACCACTTGCTTGACTAAGCAAATTTGTATGTTTCAGGAGGGCAGCAAGAACAAATCTAGACACAGTATCCAAAAGCGACTCACTACTCAGGGTGGCACTATCCCAATCTGAAGAGGTAGGGGAAAAGGAACTGATCAGTTTCCTAAAATATTCACAATTAAAAAAGCATCAAATTATTCAGCCATATTTCAATAATTCAGCCTGCATTTTTGCCTTAAACCAGGAGTGGGGAATCTTTTTCACCCCAAGGGCTGCATTCCCTCAATGGAAAACCTTCTGGGGACGCATGCCAGTGGTGGGCGGAGCCAGAGGTAAGAGTGGGCCCTAAATTCACTTGAAGGTCTGCTGTCTTGCCAGTGGGAAGTTCCTTTTTTTATTTTGCAATAGCCAAGTGGCACGATCAGTGAGCAGAGCTTGCTAAAAGCCTCAATAAGGACTTCACTGCTCTGACACTGGGCAGTATTCACCCCAAAATATTGCACTCCTACCCACCCATACCATGAAATAGCACCAAGTTGTATGAAGTGGGCTATCAAATTGGGATGGGTTTTTCAGAGTAATGGCAGATACACTTCATTGCCATGAGGTGTGGTCAGCAGGCAGAAGGTTATGTAGTTCTATGCTAGTTGCTATTTATTATGTGTCTAAAACTGCTTTAAACAATATGGTTGTGCCAGAAGATGTCCAATGTACAGTTATTTTAATAAGCAAGTTGACTACAACAGAAATGCAACTAATTGCAGAAAATACAAATCCTTCCTAAACTAAAATGGCCATGACAAAGTGGTTTCTCAAATGGGGTGCCCCAACCCAAGGACTTCACTGAAATTTTAAGAGTTCTAGGTGGACCCACACCCTGGTTTTTTGTTTTTGTTTTAACTAAACAAATAATGAAAGAGCCCCTCCTCCAAAATGAGCACAGATAAGCTCAATTATTGTCACTCTGGGAGGTCGCTCTTTTGCTTCCAAGAACTTACCTTTACTCACTGCATAGTCCTGCATGCTGACCCAGAGGCTACGAGCAGGCTCCTTTGCACACCCCAAAGCCAAATCCACAAAGACAGAGATTTCTGGGCAAAGCTTGTAATCAAACGGCTTTTGTTCTTCATTTCCAGAAAGAGCTACCTCTAACAAGGAACTCATGGACTTGTCTAAAATGAGATGAAAAGTCATGTCATTATTTATCTATTTAGGTACTTGCAAGTGGGGCCTGAATCAAAAGGGTTCCAACAAGCCAGCCATGTTGTTTTCCATTCTACTGCCACCCCCCCCATACATATACATCACCCAACAACCCAAATACATCAATCCATGGCCAGCGAGCATGCTCAGTCCTCAGGAGGTCATTCTGAGGGTTCCCCTCACTTTTTTCTGAAGCCTTTTTTGTACTTTCCCCACGGCTACTGATACCTCCTCTCGTGTGTGGATGGTGTTTTGGCTACACAATGAACAGCACTCAGAGAGTGCTATTAGTGTAGATCAGCCTTTGCCTACCTGGTGCCCTCCTGATCTTCTGGGCTCCAGCAAGCATGGCCATATTGTGCTGGGCTGACAGGAGCATGGCTGTGCTAGCTGGGGCTGATGGGAGATGAAGCCCAAAATATCTGGAGGGCACTAGATTGGCAAATGATGTCTTTTCAATGCAAAAAGTATTTGTACAGCAGCAAACAATACTACTAAGAAAGTAGAAATAAAAACCAGTAAAAAAATTCAATTCAAACAACAAAATTAAAATAGCAGTAAGCCAGCAATTAAACAAAGCAATTGATAAATCTTCCTAAAAACGAATACACACTTTTTTCTTTTGAAGGAAGGAGAGGGTCTGGTAAATCTCCCACAAATATGGGGCCATAACTGAGAAAGTTCTGTTTCTGGTTCTCATCAACTGGAATGTCATTAATGACAGGGCAGGGAGAAGCATCACCAGTGACAATCTCAAGATTGGGGTAGGCTTGTGTATAGTCCCTAAGATAATCTGGTCTTAACCATTTATACAGCACCATCAATGTGCTTGCCACTTTAGAGAACACAAGACAACAGGTCTGTGTCCCGAGAATCTTACAATCCAGAATTCAACATAGAGGAAAGGAAGGGATGGAGACAAACAAGAGAAAGAACAGGCATTTACATTGCAGTCACATATGCTTCAACACAGTTACAGTAGAACATGGTGGGGAAAGAGACAATACCGAAGTCTCCTGAAAAAAGTGGGTTTGGAGGAGGAATTTGAAGAAAGTCAACAAAGTGGCATTGTGCTGGTGTTCCAAAAGGAAATTTTAAGCATAAGTGCAGCAAGGAAAGACAGCTTTAAGTTAAGACAAACTCCACCCCATTGAGAAGAAAGTCATTGTCCTTTTGGGCACAAAAGCAAATTGCTCTCTCTGCTACTAGCAAAGTGACTGCACTACTCCCGATATGGGAATGAAGTCTTCCCACTTTCTCAGTCTAGACTGAGAAAGGAAAAGAAAAAAGCACACCCAAAGTTTGAAATTTTGCAAGCCCATCACTTTCTCACCCACTGAACCATCCCTCTCATGTGGAACTCTCCCTAAAGCCCTGCCTTTTGGGGTTTTAAAGCCAGAAATTCCCTGGTCCTCTTGTGAGATTCTCAGATGCATCTGGCTGCCCACTCTGGAGAGACAGGATGCTGAACTAGATGGACTTTTGGACTAGGTCAGCAAGATAATTATTCTAACAAACCATAACGGTGCATCCACATGTGTGCCCACTTATTCACACATCAATAAAGCAGTTGAATTGATTACCTAACTGGGGAATGTCCATTTCAACTCCATCACTAAACAGTGGTGTTTTCAACCAATAAGCAGTATCTTGCTCTTCTGGTGACACAGGTGATCCTTGAAGCATTCCACCAAGACAGCGTCCAATAAGCAGAGCCACAGTTCTCTCAAGGTCAACTAGCCACACCCATGACTGTGCAGGCTGTGGTAAGGGCACCCCAGCTGGATCAACCAGTTCAGGTCCACCTAGAAATATTAATAGCTGAAATATTAATAGTCAATTTTTTCTGAGCCAAGATGTTTTGATAGATTATGCAAGCCCACTCATCCTGTGATCTGTACTGAGCATGCAAGTTCCAGTGTCTACACAAGCTCCCAGAACAAATTCCTCACCCATTTCAGTGGCAGGAAACAACCTATGGATGTATTCATTCACATACAGTTACCTCCACTGAGCTGAATGAAGATCAGGATGAAAAACATTTGAAGGCACATGACCTAAATTGAAGAATTCATTTCAGAGAAAACTCCTTAGTAATGTCCAAAGTGGTGAAAAAATACTCCTTAAAATGCCCTGGTACGCAAAATGTACCAGGGGTCTGATTAGGAAAAAACAAGGCTAATTCCCAAGGGGCTGGTGCTCGCGTTAACAAAGGTGGTAGGTATAGCAGCATCAATTAGCCAACTGGGCCTCCAGATTACTTTTTAGGCATCACAGAAGTCCTAGAGCTTAACCTCTGTGAAAGCATACTGTGAGGTGATGCTGTTTCTGGTGAGGGCTAACCATAGAAAAATGGGGGGGGGAGCGGGCATATAAACCAATGTAAGTTCAGGGGAACAACACATTTTACCCAAAATTCATAAAGCATATTTGCATTCTACAATTCCTATCTTTCAGAAGGCAGAAGTACTGCACTGAATGCCTTACCATGAAGAGGCCACTGTAACTCCTGATCTTCTAAGAGAACAGCAGCTGGCAACAGTCTGTTAAGGCGATCCAGAGGTGGCAACAGATCCAGCAGATAGCTCAATAAAGGTCGGGCTACTGATACAGGCAGTAAGAGCAAGGAATTGACAATTTGGCAAAGCATGCTTCCGGCTGCAGAGACATAAATTACATCTGCAATGGAGGGGGAAATGATAACTTCATTAATAAATTCCAAAAGGGTAACCATGGTTGGATTTTTCAACAGCAGCAAATGATGTGGCATCTTAAAGACTAACAACTGTATTGCAATATAAATCTTTGTGAGATTCTTATTGTTATTTGTTACCCCGCTCTGTGGCAAAGGGATCTCCAAAACTGAATGTAGTTCCCAAACAAGGGTAGGTTGATGGAGCCATTTTAATTTATACTGACTTGACAGGCTATATCCTGCCCATTCACTGTGGCCCGCAGGAAAGACTCTTCTGTGTTCCCCACTGCACCACAATCTGAGGCGCTGTTGGTGGGAATGAGGGCAAGTGCCTTTCTATAGAAGTGCCACAATGTGGAACTTCCAGCCAGAGAAATTCACCTCTTCCCCTCCTGGATAGTCTTAAGTCAACCTGTAAAGATCTTTTGGCTTGACCACTGCCCCCCGCTTTTTGGTGTGCACCCCCTATTCTGGTTTATTCACTGCTGCTTTTTTCTGTTGCCTTTTTACTGCCTTTAGGGTAACTGTATAACTTGCTTTTATGATGGAAGGCACCCAGAGAGCTCCCAAAAAGGAGTGGAAAGGGGAGGAAGAGGTCTTGAAAGACATGTGCTGTTTTCTTGTATTTCCTTCGAAGATTTGATACCTAAATTCTCAGATTGCAAAGACATCTAAATATACCAGTACAAGATCTGGCAAAAGAAGAGACAACTGGCAAAAAAACCTGAGCAGCAAATGGACTCATTTAAAAAACAAACTTGTTCGGTTCTGCTGCTCACATTCCTTATATTACGCATGATCTAATAAGTAACACACACACCTCTTAGTTTTTCCCCAACACTACCATTCCAAGAACTCTCCTTCAGCAAAGTAGCAGAGCGGGAATAGATATCTGTAGCATGAGGCAGTAGAAGTTGAAGGTGCTTGTGCAGGAGCGACACACTACTTGAATTCTGGGAACAAAAGAAACATTCTAAATATACTTTACAAATGGAAACCTGCAACAATATGTTGCAGCATGGAGTTTAGGGTTCAAGCCAACTAGCTATGGCCCTACTCCTGGAGACTCCATTCCATTACTTTGCCTCCCACACAATTTCTCCATTTTCCCCTCTAAAAGCTAGGCGCCATTCTCTTGCCACTGAGTATGATCAGTTCTTGCTCAGATGATTTGGGCAGGGTTCTCCCCATAGGTTTAAAAAAAAAAAGTTTTTTTGTACTGCAAATCTTGGGTTTTCCCTGAACTTGCTAATACTTCCCTCTTGCGTGTGAATTGTGTTGCTTTGGCTGCATAAGCATCACCACTTACCTCTGAACACTGAAAATAGGAGGGAATGATGAACTTCTGTTCACAGAATCAGATTTCTAAAAGTCAGAGCCAAATATCCTTATTGGTCCTTTTTGTTCCACCCATTATGGAGCAAGTATACTCATCAATACATATGAAAAATCACAGCACTAACCTCACTAACACTGTTGATATGACAATATGCCAGAAGTTGTTTCTGCAGGGAACACAACAGTTCATGTAGATGAGCGGGCTGGCTGTTTTCTGATGATGATGTTCCAAGTAAAAATTTGTCACTGTTCTTTTCCAGCTCCCCAAATGCTTGATCCTAGACAGTTACAAGAATAATCATGTACATTTCTATAGCATTCTCATCTTTCTTATTTTTATGCCTAGGCAACTTCAACCTGGCTCCTCTTACTCAGAATATTATAAACTATGGGTTGTATTCAATTAAGTCCCAGTCAAAGTGAAAGATCCATGGACTTAAGTTAGTCATGTTTATTAACTTCAATGGGTCTAGAACTAGCATTAGATACAACCCTATGCTTTTGTTAATGGAAAGCCACTGGTAGTTTCCAGTAATAACTAAAAGTTTCAGTTTTGCCCCCAAATAAGTTGAAGGAAGAAGAGTCTGAAAGAAATCCAGCTAATATGCAACTTTAAAAAGGAGCTGACTAAAGAAAAAAAGGACCAAGCAGCTGGTAGCTTCTGCATATAAAAATGAGTTTTCAAGAACAACGCCAGGTTTGTGCCTCTCTTGACAACTGCTTCAACACAATTTTTAAAGAATACTGTCATATTTGTGCTGGCAACATGATCCTAGCCAATCAGGAATCATGTAGTCAGTGCAATGATACTGCAGAACTATATAGTTGGATATGACTACATGGCAATGTCAAAAAGCCAATTCAGAGTGAGGACAATTACTTGCACCCCTCACTCTGAATGGGTGGTGGTTGTTGCATAGTTTATAGTCCCCACTGAACGTTGCTGTAAAGTGAGGGCATTTTTGAGATGGGCAAATCCCTGTCCAATTCACCTCTGTCCTAGTTGTTGTATTAAATCAAGTTTCCAATTGGTTAAGTACTGTAGACCCCCCCCATTTTTCAAAAGTCAAGCCATGGATCCCCTACTTTTGAAAAATTTGACATCACTATGGAAGTTTTTGTTATGTGAATGGTGCCACAGACCCCAGGAGGTCCGCAGAGCACCAACTGGGAACCACTGTATGAAACAATTCCAACTTAATTGGTATTCAGAAATAAAATTCAAATTCTAAGCTTACTGTATAAAATCCTAAATTTCTCAGAAGGGTCTTCATTAAAATTTCAGCCAGATGAGTATCTGGATGATTACTCTGGACATCATATGTTGGATCAGCAATAGTCCCATAGGCAATACAGAGTGAGGAAACATCTGGAGCATCAGATGGTGAGCTATAGCCAAGCAAGGAGGCTACATGAGTATGGTCCTGCAAACTCGTCAGAATAATATCCAATTGCATTCTCTGAAAAAATAAAAAATAGGCAATTTTCTTCATTTATAATTCTTAAGAGAGAAAAACCCAATTAGAAAATCAACATGAAAATGTTTTATTTTCATGAACATGAAAGGGCAAACTGGAATATAATGGGCAACCAGATAGCACTTAATTTATATATTGCCACTGTATGCAAGTAATATAATTTGTGTATCATATTTAGCAATGTTAACCTAATGTTTTGAATGATTGGGACATAATACTGGTAAATGTAACTTGTTCTTATAGTTGACTGAAAATAGCAAAATTAATTCTATAAATAGGAAAGTAACTATGCGCCTGAAGAAGAAATACAACTGTGCTTTCTTTCACAAGCTTCTTTGTTTCTGTATCATTCAAACCATAGTTAGCAATTACATCTGAACTGCCAAACTATGGTTTAAGCGATTGCTCCAGAGTAGGATCTCATAATGGTTTAAGAAAAACCAAAGATACATTTCTCTGTATTGCAACTAGACGATATTTGTATCAAACTTGTCCAGTAAAACTCTTTATTCACAAGCCCCAGCTTGTCCTAGTAACGGTGTAGAGAACAGCTTCAGAATGGGAGCACAGTTCCAATACTACCCCCCTCTCCCAGCCTGCTAGAGTCTTCAGTCCAGCATCCTGTTGTGTGATATCCCTGTAATTCAGTTGGCCACCAGCAAAGTCACCCATTGTCCCTCTGACCCACATAATTACATCTTACTCTGAAAACAAAATGAAGATTTTTTTTGCTTACTTATCCCCAACCTACGCACTACACAGCAGCATAGAATTTATGTCCTCAGCCGAATAACACCATGTTATCCTCCATAGTGGCCACTATGGAAGCATGTTCAAGCAAATGCTAATTCCAAGAGACTTTTTACCTGCCCCTTTGACAGGCTCTCCCATCTGTCAGGACCTTGGGGTAGAAGGGAATGCAGCAATTCCATCCTCTCTCTCAATGGAGGCAGTAGCATTGTGGCTCCAACTGACAGAGTTTCAATTACAACCTAAGAAGTGGAATGAGAGGTTGCTGAGACTATTTCAACTTACCCTGGAAAGCATTTTTGAAACAATTTACCTTATGCATTTTGAAATTATAGCTCTGCACCCACTCTACACACTAGTTTCAATGTATCAACTGAAAAGACTAGATGCCTATTAACTGCTATAAGCTCTGCAACATTTACTTCCTTCCTTATCTCCTGGAATCATAGAATTGAGGAGTTGGAAGGGACCCCAAGGTTCATCTAGTCCAAACCCTACAATGCAGGAATCTCAACTAAAGCATCAATCACAGATGGCCATCCAATCTCTGCTTAAAGACATCCAATGGAGGACAGCCCACAACCTCCTGAGCGAGACTGTTCCACTGTTGAACAGTTCTCCTGCACAAGAGTAAGCATTCAGTGTACAACGGGGTGCAGGAGCAGTTATGTGTAAGTATTTTTGTATTTTAACAAACTTTGGGAATTCCCTAAGTTGGAGGGTGATTGTGAGTGCATGTTGCTTTGGGAACAAAGCTGTGGACACACACTTTAGTTTCAGCTTAACAGAGTGTGATAAAACAGTCAGGTAAGTTAGAGAACTTGTGGCAGAATATTGATCTGAGTTTCTAGGTGTCAGATTTTTAGACTGCCTTCCCAACTTGAATTAATAGAGCACACAACCTAAAAACACAAGCAAGTGTGGTTCACTTTGGAGATTTACCTCCTGTATTTCATCTGGAACAGAAGAGTCCATCAATCTAAACAATAAATTCCGAAGCGGGCCAGCCTGCCTTCCAAGTATGCTTGTAGCTACTCCGCCAGCTAATGCAAGAGCAAGGTGGTTAGAGAGCAGCTTCAGACACAACTTCAGGAAATTGTGATGCTCCCTGAAAAACAAGGGATTGCCATTAACCCAGGCTTACCTGTGATCTCCAATTATTGCTATCAGGTACATTTTCCCTTCTGCAGTACTCATGCCCAGCATCTGAACAAACAGTTTCACATATCACAATAGTCTTACAATGGTTTAGTTGGAGTAACTGTCACAATACAACCAAACAACATTCAGGGCTCAGCAACAGCACAGACAATGAGGAACACACCCCATGAAAACCCACCAGGACCCTTTGCTTTTAGCATTCAGGAGAAACAAAGCCTTCTTGTTTCAGTGTGCCTTTGGCTTGTGGCTTTTCTGCTGTTCTGCTGAGACTGGCTTTTCTTCTGCTGTTTATTTGGTTTTATCTGGTTTTATCTGCTGCTGATTTCACCTGCTTTGCTTAAGAATGATTTTGCATTGGTTATTACTTTATTGTTATTTTAATTCTTTATCGTAGCAAACCTAACACCAGCTGGGCAGCAGTGGGATGTGACAGAGCAGTATATCCACTGCTGCACCCAGTGAAATATTGTTATGCATTATGCTTAAGATTGATAATAATGTTTATCATAATGAAAGAACACCTCTGATTAAATGTATATATATAGTTTCAATTGTATTTTTAGATTAATTTTCTTGAGTTGAGGGTTTAAATGTTTTCCCTACAAACATCAAAATGCCAATACCCTGAAAATGAGTTTTAAGAGGAGAGACAAGTTTCTAAGACTTTGCACACAGATCAAATGTTGTTAGTTTTTCCTCTTTCCCAGAAATAAGCTGACTCATTGGTCCTTCCATCCAGCCTGACCTAAAGAGCTACAGTAAAACTGGAAGAACCCTTCCAATTGCCACTGGCAACCAACACCATATCCCAAGTGAAGGAAAGATCCTGCTGGGTCCACACAGGCCGCATGCATTTGATAGCAAATCCCACCAAATGGGAGGTTTCAATTGCAGAGCTGCTTCCAGAGGTAACTGAACCAATATATCATGATGTCTGAAATAAGGATGACGTTATGCAGAAGCATTGGCTAGCTTCACAGTTTTTCCTGCATCATGATGTTTGCCGGTGTCTGCTCTTGTGATTTGATGACCCCTGCATAAGGCAGGGGAGAGTTGAGCTGGCAGTTAACAGGGGTTGCAGGAATCAAGAGAAGCACTGACTGCCTTCATGGTTTTTCCCACATTGTGATTTTTGCATAGCACACACACGGACACGGACACACACATATCATGATCCGTGATATATTGTCATGTCAAAGTTATGACTGATAAAACAATATTGACTTCAAACCAGTTTTGGATGATATATTGATATATATTGCCCAGCCCTAATACTGTTGCACAAATCTGAACTCTCATTCTGGAAATGCAAGCCAAGACTTTCCATGCATGAATGTGCCCATAATAATAATAATAATAATATATAAAAAATAAACAGGATAGCATATATGCCACATAAACAAATACCTTGAGGATGGGAAAGGAAGAGGAGGAATCTCACTGTTGATTTTGTCACAATACTGCTCAAGGAAAGAACGGAGGTGGGAGAAGGTACTTTCTTCAAGATCCACACAGTATGGTCTGTGCCAGGCAACAACTTGTCTGCAAATCAAATAAAAGATGACCATGGAGCAAAAATTAAACATCAATAAAAATAAATAATGACTCATTAAAATCAGAATAAGCTCTTCTTGCCAAGAATATATAAGTGAAGGGATCTGGTTAAGCACAAAGCATTGTGATTCAAAGGCACCCTAACATGATGGAGCCAAGATCCATTCCATTAGGTATGCATAAACGTTAAATGGTTTGGTTATTATCAGTATATAATTACTTACCTGTCTCTGGGAAGAGCTGTCCAGGCAAGACTATGGGATGTTCCAGCTGAAATCTGCTGAATTGCTACTCCATCTAAGCCACTCACTTTCTTTGGTTTTGTAATGGGCCCTGTGGAGTTCCCTTGGCCACACTGTCCCATGGAATTGTTACCCCAAGCATAAACTTCATTATCTAAATAAAAAACAAGTAATAGTAATAATAACAGTTGAACACACTTGAAAACCAATGTGTATTTGCCATAATAAGCTTTAGTATTACATTATAGTTTACCATGAGAAAGTGCCAAACAGTGGCTGTCCCCAATTGAAATATCCACTATCCGCGTTGCAGCCAGCTCTTCAATCAGCTTGGGCCTGAGTGCTGTAGCTTCTGAAGACCCACATCCTAGACATGCACCACAGCCCCAAGCGTACACCTGGATCAAAATATACAGAATTTAATACACAAAATATCATTGTTATTAGTCCAAAAACCCCATCTGCAATCCGGTTAGGATTGTCACACTGTTAAAGAGAGAACTCCTCATGGGCATCCTGCGTAAGCACAGAGTACTGCAACCAAAATGAAGTGAAGCAAAGTAAAAAGACCCTCTGGGCATAGCTTTCAGTTTGCCTACTGGGAATACTGCAAGCAATTGCTAGGTTTGGGAGGTGGTGATTCATAATTTCTATCTACAATCAATAAAATCCACATAGCACCAAACTGCATTCTTTTTCATTCGTCACCATTGAAGTGGAGGCTGACCGTTTTCTCTTACGAGTTCTTACAGGAAAATCTAAGGATTCAACAATGTTTCCCTTTGAAAGGATGTTAAGATATCAACCATGTGCACACAGCTGTTATTTAGGATGTGAGTTTTATTAGACTGCAATACAGTGGAACCTCTACTTACGTTCACCTCTGGTTACGTATCCTTCGGGATACGTGCGTGGCAAACCCGGAACTTTTTCCCCAGGTTTCGCCCTGCACTCGTACACAGAAGCACTAAACCGCACCGCGTGCATGCGCTGAAGCAACATCTCCGGATCTGTACACCTTGGGATCCAACCAGAGATCTGGAACGGATCCCGTGCGCAACTGGAGGGACCACTGTATTTTAAGACTTTACTTTCTATTCTTTGATTTTTTTAAATACAGTGGAACCTCGGGTTTCGAACGTAATCCATTCCAGAAGACCATTTGACTTCCAAAATGTTCAAAAACAGAGGCGCAAAAGGAAGTTGCCAAGTCATTAGAGAAAATTGTGAAAAACAAGATACACGCAGCGGAAGCCGTTTGACTTCCAAGGCGAGTTCGAAAATGGAAGCATTTACTTCTGGGTTTTTGGCGTTTGAAAACCGAAACATTTAGATGTCCAAAAACCGAGGTACCACTGTATATCACTTTGGCTACTTTTAAAGTATAAAAACACGCAACAAAGGAAGAAGTACAGCAAAACACAAATGTCTTATTGTCAAACTTGTAAACACTCCCTTGCCTACAGTGAGTAGGCAGAGATACGTTTGTAAACTTACTTAATTTTCTTTTTTCCCTCAGACTGCTGATAAACCACAAATGACTTGCACTGTTACAAATGGATAGTAAGAATGGTTTCTGGGCTAGGAACTTTTGTGAAATTGGCAATGCTGCTTGCATCTTACCTGCCCCGTTGAGGTTAGAGCAAGTGAAGACTGACTTCCTGCACAAACTTTCCGAATGAACATTCCCTGTAGGGCTTCTATAACTTTAGGTTTGTACACTCTGTTGGTGTCACCATGACCAAGTTTGCCTGTTGGGATCATACACAAGAGATCATATGTTTATGTTGCCTCCTGCACCTCTTGGGCCATTCAATGACCACAAATCTAACATAATCTGCAGTTTTAAACTGGAAATATTTAAAGTGAACTGCAAACAAAATTTATCATCACAGCTACAATTTAACAAAGAAACCTCTCCAAATACATATAAGGACATGAATTATTACCACATACTAGTTTACTGATTTAGGGCACAAGCCATAAACTCAAAGAGACCACACAATCTTCTACCATGGCCAGCAACGCACACACACACACACACACACACACACACAGAGAGAGAGAGAGAGAGAGAGAGTTGTGAGAGGAGCCTTCACAAACAAAGCCTGCAGACCTAAGCATCGTAGCAACAGAGGTTTGGACTATCATCCACAGCTCCATAAACCATGGTTTATGAAGCTGCAACAGCATGTTCCTCCCACACCCAGGCTTATATTAAGCCCTGTTACATTTGAATGTGGGAATGCAAGATCCTGGCTTCATCAAGTCAGAGTTGCCTCTCATGGTTAAACTAGGAAACCATGGATTGAACTGAGATAACAAACCAGGATAACCAGCCAGGATATTAGCTGAAATTGCCAGAGTCCCCCACTTTAGACACAAATAGGCCTAGCACAAGCTGGTGTGTGAAGACAGGAAAGGAAGAGCTGGGTGAGAAAGGAGCATGTGACTACAGCAAATGGTCACCACTTTGTCAAACATGTTTTCTGAAACCATGGGCGACCATCCAAATGCAGTCATTGGCTTTTTCTGCACTTGAATATGGCCAGAAAGGCAGAACAAGACAGAACATGGAAGCGAAGGTTTTATGGACCTTCTGCCCCCACCATGCCCTTAACAGATGATGTTCTGTACAATCTCAAGCACAACCTAGGAGAAATTGCATGGAAAAAACATTACCATTATCTCCTCCTCCAAACGACCAAACCGTTCGCCCATCTTTGGATAAAGCTATGGTGTGCGAACTGCCACAAGAAACCTCTCCGACGTTGCTAATATCTTTTACTAAAGTTGGAATGTTACGGCTGTTGCTGTCTCCATGACCTTGGAAAGAAAGAAAAAAGAAACATTATTTCTGCATGAAAGAAAATAATAATTATTTCTGTCAACATGAAAACTTGGGTTATGGAGTAAAGAAAATAAATTTCTCACCAAAGATGAATGCATTACACTTATTATCATCAGCATCAGCATCTCTTACCCACCCTTCACCAGAAGATCCACGGCACGTTACAGCATATAAAAGCACAATTAAAACAGTTTAGAACTGTTTTAGTGAACACTTTGAGCCAGTATACATGTATCACACTTGCTTACTCCTTAAACATAGTTTTTAAAAAGCTGGAAGCCATTTTGGGAAGAAGATAACAACTCCTATCACTAAAGGAAAAAATCATACTCTGAGAATGAAATGCCTGGTAGGGAGAAAATAGGGACAGTGTTTGAAATATAAAGAAGAAAGAATTAATTTATTGGAGGTTTCAAAAGTTGATAGTCTTTTCAAAACAAAGATATTTTGAGTCAAGTTAATAAAAACAGGAATATTTTGCCTTTTAAAATTATGCAGTTAAGAAAGAATGGAATGGCAGTGAAAGGAGAGCTGAGAGAAAGAACATCTGAAACGTATTATTCAGATTTCTTTGAAAGAACAGATAGCAGTGGTTTGAGATGGAGTCCAATTGCAACATATTGAAGCAAAGAAAGAAGAATATTTGGACTCCCAAAAAACAGTTTTAACAATTTATTATTATTTATTAAATGTGTATACTGTCCTATCAATGATCACCAAAAATAAAAACCCTAGACTTATGAGTAAAGATACAAGAAACATGCATGATAAATAGTATACCATTAAATCAAAGTGTGTCTTGCTACTATTTAGCTCTGTCCAATTACTTGGTTAAAAGTTTATAGTAAAGTTTATTTTGTACAGGCAGCGACCATTTTGCATGGGGGTACTGTTCCCAGCCCCGGTGTGTGTCGACAGAATGCTTATAAGCATGTCCCACCCTGTTTCACCCTCATTTTGCCGCCTTCCGGGTCCAAAAGGACCCAAGTGATTGAGCATCAATTGGACGTGCCTAAAATGGTTGCCGCCTGTACTGTCTTACGTAAATCCCAGTACCTTTCTTTAACGTTAGATTTTATTTCAATGAAATATTAATTATATGCCTAAAATCACTGGGCAAGTCAAACTGTTTCCATTACCTAGTCTACCAAAGTCTCCTTCGCCCCACGTATACAATTCACCATCTTCTGTGACAGCAGCACTATGCCGGTATCCAGCTGACACACATACCACAACCTGCATTGCATGCAAAGGGGAGAGAGAGTTAAAACTAAACTGTTGCTGGAAATGCTGCTTTCAACACAGGAGACACAATGAGACTTTCCTCATTCCTCTCCCCTTCCCCGTGACCTCTACAAGGAAGAGAGACCTGAACCAAGGCCTTGTAACTGCCACTAATCACAAAGCCTCAAATTTCAGCTGAAGTCAGTCCAAATTCAGAAAAACCACTCAAATGCCAAACCAAACATGAAAGTCCCTACACATCCTTCTGTATGGCTGCACTCCAAGCAGCAGGTGTCTTGGGCTTGCCACAAGCATCAATCCACTCAAGGTGAACATCCCCATGCCAGAGCCAAACTCTCACAGCCATGACTGGCACCATCATTCTACATGCCTGGCCTGACTCAAGTGGCAAGTCCAATACCAACATTACACCATTGTCAGCTGGAAACATTTTTCGCCAGCCTTCACACAAAGTGAATAACCTACTTTGTGGTTTTATGATAAGCACATTTTCTTCTGGTATTTCTAATTCACTGTAACCCCTCCCCCACAGTATATAAATGTTTTAAATAAATTAGTATGACTGCAGCTTTCTAGAGAGCACCAAAAGCTCCAATCATGCTTAAAGGCCAGTTGGGTTAGGGTAGTCATTTCTTAACACCTAAAGAGGACATGGAAGGTGCCTCCTAAGCCAGCCCCCAGCTCAATCTTGATTCTGGAAAACATTATGCCTCCCTGTGGATTAAAAGGAGAGAACTCCGCTGTTTCCACCCCATGGTCCACAGCAATAAGGGACAAAGGCAAAGGTGGATAACAAGAAATCCTAAAACACATGAAGTCTCCAAAGCAACACTATGAAAGAAGGAAAGTGCCATTCAGTTCCTTTGTGTAAGCATACCTTTCCTTGCAAAGGCCCCTGGATAAGTTTTGGATATTTCTGCGTTGAGCTATTTCCATGGCCCAATTTCCCATAGTCACCATCACCCCAGCTGAAGACTTCTCCTTCTGTTGTGAATGCTAATGTGTGGCCATCAGAACCTTTAGATGATGACACCTTTTTGATAGATCTGTGAGGCTCAAAAGTCAGCTTCTTCAGTGTAGATTGATTGTTGGAATCGCCCAGTCCCAACCTGCCATAACTGCCTTTGCCACAAGCTCGAACAGAGCCATCTGTAGATATTACAAATGTACAGTACTGGCCAGCTTCAATCTATTGTGGGAAGAAAATTAGAGAACATTAAAAATAATTTATTTAGAACAAGGGATCCATATATAGCTCAGGAACCACAAACTTGTAGAATGCATTTTTCACATTTGGTGGTGATATACAAAGTTTTTCAACAGTGAAAGCTTCATCTCTTCTTTTTCACTACACCGATAACACACATACAAACAAAATCCCCAGTCACTCACTGTCTGAGCATCAGAAAAACTTGGAGCCAACTTGGGCTGAAGAATTTTCTCTTGTGTTCCTTCCACAAGTTGGTGGCTGCTGTTACTGCCCCAAACATACACTTCACAGGTCTCAGAAACAACAGGAGCATCACCCGTCTGAATGCTGTCTGGACTGGCGCATGTCCTAGAGTAGTCTGAAGCCATGCGACAAACCTAGCAAAATAGAAATACATTTCAAGAGACAGAAGGAATGCTGTGCTCAACTATCATGTTATCACTTTATTTCAAGCACCAAGTCTACCCACCAAGTCTGGGACTACATGTCCAATCTGTAAATTACACACAGTATTCTGAAGACTAACAGCTAGCAATCACAAGTGGGGTGAGCGCCACTGCCCTCAGTTCCTGCTTGCAGGCTTCCCAGAGGCATCTGGTTAGCCATTGTGAAAACAGGATGCAGGACACTGGGCTGTGATCTTGTGTTCTTGATCACAAAACTAAATATGATGGTCCAGGATGGGAAATTATGATATTACAACACTTGGACTAGGTGGCACTTGGGGTTCCTTTTCCCTCTATAATTCTGTGATCTGCTGCTTAGCTTTCCACTTCATGCTTCCCTTTTGTAGAATGGGAGTCACATATTATACTCCGTTGCTTCCTCATAGCCCTCAGCATGAGCCAAGAGCACCTTCCTGACCAAATCAAACAGCACAGGCACATCAACAGCTGTTCTCTGAGACTGCCCTCACCTCTGAAATTCCTTTTTTATATATTTTTTATTCTGCTACTCTTTTATTAAACTCATAAATGCTTTGAGCCTTGGATAGAGGCGGGACAGAAATTCAGGTGAACAGCAAGACAAAATATAGGGTAGAAATCCATGGAAGCACTGGGACAACATCAGTGTGACTATTTTCATACTTCCAAAGGAGTGAGAAATACACAATCTGAAGAATGCAGATTTAAAGAAAGAAACTACTCTTTAATTAAAGGTTAGATGGACATACCTCCTCAAAGAGGCACAAAGCTGCCTCGTAAAGAGAGCATAAACCTTCAGATGTTCTTGTTGGCTCCCTCCATTGACTTCGATCAGCAGATGAGCCCTGCAAAGTAAAACATCACAGAGGAAATAATGTCACTGCACACAGTTATTTTATCTTCTATGATAAGATTAGACGATTTCCCTAAATAAAACCATAAAGAACATGGCTTCCTTCAAAACAACTACTTTCTTGGTACTTTCTCAAGTGCTGAAATAAGCATATGCACATTCCTGCCATCATCCTTAAGACAGGTTATAAAATCCCCACATTACAGAGAAAGGTGAAGGCAAACACACAATGTGGCATGGGCTAAAGCTACCCAGAAGCTTCTGGCTCAGAGTCCCCTGGTCACAGGTCAGGCTCTTAACTATACACCAAATACACCAAGCTGCTCAAAAGGAGCAGTTTAGAAGCATTCCTGCTAGTAAAATAAAGGCAAAGAACAAAAACACCCCAAGATAGATGTATAATTCATGTTTTTGAAAAATGAAAAACAAGCCAGTTACTAATGAAATCTACTTCACAAGTTTTGCATTCTTTAAAACCACTGGGGGGTTGTATAAGATTACACATCCCCCTCCAATTGTTGAATACATTTATCCATGCACTGAGCTGAAACTCACAAAGAAAAGTGAGCCATTTGACAAACATTTCAAAACAAAGGGGCATGTCAAGGTTGAAAATGTGTACATATGAGGAAGGGGGGAAAGGATTGCAACCACTTGCTCAAGCCACTGGATGCTTCTGTTTAAGTCTGCCTAACATCTTCATACTGGGAGTGAAAATTGGGCCTACATAAGGAAGTAGGTGTGATCTCATTCCCTATTCCCAACCAGTATCTCACAGAAAATATAAAACCGCAATTGAGTCCCCGTCTCCCCAAGCAATGAAACTACACAGTACATATGTGGGTAACCATTATTATTTCATAGTTTAAGAATAAGCCTTTAATTTGCAGCCCTACTACCAACATTTTTAAGTTAGTTACAATTTTGTTGGATCTTTAAAATAGTACCATGAAGGGAATCACAGGTTTGAATTAACAAGTGTAATTTTCAGAGCAGAATGGAGCAGACAATTAAACTTTAATTTGCTTCCTCTAAATAAGCAGAAGTAGTGGGCAGAAGTATCACAGAGAAAAAATCTCAAGGAAGTATTTTTTAAAAACAAAAATCTTAAAATCCTTTATTACTGAATTACTGGATTGTCCCAGCTAGCTTTATTTGCAATGAATAATTACAACTACTTAGCAGTGTTACAAGTTGCTCCTGACATTGTCTATCATTTCTGTTTAATAAAAAGGACAGAAGTTAAAGCCTATACAAATATTCAAGTATGTTAAAGTTAAAGACAAATCAATCCCAGTTCAGATATTCCTGATACTGCCATGCTACTTTGGCCTCATGCAGACTTCCTTTTGCGCTGTGCTTTCCTGACACAGATTCGTGCTTTAAAATGCCATGTCAGAGCACTTTTTTTTTCATCCTGGCGCTTTACCTGGGAAAAATCATGTTACCACTGAATCAGAATAAATGGCAATGTATGGAAAACCTGACTGCCATTTGCTCCAATTTAGCACTAAAACGTGGGTTTTCCCAGGGAAAACACTGGAACAGGGGGGAAACACATTCACACACAGAGCTTTAATGCATGGACTTGGGCTTAGAAACATGACATAAAATGCAGTCTGGATGAGCCCTAAGTATAACTCATGCCAATCCAGGCACACAGGGACTCCAAAACTTCTATAAATCTCAATGATGCAGTAAATCTGTTAATGGAAGTAAGAGCCAATAATTAAAAAAATCAATTTGAAGTATACATTCTGCATACATACCAATGACCGCCTCATTTGCATCAATATGTTCATGAAACAATCAAAACTGATCATCCCCTCCTGTGTATGCAGCATTTTGTTCTTCTCCATTGTGTTGACCACGGCTGATGCACTTAGTGCCATTTCAATCCATTCCAGCAGATACCGAAGTGACCCACGCTGAGCAGCCAAGCCAAGCAGCAACTCAGAAGCTAACCTCCGTCCAAGAGTATCTGCTCCAGAGTTGGGAATCGTTACTCCTTTAAGAAATGTTGTTACCTGAGACAGGCAGTCCAGACCCATTGGTGGGATTTTACTTTCATTAGCTAGAGATAAAGGTGGCAAAGAGCTCACAACCTCTATCGCAGTGTGGATAACATCATTGCAAAGGCTAATACCAGGTCCTGAAGCAGGCATCATCCAGCTTTGCCGTAACAGTGCAAATAACAGGCTCAGTCCAGTCCGGACCCCCATTTCTATTAGCGCGTCTGTACTTGACCTTGGCCGCTCACTAACGGAATGGATGTCTGTTGACCCAGAACTGCTTTCTGGAGAATGCTGCTGCTGTTTCACCTTGCCTTTATCATGATATTTATTAGAAAGTGCATAAAAGATGCGTTGTAACACAAGCAAACGTTTGCGAAGTGCTCCAGCAAATGGAGAGTCTGAGCACACCATCTTAGCCAGAGCCAGCTGGCTGCTAAGAAGGGCATCCAAATAGTGGTCCTGTTCATCGCTTGATAAGGACTCCCGTTCAAAATCTGGTAGCTGAGGTCCTTTGAGACAGAGAACCTGCTGAGGCAATGGTACTACTTCTTTATTACTGACTAATTTAGCATATAAGATGGAGACTCCTTCCCTTGTAGCAATAGATTCACTATCTTCTGTGATCCAAGAGCTATTTAGATGTTCAAGCCATTTCAGCTTCACTGGTGGAACCATGGCTGCCATGTTGGTTTATTCACCTGCCATTAGTCCTACAAATAGAAAAGAAGATATTTATTAAACAAACAATGGCCTAGTTGTACAAAAATCCAGTTTTTAAAGATCAACACTGGACGCAGGTCCATAAATTATCCGCTTAATGCTTATTTAAAGTTGAAGAGAAAAGGATCTATATTACATGCCACTGTTCTCCCTGAATTAAGGATTGTTGATATTTAAAGCTGAGCATAAGCTCATCCATGATTTTAGGGAAATCTGCTGTGATAGTATGTCAAGCATTACCCAAAGGTTCTTCCATAAACACGCACAATTTTGTTCCTCAAAAACCTACCAGTAATGCCCTCAAAAGAAGGGGTCAAGACACACATTCACAAGAGGTTTTTAAGGACTATAATTGTTAAGTATAGCAAGCAATGTTCTCAGAACTGGTAGCAATAAAGAGACCTTCTAGTTGTAAACTCTCATAACCTCCAGCTACAAGGATAACCACATGGATAGTGCTATTTCCAAAATAAGATTAAACAACGCTTACAACCACTGCAGCAAAAAGAAAGAAGAACAGGCTTGGTGGATGAAACCACATACTGGTGTCCTGCTTCTAGTGATGGCTGGACAGATGCCTCCAGGAAGCTAACAAGAAGGGTGTGGACGCAACAACCCTTCTCTACAGGCTGCCTCCAGGTTCTGGTAGTTCAGAGGAACAATGCTTCTGAAGGCAGCAATTTCCTTGTTACTATGACCAGTAGCCACACAAAGATCTATTCTCTATTCATTTCCCTACTCCTTTAAGTTTACCATTAACCAGAACCAACAGGAAAACCTGAATCCATGAAATGAAAACTGATAGTCAAGCAACTTTTGATTATCACTTTCCTACAACTGGCAGTCCCATGGCTGTCAAGCAAAGAAGCAATGACCAAGAGTGGACTAACAGGTACCAAGTCTCCCACTTTGTCTCCCTTGGTGCCCCTGATGCCTAGAACTCCCACCGGAGTTCTATTTGATGCAACTTCTTCTGAGTCCCTCCTCAAAAGCACCCTTCTTTTGTGGCTTCTCTGGCTCTTAATGCTCAAAACTCTCCACCAAGTACACGCAACTGCATTTGCCTCTCTCAATCCCACTGAATATGCTCCCTTTCCTCTCAGTTGTCTTCTCCACCGTCAAATCCAGATTCTAAGAGACTCAAGGGATCCACTACTTGAGTGCACAACCCTAGAGTCTGTCAAGACTGGCCCGTACGGGCAGGGGTACCTTTACCTTTTTAAAATAAAAGCCCACTAAGAGATTTATCATTCCTTTTTTAAATCTGATATTTTAACATTAAAATATAGGACTGGGTACATGTTAAAACACATGAATGAAAGTAGGGAACCTGTTGAATGGTTGAAACTATGGCTCCTGTCATTCTTGATCACAGCTGTCAACTTTCCCTTTTCTTGCGAGGAATCCTATTCGGAATAAGGGAAATTCCCTTTAAAAAAGGGAAACGTTGACAGCTATGTTCCTGATCCTTGTCCATGCTGGACTCCAACTCATACCAGCCCCAGCCAACAGCATCTGGAGGGCCACAGATGCCCCAACCTTGACACAGATATATACACAAAATGCCCTAAACATGGCTAGCCTTTGAAATATCTTTCTATCTATCTATCTATCTATCTATCTATCTATCTATGGTTTATAAACCATAGTCACCAAATGGCAGAATAGCAATGTGCTAACTTTTTCCAAACCTCACCAATACTAATCAACAAAAGATGGAGGATGGGGTGCAATAATTACATATTCATCACAAGCTCTATTTAAAAACAGGAAGAAAGAAGAAGTAAATATTGTTGTGAATAGCACTCCATTTTCCATCTTCCTACTACAACCAAGAGACACTGGTTAAAATTAAGAAATACAAACTGACAGAGCAAGGCCTATTACCAAATCAAATTTCTATTGATGTAAGTTATCAAGCTTTCAAACAAAACAGAAAACTGCATAACACAGAAATATTTTTCCAGGTCAGTCCAGAGCCTCCTATGCCAACATGTGACAATAAGGGTGGCTTAAATTCTTGTTTTTAATGGGAGGCAGATGGACATTTTCAAAGTTATATACATGTGCTAAAAGAACAAGTTCCCCAGAAGACTATGAATGGCGACTAATCACTATGGCAATATGCCAAGATGAACCTTTGGTCTTATCCAGCTACAAGGCTCCTTGAAATAACCCTTGAAGACCCTGCTTTGCCTACATTGCCTATTTCACATTCTCTGGAGCCAACAAGACAACTACCTCCTCCCATTAAATGGAGGACAGGGGGCGGGTGGGTCTGAGGGATTCCCTGGTCCTGAACAGGGTAACCATGACCCTGAAGGACCAGGTACACAGCCTGGGAGTCTTTTGGACTTGCAGCTGTCCATGGAGGTGCAGGTCAATTCTGTGTCCAGGGCTGCTGTCTACCGGCTCCATCTGGTACGCAGGCTGAGACCCTACCTGCCTGCGAACTGTCTCACCAAAGTGGTGCATGCTCTGGTTATCTCCTGCTTGGACTACTGCAATCCACTATACGTGGGGCTACATTTGAAGGTGACTCGGAAACTACAACTAATCCAGAATGCGGCAGCTAGTCTGGTAACTGGGAGTGGTCGCTGGGGCCATATAACACCGGTCCTAAAGGATATTCACTGGCTCCCAGTATGCTTCCAAGCACAATTCAAAGTGTTGGTGCTGACCTTTAAAGCCCTAAACAGCCTCAGCCCAGTATGCCTGAAGGAGCATCTCCACCCCCATCGTTCCGCCCCGACATTGAGGTTCAGCTCCGAGGACCTTCTGCTGGTTCCCTCACTGAGAAAAGCAAAGTTACAGGGAACTAGGCAGAAAACCTTCTCGGTAGTGGTGCCCTCCCTGTGGAACACCCTCCCTTCAGATGTCAAGGAGATAAATAACTACATTACTTTTAGAAGACATCTGAAGGCAGTCCTGTATCGGGTAGTTTTTACTGTTTGATATTTTACTATGTTTTATATAAGCTATAAACCTCACAGTGGCTAAGGAAACCCAGCCAGATGCGCAGGGTATACATATTATTATTATTGTTGTTGTTGTTGTTGTTGTTGTTGTTGTTGTTATTAAGCATCCCAGTATGCATTTCAACTATCAGAGTGATTTTGTAAAAGGTAAAGGTACCCCTGCCCGTACGGGCCAGTCTTGACAGACTCTAGGGTTGTGCGCCCATCTCACTTAAGAGGCCGGGGGCCAGCGCTGTCCGGAGACACTTCCGGGTCACGTGGCCAGCGTGACAAAGCTGCATCTGGCAAGCCAGAGCCGCACACAGAAACGCCGTTTACCTTCCCGCCAGTAAGCGGTCCCTATTTATCTACTTGCACCCGAGGGTGCTTTCGAACTGCTAGGTTGGCAGGCGCTGGGACCGAACAACGGGAGCGCACCCCGCCGCGGGGATTCGAACCGCCGACCTTTCGATCGGCAAGCCCTAGGCGCTGAGGCTTTTATCCACAGCGCCACCCGCGTCCCCTAAGAGTTAGATAAATAAGACATCAAAAGATTTAACTACAATATATATGTCTTTATGCTGCTCTATGCACACAAAATACCATAAAAGAAAAACATTACATAATACCTGGAAGCAATACCAGAGCAACTTATTTTACAGTCTCACAACATTAGCCTCCTTTTCCTGTTTTCTGTGTGTCCTGAATACCAACACTTGTCATGAGAAGCTTACTGCAGGATGAACAACAGTCACATACATTGCTATAGCAACACTGCGGTAAGAAATCTGCAATTCAGTCCTCAAACAGTTCAACCTGGACAAGCCTCATTACCTCATTTCTGTTTTGTGTAATGGAGAGTGGGGGTGACAGTGTATGGGAGACAAAATCAAAGAAGTCTAATATTTCAGAAAACTGAAGGAAGATATTAGACCTGAAGGACTACATGATACTAAGGCTGTCTTTTTTCTTTTATCTGTTTTTGCATTGTAATATACAATGTTAAAAGATGGGAAATATTTCAGAGAACCATCTAGCCAGAGAATGCCATCTAGCAAATAAATATTTGAAATAACTTCAGCAAACCAGAAAACTACAATCAAATATTTGAGCTGTACTATAATAGAGATTTCCTGCTGAAAAAGGCAAACAGACACACAAAAATTGGAAAAGAATGATATAAACACAATCATCTCTAAATGTTGAAAAGCAGCCAAGCTGAACCACACCCAGCTGCCTAGAACCCTGTCCATAATGGCCAGGGAGATGTCACACAGTGAATAAAATAGGAATAATTATGACCACACTGTCCCTCTGAGTCTTTCCCACCTTCCCTAATCTAGATGTTTTCAACTGCAATTCTCAGGAGACCCAGTCAGTTCTGACCATATAGTACTACGGGGCGGGTGATGGGCTCTGTAGTTCAAAACATGCGCAGGACATCCCTTGCTATCTGGCACAGGAAGTTCCAAGGCCTGTGAACTCTTTGTTACAACTTATCTAACCAACTCATGGCCAGAACTAGATGAGAAAAATCACTGTAGACAAATCTTGGAAGCTGAACGGAATCTGTTCCGGAAGTCCGTTCAAGAACCAAATTGTGGCTTCTGATTGGCTGCAGAATGCTCCTGCAGCCAATCAGAAGCTGCAGAAGCCCCGTCGGATGTTCGGGTTCGCAAACCATAATAATCACTTCCGGATTTGTGGTGTTCAGGAACCAAAACGTCCGAGTTAGAAGGGTTAGAAACTGACAAGCAGGGTTAGAAACTGAGATATAAAAGATAGGAGCCAAATGGCACCTTCAACCTAGGTTATGGTCACCACAACAATAGAAACATTTTTAAAAAACAGGATTACAAAGCAAATGAATACAATATGGGGTATCTAGCTGAAAATGGAATAAATGCTGTGCACGAAAGACAATTTCTTTTAAAACACAGAATTTACTTTTCTATTTTTGCAATCTGTGGTATTTGGAAGGTTGTAACCAGCCACAGTAAAACAGGTTATACAAAGAGGACTGTAGGACTTAA